CATATCAGATGAGGGGCATACCATGGTACGCGGTGGAATATCCTCTCCCTATCTCACCCGCGTCCTCGGCCTCAAGCCTCAAGGCAGCCAGGCTTGGACAAGAAAAACCGCCCATCACAACGGCTGCGCTTACCGTATACGGAGTGTAGACAAAGTTAACGGGCGGAGTCGCCCGGCCACTTCCCTTCCGCCGCCGTGGGCATATATCATGACACCAAAGGCTAATGCACGATGAAATTGTTTGCTTCTTCCTAACGCACAGCCCGATCTAGAGCGTTTGAAAGAACGGCCAGCGGCCAACCTCGCTGACGCGCGGGATATCCACGGTCCCTTCAACCGTTGCTTTTCGGCTTGTGCTGACGGGCTGTCTCGCTGGCTGTCTCGCTCTTGCTTTTGCCCGACCATGTCTCTGTTTCTGCCTCACGCGCCCAAGCCTCAACCCCTAGATCCACGTCGAGCCCTTGCCAGACTTTTGGTGAGGGTCAACTCCATCGATGCCACGGCGGCATCCCGGTTCTACGTTTTTCAGTGCCAGCAGTTCCCCTCCCCCCAGCCTTCCTCGCCCCCAGCCTTCCAAGACGGGAACTTCACGGGGAACAAGCTGCGGCTTAAAAGGGTCTAGCACACACGTGTGTGGATCACGCCGTGGACGAAGGTACGCTGAGAGCAGAAGCAAGAAGCATCGACATCCCCTGACGTTGGGGCCCCGGCGGGTACGAGTCAGGTGGGACCCCCCTGGAGGGCTGGTGGGTTGGTGGACTTCCCGTGTCCGCATAGATGGATGCACTCGGTGAGGCGGTTGGGAATAGGATGGCTAAGCAGAGTAGCGTGAGTAGGTGCACAGTCGTGACATCTGTCTTCGCCCAGAAGCAGCTCCACATCTTCTATGCAGCAAGCCCAACCAATCGCGCCGCCATGCGGCGCGGGAAGGTTATTATGACTGACGGCGCTCGTGGTGGTGTGGGGGTAGGCAAAAACGACGGTCGAACGATCAGGAGAGGCAACAAAAACGGTAAAAATTACCCAACACCTAACCGGGGACTGCTCCCCATCGGCTTCCCCCGGCTGGGCGTCCCCTGCCCATTCTTTACTCGCGGCTTATCTTGTCTCGCGGCACGGGCGCAGCTCATTGATTTCATCTTGGACACAGTCAAGACGCTGACAGGCTTTTTTGGCCCCTCCAAGAATCTAGTTGGATGGAGAGGGTGTGGGGGAGGTGACGTCCAGAGGGTTCGTTAGCCCGCCAAGCGAGGCTGTGTCGGTGCGTCCGCGGGGCAGGCGGCTCTTGGCCCCGAGCCCGGCGCACGGAGAAAAGGAGCCTGCGAGCCTGCCCTCTGGGGTCCAGGCTCCTCTCCAGGCCTCCGCGGGCCTCGGAGCCAATCACGGCCGCCTCTTCGCGCGTCGTTTCGGCTATCACTTTGCTTTCTGCCTTTTGATGTCCGCTTCAGACCTGGTGTTGCCGGCCGGAGATATGGCTCCAGTGCTGATGGCCAATTTCCGCCCGCTCCGCTTTATGTGCAGAGCCAAGAGGACGTGGGACTTCCTAGGCGGATTGGTGAGCGCTCCCACGGCCGTCGATCTAGTCTGGCCGCCGACAGGGACGGAGACAAGCAAGCAGCCGGGAGTTGTCACGTGGCTGCATGCTGCTCCAACATCCCTAGGCTCTCATAGGCGCGCCCTCAAGCCACAGGACGTGACAGCCTAGCCACGCTAGTCGCAGTCAATCTAGCTGAAAGGGATCCCTAAAAGCACCCACTTAGCACTATAAACTCGGGATATTTGGCCTCCCGGGCACGGAAACCGCGCACCCAAGCCCCGAACGGGCGCGGCAAGGCGAACCAGCATGCGAGACGGTGAGAGGACGGCCCGGCGTCAAGCCGGGCGCGCCAAGCGGCACCGTTCGGCAACGTCTGGACAACCTCTAATGTCAGATTTCGCCCAACAGTTTTGGGGACTTTTGCTTGGCCATGCTAAGGAACCACAGAGGCAAGCGTTGACAAACCAGAGCAAGAAATTGTGCGATATGGAATGGCCGCCCTTGCCCTTGGCTTATTTGCACGGCCTGCCTCCCCCTCTCTACCCCTGACTCGGCCCTTCTCGGCGGTGGGGACCGGGACACAGCACCGGGATGGACTCGTTTCGGGGGCTGCGGCCTGCGGTCTTCTGAATACAAGCTCCTGCGGACCAATGACAGCTGCATCTACCCTCTCAGCAGTTGGGAGTATCCGCGCCACGGTCGTGAAGACGATAAGGGCGCACGCTTTCGGCCCGCCGTCGGCACAGCTGGGCAACTGGACACTCATCAACAGTGCCTCGGCGTCCGGATGTGTTATTTTCCGGGAAGTCACAAGCTAGAGTGGGATCGTCTCAAGGCATGCGAACTATCCCGTCCACTTGGATCGAGAATCATTTTTATCATCTTCACTGCCGAAACCTCATTCCTCGGAAATCTGTGACCGTATTGTTTTGTACCTCTGGCTGACCCGGAATTCCGGTCATCTCTGGTCTCGTCAACTAGTACAGCTTGAAGCTGGTGTTTGAGCGGATCTCAAGTATGGAGGGTGTTTATTGTTGAGTTTCAACAGTAGGCACCCGTTCCATGGAAGCCGCATTTTCCCCATGCGGAACATGTCGTCGTTAAGTGCTTTTGTAATTTCTGCCAGAAAATGAACCGTTGAGCTAGTAAATCACCATCGCGTGTTACTCGACGCAGCTTTCTGTCCGTCGTGATCCCCCTCTTTATAGCCGAGTCAAAGTGACAGCTAGAATCCAATCTACAGCGAGAGCGCGGTCAACCTCACGTAGCAGTCGTACGGCTCCCGCGTCAACTTATCATAAGCCCCGTGCGTGTCCAGCTCGGCTGGCACCTCCTCCAGACAGAGGCTCCAGACCACCAGCACCACCAGCATGCGCATCTGCAGTTACGCCAGCTGCCGGCCGTAGCAGCCGCAGGGCCTCGTGCTGAAGATCATGTTGCGCCCCGCGCGTCGCATCGAACCGTACGCCGCCCCCATCCGCCGTCCCGACCAGCCCACCGCTCCCGGCACGTACGCGGCCGCGTCGAACCCCGTCCCGTCCACTCCGCCGACTGCCCCACCCGCACCCTCCCGCAGCAACAACAGATTGGCGCTGGACGCGGCAGCCGCCGTCGCACGTCCGGCCGGTGTGCGCAGGGCCTCGTCGACCTCAAGCCCCGGACGACGTGTACCCGGCGCCTCCCCAGACCTGGCAACAACGACGGTGCCCATGGGGATGGGGAGCCCGAGGATGTGCGTATCCAGCGTCGCGCTGCGCACGCAACATGGGCGCCGTCAGCGACGTCCGGAAGAGTTCCTCGACACTGGCGTCCAGGCGCGGGCACCGCAGCTGCACGACCTCGTCCACCGTCGGCGCCCGCCGCCCCACCGCCGCCGCCGCGGGCAGGGCCTCCCGCAGGGCGGCGCGCAGCTTGGATTGCGAGACTGGGTGCCGCGCCAGCGCCTTGACGGCCCACTGGTTCGCGTTGGAGGTGGACTCGTGGCTGTCGCAGTTCGAGCTGCTACCCGAGGAGGGCGAGGCGGAGCGGTATAGGGATGTCTGTTTTGGGCAATACGTACGCTCCGTTTTTCTTTCGTTGACCCGAGGTACACTGTATTGGACTGTAATTGTTGCCTTCCTATACTAATGACGTGTCCCAGATTCTGCCTGATCTCTCCAAGCATGTTTTGATCAGGCCGAGGAATCGAGTGTAAGAAAATGGGGTTCGTGAGGTGACGTATCGGACTTTTTTAGCTGCAAAACCACCTGATTTGTCTCCTCCAAGCCCGTATTGGACTCTTGTTACGGCGGCCATGCAGCTGCTCCTAATGCCGTAGTAGCCAGCCCATGTTCGGTTATTCTAGGGCAGGGGGATACTTTGCTGGGGCGGTTGCCCTTCCTTGGATCAAATGACCACATTCCTTTCTCCGCAAATGTCGGAGGAACGCGCTTTTGCTCGCAGGACTTCCCACAGTGGTAGTTCACGCACAAGCGAGCCACACCATGGGATATCACGGGGTGGGCAGGAACATCGGCGAAGGAGTGGCTTGATTCAGGGCCCGCCGTGGGCGTTGATAAGAGGGTTGTTCATAAAACCTGAAGGGTATATTATATTTACATGAAGTCGTGTACCAAGAACCCGGAATATTACACCCTATATGGCATATTGTGAAAACATTCCGTCATCCTCAAAATATACAGAGAGAAACTCTCCAGTATTAAGTAAATGCGCCAAACACCCTTCCGGTTCTTCTGTTGCATCGAATGCATCGTCAAGAAGCAGAAGCGGGGTAGGAACCACGGTAATAACCGAGAAATGTAGTGAAAGACGTAACAGGGCGTGATCAAGGAGAGTAGTGAGTGGGTTCGTGAAAACTGATTGCGACAGGCAGGTGTGCTCTGCCCTCCAGCGCCAACATCCTTTAGATGAGCATGGCGACGGCGACGGCAGCAGCACCCATGCCAAAGCTGACGCGACCAGCGCCGGCAGGCACGGGGGGAGGCTTGACAGCCGGCTGGCTGGGGATGCCAACAGCCACGGAAGTGCTCAAGGTGACAGAGGGTGGGGGCTTCGCCGTAGTGAAGGAACCAGAAGACGCTGGAGGCGGCACGATCGGAGGGAGCGTGGTGGGGTTCACAGGGTTGACGAAGGTGGTTGTGCCAGGCTTGACAGGGTTGACAAAAGTGGTGGTGCCGGGCTTGACTGGGTTGACGAAGGTGGTGGTACCGGGCTTAACCGGGTTCACGAAGGTAGTGGTGGGCTTGACAGGCTCTGTGGTGGTCGATACGGCAAATGTCTCGGTGGTGCACGTGGTGGTCTGCGACTGCACTGGGCAGCCGGGCTTGCCCGGGGGGCACTGGGTCAGGGTGCGAGTGAGGGTGGTGTAGCGCGTCTTGGTTGTCGTGGCCTTGGTGGTGGTGGTGGGAACGGGCTCGGTCACAGGGCACACGGTAGTAGACACGGGAATGGTCTCAGTGACCACCGCGGTCGTCTGCGAGTGCAGAGGGCAGTCCGGCTTGGAAGGCGGGCACGACGTGATGGTGCGGGTGATGGTCGTGCAGACCGTGGAGGTGGTGTAGCTCGTGGTCGACGGCGACTGCGTAGGCTTGGTAGACGGGCCAGTGGTGGTGGGTGCGGTGGTGGGTGTGGTGGTTGGAGGCCTCGTCTTGGTGGTCACGACCGTGGTAGTCGACTCGCAGGAGGTCGTCTCGGTGGTATCCGTGGGAGGCTTGGACGAAGTGGTGGGCTTCGAAGTAGTAGTGGTCGCGAGGGAAGTGGTCTCCGACGTAGTAGTCGGTTTGTGAGGCTTGGACGAAGTGGTGGGCTTCGTGATGGTGGTGGTCGACTCGCAAGAGGTGGTCTCCGAGCTAGAAGTGGTCGGCTTAGGAGGCTTGGACGTCTCCGAGACCGACGTACTGGTAGTCTCGCACGAAGTCGTCTCCGAGCTTGAAGTAGTGGTGGGCTTGGGAGGCTTGGACGAGGTAGTCGGCTTGGAAGTGGTCGACGTCTCAATGGGCGTGGTCACCGAGCTCGACGTGGTCGAGGTCGGCTGGGGGGGCTTGGACGTCGTCGTCGTCTCGCCAGGGGTGGTGGACGACCCAGTGGTGGTGGTGACGGGAGGGCTGGTCTGCACCGTGGACGACGTGTGGGTTGCCGTGTAGGTGATGCAAGAGCATGCAGAGCTGACCTTCTTCACGTCTCCCTCGCAGTTGCCAAAGTCGGGTGAAATGTCACTGGGCGACGTGTGAGTGCTGGCGAGGAATTTGAAGCAGAATTCGGGCGCCGTCTTCTCAAAACGTTTATCAATGCTGTTTTCGAAGCGAGGCACCAAGTTAGCTTCCCTTCCATACCAGATAGTTTTACACGCGAAGTGTCGACTCACAGGTTCCGGTAGCAGTTATCGTGCTCACAGTCCGGATACTCCCACGCCTTCGTCACCCCAATGGCCAAAGCAGCCACGATGATTCCCCGCATGATGGTGATATGTCAACGGCGTTGCAGCAGTGTAACAATCCAAGAGTCGTGCAAGAGGCTGCTATAAAATAGCTGGTGTTCCTGAAGTGCCACGTAATGAACAAACCTGATCCGAGCGAGTGAGGTCAGGCAGTTTCAAGTCAAACGAATGATTAGACGGGCTGTCGGTGGTGGTGAAAAGAGCCAAGATTCCGAGATGGCGGGGAGGATGGCTTCCTTTTTATCCGTCAGGGCAGGCTTCTGCCCTGCTTCCAGACCACCACGCAGAATGGTGGGCCAGAGACGATCTCACCCCATAATGATTTGAGGATGACGGCCTAGCCTGCTGGCAGTATTAGCGTCTTCTTCCTGGCGACCATGCCGTTGCTCATGTCCAACCCAAGTGGCCCCCGTATTGCGCAAGTCGATCCACGAGGTGCGGCCCAGCAGAGCGAGAAAAATGTAGCCCCTGGCTTGGGTGCCGCTGGATGCTACCTTGGAGAACGAATGCGCGGCTCCGAGAGTCGTATTTCTCACCTGCCGCTCGCCATCGCTGACTGTCGACCCCTGCCAACGTTGTATCAGTAACGATCGCCAGGCGCCATGTAGGCCGTGCGCCAGAGCTTGGAGGCGCATGCCGTGGAGAGAGCGTTAAAAATACCACGCGAGTGATCCACACGCCCAGCCATCCGGCTCTCCATTCGCTGGAGGCACCGGCGAGCTGGCCAAAGTGTGGCTAGCCACTCCTTGCTCGTGCATGGCGACACAGCATCGGCGAGCGCTGTTTTCGGCGAGCTGGCCGTTGACTCGACGATAAAAGTCTCCACCCCTCCGCCTAGTTTGGCAGACCAAAGTACACAACTGAATGGGCTGCCACACGAAGGCCGTACGCAACTGCCCTCCATGCACTATGCATGTGCTCAAGGCGGATTGGAACCCCTGGAGAAAGCGAGGGGGAGAGCGAGGACTGGCTGAGAAAATACCTCGTGTCGGTCGACGGATCCACCAAAGCGGAGGGCGAGTGAATGATGGAATGACCGTTTTAAGTGGCCAGCCGCACAAGGACGGGGGAAATTTTGAAATAAAATGATAAAAGATTTAGCGCTGCGGCGGACGGTGATGATCGGCCAGGCCAACAACGGCAGCCTTGGTGCAGCGTTAGCAGCCATCCCATCTTGGGCAGTAGTGCTCTCAGGACAGACAGCCTTACTAGAAGCGACCTGAGGGTATTCAAGCGGGCTCAAGCCCAATCGCTCGATCGGGATACAGCAGGAGTGGGGGTAGCCGAAAGACACAGATCAAGCCAGGGTGGCTGGGAACCATGTGACGACACCGTTGCTTGTCATTTGCAGTAGCGCAGCTGCCCGTCAATATAGAGCTCTTTCTGGCTGTGGTGTAACGGCCTCGCTGTGAGTTGGCCGGACCAGACGCGAGAAGCCTTGTTCGGTTTTGTTGGCAAAGTTGTGATCCCACGACAAAATGAGGCCATGGTGGTTTCTTTGCGCTATTGAACAGCGCTGCTCCCAATACGAGCACAGATGCATCTCGGATCTGCGGATGTGTTGTCAAGCCGCTGTTCGCCGACAGTGAGCGGTAACCGAGGACAAGCCGCGGCGGCCACGTGATTTGCCCGTCTTGAGAGGAGGGTCTTCAGAGGAGAATGGCCGTGTCAGCAGATGGCGGTGTCGTGATGGTTGCAGGCCACAGGTTGCCAAACAGAAGCTGGAAAAGCAAGGAAGGCTGCGCAGCGAAGTGGGATGTTAGGGTGGAGGCCCCACGGAATACGAGGCGCTTTCATGAAGGCCGCTGAGTGGTGATCAGCTGTGTGCTTCTGCATGGTCTCGACAGCATGTCAAGATAGGTTTAGCCAGTTTGTGAGCCTGAACAGCTGTTAGCTCACAGGTCCAGGTGCGTGCCTCTCAACTGACGTCGATACTTGTCGGCAACCTCCCCTCAGACCAATTACCTCGGCTGGCGAAAAGTACTTCAGCGACGATTGTTGGCATCGACTCGCGGGGTTGTGTGCATGCGCACTATTACGTAGGCGTCGGCCATGTCCCGTATCGCGAGGTCGTTGCCCCTGCCAAGGAAACCCGACAGATGGGTGGCGAAAAGATCGGGAACGCGGAACTGAGACATTGCGGAGGGACACAAAGGCAAAGACATGAAGGAATTACCACATCGGTGGTCTAGCCGTATTCGCCATGGTTCTATGCAGGCTTGTGGGTTGGGCCGATGCGAGACCACGCCAAGGGTGGAGAAGTGTGGAACGAGGACGCAGAAGTTGGCGTCTCTGCCTCTCCGGTCGCGGTGGAATGCTTGTGGCTTGTGAGAGTGGTGAGGCAGGCTCGCCCGGACACCCGCCGTGCCGGGCATCCATGGCAGTATCGGCGTGGACACGGGTCCCCGACACGGAGGTCGATTGGCGTTGGCAGGATTTGCGAGGGATGTGATGTCGGCCTCGGCTGTGTGTTCTTGGGTTCTGACAGTGGCGGGTGCGCCCTGACCGCCGTTCCAGGAGACTCTTGTCTGGCCGATGTCTGCGTCAAAGCAATGCCTATAAATGGACAGATTGGGGGCTGCCCAAAGGGTCTGCATCGATGATCCGATTATTTGGTGGTGTATACTGTGTAGTAAGGATTAGGTGTGTGCATGTTGGGCGTTGCATTCCTGTGCCGCCGTCAGCTTTAGAATTGGTAAAATTGCCTGGTAAAATTGGAAGCCGCGCAAACTCTGCAGCACGGTGGCGCCAGCAGACGCTCCTGCTCAGGACGGGCACTCTCTGCGCAGTTGCCTGCCGTCAACTGTTTGTTCATCGGGGTCACGTGGTATAAAGTAACGACCCAATATCGAGTGCCTCGTTCGAATCTGGAGATGTAGTGAAATTCTGGTGCTTAATAATCGGAGATTACTGCCCTTTCGGTCACTACGCATTGCTCATCAAACTCCGGGCATGATGCTGTACTGCCATGGAATTAAATTTCGCTCGCCGCCTGGACCCGCCTCATGCGACCCATTCCGTCTGGTCCGTCGAAACGAAACATGTTGGATCTGTTGCTTGCGTCTAGCTAGTTGTCCCATTGGCCAGAGGCTTGCCCCGGCCTCTGTTAGTCATGGCCTGTGTGCTGGAAACGGCAGACACTCATCGCAACTCGCCATTTCTGAAGCAAACAGACTTCCTCACGACCCTGGCCACCGTGGCCGCCGGTCCCCAGAATCTTCGGATCAGTATTTGCCCGGTGCGTGGCTGCGTATGGACATTTCCGGTCAGGTCTCAAGCAGCTTCCATCGACGACTTGGTCCGCGCGAGATCGAGACACATTTCCTCCGCCAGGGTTCTCCACAAACCTAAAAAGCGGACCTTCATGTCCCCGCCTATATAAGACCTCGTCTGCATGTCTTGGCTGTGAGGCGATGGGGCTTCCTGGATATGTGCCTCCTATCCTCATCACATACAGCAAGCTCATGTCCCCTAGTCCCCCAGTCCGGTTCAGTAAAGCCAGACACAACGAGTCACCAAGTTTACTTCGACGATGCATCTAGCGCCTCCTGGGCGCCTTTCCGGCGGTCTCTTGGCAGCAGCCGGATGCTGGCTTTTAGTCCTACCGGGCGCCAGTGCGCAAGAGTCTCCGGCCCCGGCTCCCCTCGTCAAGATAAACTGCATGTCGGGCGTGCATGTTATTGTGGCGCGTGCCAGCGAGGAGCAGCCCGGCCCGGGCATCTTGGGCAAAGTGGCCGAGGATGTGGTCTCCAAGATTCCCGGATCCGACTTTGTTGCAGTTGACTATCCTGCCAAGCTGAGCAACTACAAGGCGTCCCAGAAGGCCGGGGTCGTTGCCATGTCTGCACTTATCAACGACTACACTGCCGCGTGTCCTGACGGCAAGCTAGTTCTCATGGGCTACTCGCAAGGGGCCCATGTCGTCGCAGATATCGTCTGCGGCGCTAGTGAGGACGTTTTTGACCGGGCCTCCGCCATCTCCGATGACAAGTCAAGTAAAAGTGAGTGCTTTCGTTCGTATCCACCCTTTCAGGTTGTCCGTGGCGTGACTAACCGGGCGCACGTCGTCTCCTCAGTCGCCGCCGTGGTCATGATGGGCGACCCCTCTAGGAATGCGACTGCCCCTTTTAACCGGGGCAATGCCACCAAAGACGGTGTAAGTTCCGGTGACTGGTCAAAACATGGTCGATACAGCCAAAAGCTAACTAGGAGTGCCCATAGGTATTCCCACGCAAAGACCTCGCGGGATGCGGCCCCGCGGCATCTCGCATGGTCAGCTACTGCAGCGCCGGTGACAAGTTTTGCGACAGTGGGAACGACCTGAACGTACACGTCGGCTACGTCGATACCCAGGGAGCAGCAGCCACCAAGTTTGTGTTGGACCAAGTCAAGAACGCTCAGAGTGTCTCACCAGCACCCCGCGACATCCGCATCCGCGACCGTGTTGTCTCTCGCCAGGCACCACCCGCGCCACCTGCCCCCGCGACGGGCGCGCCACCTTCACCGGCAGCTGCACCGGCAGCACCAGGCGCCCCTCCTGCAGCTGGTCCACCTCCGCCAGGTGCTCCTGGTGCTGGACCACCACCGCCAGGCGGTCCACCTCCGCCGGGAGGCCCTGCCGGAGGCCCTCCTGCTCCGGGTGGTGCCCCACCTCCTCCTCCAGCGGCTGGCGCACCCCCTCCCCCTGCCGGAGGCCCTCCTGCCCCTGGTGCCGCCCCGCCTCCTCCAGCAGCTGGCGCGCCTCCTCCGCCGCCGGTCGGGGGAGCTCCTGCTCCCGGCGCTGCACCGGCCCCGGGGCCAGTCGGGGCACCCCCTGCTCCTGGAGCCGCCCCGCCACCTCCGCCTGCTGCGGCGCCAGCCCCAGGTGCCACGCCGGCATCACCTGCTAATGGGACGCCACCTGACGCTCCTCCCGTCGACGCGCCTCCTCCAGCTGCGGTACCAGCCCCCGGTGATAGCGCGCCACCTGCCGGGGCGCCCTCGGGTGCGGGCAACTCCACTGGGCCGTCTGCTCCCCCCAGCAACGGCGCACCACAGGCGGCGGCCCCAGGCACTGGGGATGCGTTACCATCCGATGAGGACCCCTAAACCTCCCAATTCCTCAAGGCCCTATTCTTTGCGAAGTTTGCTTGAATTCGCCCGGCCCCGCCTTTAATCCAACTCTGGATAAAAAGATAAAGTGTAATCCCCCTGTCTACCTACTCACGGCTTGGCAGTGCCGCCGTTGCTTCGGGAGATTGTCGATATGTAAATTCCCCTTAAGGTTCGCCGTGACTCTCCTCCAGACACCGTATTTATGATTTGCCTTTGAAAATTGACAAGAATCGCGCTATATGGATATTTACGGCCATGCTTTCTATGAATTATTTATCTCCGGTCGGCCCTCCGGTCGGCGATTCTCTGTCTTTCGCTTGCTCTATCAACAAAGCTTTGGTGAATCTGAGCTAGAATCCTGTGGAATACCTCGAGAATATTCGGCGGCAAGTCATTGAACCACCACGGCACGTTGAAGATGTTGTCCTACTATGGTCGCCTATGTAGCCTTTGCACTCTCTTCCGTTACTCCCTCTGTAAGCCCCTCACGATAGGGTTCAAGGTTACCAGGTTTGCCAACCATCGTATCTTAACAGCCGCATCTATGCGCAATAGTCCCATAAGCTCTCCATTTGCCTCAAGAGACCACACACAGCGCTCCGGTGGGACGTAACCTCGCGGCGGCGGATACAAACCTCCGACCACCATTGCCGTCTGCTCAACGAGCGCCCTCCTCAGTTGAATGACATGGACCGTCTTGCTAGCTGAACCCAGGTGCATCTCCGATTCCATAGGTTCCCAAAATGGAAGAGAAAGGTGCGAAGTAAATTCACCACATAGCTCAGCGCCTCCTTCAGCCACCAAGAAATCAAGGTTAGGAGTCATCAGAGAAAGCTGAAGTTCACAACAGTTTGGAGAAGGGAACTCCGAAAGGAACATGTGTATTCCAACCTTTCTCCGGTGCCTTCTCCTAACCTTTATATCTAGAGTCCCTCCTCCATCACTTCTGCTCCTCAACCATTCCTCTGACACACAGTTTACAACAAGACATTCTACAAAACACAGCTTCTGACTTCCGGCCTCGAAACAAGACACGCCTTCCTGTACCAACGATCTCATCCCTCAATACATCACTACCATAACGAGCCAAAGAGGGAAGAGTCCTCGGCCAAGCAACACCTATTGCCAAAAGAAAGACTCGTTCCACACCATCATCAAATGGCGTCGCTGGGATTCTTCTCTACCAAGAGCAGTGCTGCGGGCTGCCAACAGCCCAAGGAAATGCCCACCACCCTCCACGCGTCCCTCGTCGGGCCAGAGCACCCCGTTGGTCACCAAGATGAATCCAGCGACGACGAGTCGCTGGTTCTCGTCCTATCTCCCGAGGAGAGCCTCGAAGTTCCCGCGCCGCAGGCGCCCACGCACGCAGGGGAAACCGGTACAGAATCCGGCCCCCATTCTCATACCACCCTCGGCGACGACTGGGAAGAGGTGTGCGACCCGACACACCTCACCCACAAGTATCCGCCCAAGACGGCAGACCCTCCCTCCTCCACCTGCCGGGCCAGCGCGCCGGATGCCTGGGTCGAGCTCTCTGAACTCGATCCAATGACTTCCGGCACGCTGTTCAACGGCCCGGCGGACCTGAGGGACCCGACCTACCTCGCCACATGGCCCAAGGACCATGAGGACTGCCCCGTCGACGACGGCGTCGGCCTCATGTCGTCGGGGGTCTTGTTCGGGTCCGTCAAGGAGCTGCGCGACCCCAGCGCGCTCCGGAAGATTGCCATCGCCCTCACCCGCGCCGCCGCCCAGCCGGACTTCACCCGGGCGCAGCGCTAGACGGGCGAGCCGAACCGGAATGCCCTCTCACCGGTGACGCAAGCACCACGGCGGGCAGCTCAAGGGGACAAGCAGCGTCAGCTAGCCCGGAGATGGCGAGTCCTGCGCCATCGCCAGTCAAGAGACCTGCGGCGCCTACCCGAGTTTGTCGCACCAAAAAGTTGTTTCACGAGTGTAAATGGCGCGCCTTCTTCCTGTCAAGCTGTCTTTTTAGATCTGTCCGTTTCCTTCATATTCGCGGGGCTATACAGAAGACGGTGCTGCATGTGTTTTTGACATGATCAAACAGAGCATGTTTTGTGTTGGGTAGTCATCGCGCTGTTGTATTTTCTTGATTTGTTTTGTTGCTTATCCTTTTTCGGAGTTTGGCGGGGTAAAACGGGTGTTGTTCACGCAGCGTTTTCTTCCAGCAAGTTTGTCCAGGTCGTGGGGGAGGGTGTAAGAGAAGGGTTAAGCAGTTTCTTTCTTTAGCAAATACTTTTAGATGCATGTTTTCAAACCTTGGCCCTAAAGTACTCCCATGGTGCACATGATGGTGTCGATAAAAGCACACATCCTCACTTCTCTCAGCTGAACTGCAGGGCTGAGCTCCTGAACTGGCTAGCCTGGCCATGGCGTGGGCCAGCCACATAGCGGTCTCCACTGCATGTTCCGGGAGGGTGGCGGGTTGTGCCTGGGGATGATGGTCTGTCGTGCCTGGCAGCGCTTATGCAGGCGTCCTGCCCCACTGGCATGGTGCCATCCAATGTATCGATAAGCTCGCGTAGGGGTCCTTCCGTTGCCGTATTGGCGAAACGCAAATACGTCCCGGGTGGATAGAAATTAGTGGCGAAAAGACTGGGCGGGTTTAAATTTCGGAGGGAGCACAGGTCTTCTATTGTAAGGAGGGCGAACCTGTGCTCTCTCCGAAACTTAAACCAGCCCAGTCTTTTCCATACTAATTTCTATCCACTTGATGTGTTTGCATCGACATATTTTGTAACTTGTTTGGTCACGCGCGTTCGGCAAACCTAACCTACACACGAGCTTGCGCGGCATGGAGCGCATCAAATCCCTGCCCAGGGGAGTGGCGCACACCGTCCTCCTCGCCATCTGCAACGACCCGTCGACCCTGAGGCGCGCCATCGACCTGGTCGACCTCGTGGAGGCTCCGCAGTCGCCTGTCGACGGCGGCGACGACGACGACGACGACGGCTACGACGAGGACGAGGTCGAGGTCGAGATCGTCGGCGTCGCGCCCATGCCCAACAGGAAGCGCAAGATCTCCTCGAGCGACGGCGTCACCATCCGCGCCGCCGACCTCTTCAGCTGCGACGTCTGCGAGAAGCCCTTCCTCGCGAGCCGCAACCGCCACAACGCGTGCAAGTACCACGAGGGTAAGGTGGCCCCGCCCTGACTGCTGCGACGGTTGCCGACCGGGGTTGCTCCGTCGCGTTCCTAGGAACCTCTGCTGAGCCCCCGTTGCGTTCTTAGGCGAGCTCGAGCCCGACCTCGAGTGCGGTCTTTGGGATGACCACGTAGAGAACCCGGACGTCTGGGGCGATATAGACACACGCGAGAATATCCGGGAGCACCCCGAGGGCTTTTATTGGGACTGCTGTGGCAAGCGGGCCGACGACTCTGGATGCCAGGCCGACTACCACACCTCGGCCGACTTCTCCGGGAGCAGCGTGGCCAAGCGCAGCCGGCTCGATGGGAGCGCCGACGGCGGGCAAGCGGCATACGCAAACGACCCCATCGACGTGCGGGACGACGGTGACGACGACGATAGCGTGGTCGAGGTTGCCGCCCCTCTAGTTACCATTGACGATGACATCGACGAGGATCCCCCGGAGGAACTCGAAGAGGAGACCGGGTTCGGAGCTAGGATTGTCAACGGCGAAGTGGTGGTCGAGGTTGCTCTCCACCAGGAGGCCAAACCGGCCGTCGCGGTTTCTGATAACGACTCCCTAAAGGCTGGTGGTGAAGTATAGGTCGAGGGCGAAGCTGTTACAGGCGCCAATGGCCAGTAATGGCGCACGCGCATACACACACCTTCGCTTTTGAGCCGCCCCTTCGTTCGTCCACTCGCGTCGGCTCTACTCGGCGTAGTTGACGCCTCGCTATGCATTCACCACTCCTCTGCAGTGAGACACCAGCAGGTTCTCTCGGCCAAGGTTCCGTTGCCACAAACACCTCAACCATCTCAGCCAGTCCCATAACCGGGCTGGCCCACGATTCCGAGAGCGTTGCGTTTGGGGTGTGGGTTTTGGTCGCGGCATAGACGTGGTGCCGCAGGAATCACTTCAGTATACACGACCGTGATTCGTTGGTAGTCGGAGGACTTAATCCGGGACTCTATCCTCCATAGGATACTACAACGAACGCGGAGGGCTACTTACTTTGCAGGGATGGATATTCTCCTGCTAAACTTGCCGCCGCTTTGGTTGTCCACAAGTAGACTCGCGGTCTTGTATGACCTGTTCGAGTCTTGAAGGCGCCATCGGCGCCTACACCTGGTCAGCCGCCACGACGAGTCAATGGCCGGTCATTGTTATAGGGTGCAGGGGAGAATGTGATATATACCATGTTTGAGGCGCAGGCCTCACAAGTCTTGAGCGCTTGGTGTCAGATGGCAGTGGTATCATCAACCACAGGGTTGAAACATACACCTCTCTACACTACTAATTCCCAGTGCCATGTTTTCCTCTTTAATCATTCCATCGCTCTATACTTTGGTTGCTTTTTTATCTGGCTACATGCGTTGCGAGCTGTGCCGCCACCATCGTCGCGACTGTCCTCCATGGCCTTGGTGCTGGGAGCCGATCTCTACGTTCGGCTGGCCTCCTTTACGCTTTGGAGCTCCCATTCATGGATGGTGCCTCACCATTAACCCCGGCAGTTGATGGGGAGTCATACTTCTCCTTCTCCGCACTCATCACGGCCTCGGTTGTATCTTCAGCCGGCTCCTTCTCTATTTTCGTGCTGCCCTCCCCATTGGTAGTCGCCACGGCGGCTGTCGTTCCTGATCCCTTTTCCTCTTTCGTGTTGGATTCATCCGAATTGTCTTGTTTCTTCTCCTTGTCGTCCACAACCGGCGACGACGCCGAGGAGCTAACGTCTGCCTCCGGCGTCGAGGAGATGGCCGCATTGAGGTCCTTGAGAGCCTTGAGCTTCTTCAGTTTCCTCCTCGCCCGACGCTCGCGCAGCTGCTTGGCGATCACCTTTTGCGTGTCCATGTACGCCAGCTCCTCGGCCACCCAGTCTTGGGCGTTCTCGACCGCCGCCGCGGGGTCGGTCCTGTGCGAAAGCAGGTAGCCCTGCAGCACGGCCGGGGTGAGCGTGGCTTCGGGGATCTTCTTGGAGAAGTCCACCGACAGTTGCGCGAGGGCTTCGGGCGACACTTCCACGGAAGCGCCCGCCGGGATCTCTTTCAATATGTTGGATAGCAGAGCGGACCGCGGTTCCGGCTGTGGCCGGGGTGTGGGTTCGGGCTCGCTGCTGTTCTCGTGTGTCTTGAACTTTCCCTCCCTGCCTTTGGCGCTCTCTCCCGCCCCCATGGCCCCCTTCTCGACCTCGGATCCAGACACATTGGCGCTCTCGGCAGGACGGTACATTCGCAAGAACATCAAACGCGCCGACTCCTGGCTGATGTTCCCTAGGAAAATCTTGCGGTCGATACGTCCCGGGCGAACCAAGGCCGGGTCGAGCTTGTCGGCCATGTTGCTCGTCATGAGCACGATGCGGCCCTCCTGGGAAGCAACGCCGTCGAGGACGTTGAGGAGGCCGGAGAGGGTCGTGCGGGGGTTGCGCAAGACGAGCAACTCGTCGTCCTCGTCGTCGCTGTCGTCGAGGCCGGTTTTGTGATCGTCGTCGTCGTCGTCCTTGAGGCCGAGCTGCTTCCGCTTGATGCCCACGGCGTCAATGTCCTCGAGCAGGACGATGCAGCGCGGCGGGAGCGAGGTGAACAGGGTCTCGAGCTCCTTGTCGTTGCTCATGCTGGGGATGTGCAGCAGGTACAGCTCTAGCCGGAAGATGCCCGCGAGCGCGAGGGAGAGCGAGGTCTTGCCGGTGCCCGGGGGACCGTGCAGGAGGTAGCCCCTGCGGTACGGGATGCCGCGCTGGTGGTAGAACCTTCGGGTCTCGGGCTGCAGGTAGTTGGCCACGTCGCGCACCAGCTCGGCCTTGATCCTCTCGTCAAAGTGGACAGTCTCGAGCGGCCGGACGGGCCGGAGGATGGTGGTGTCCCAGGTGTACTGGTGGTACTGGCCCTTGCAGGCGCGGATGGTGATGCACTCCTCGCGCTGAAAGTCGGAGAAGTCGCGGCACTCCTCGAGGAACTTCTTGATGGGCTCGACGGAGCGGCCGAGGCACATGACGACCAGGGACTCGTTGCCGCTCGGGGCGTCGGCGTACTCGTCGGGCGTCTCGGCGCCCAGCAGGCGCGGCAGGGCGCTCGAGGTGCGCGGGATGCGGCGCACGACGAAGACCCTCATCTGGTAGACGAACCAGGTGGCGCCAAAGGTGGGCAGGTACTCGACGGGCTTGCGCTGCTCGTGGCGGAAGTCGTCGCGCTCCGTGACCTGGCGCCAGCCCCAAGAGTCGTTGTCGACCGTCTCGGAGCGCGCGGCCAGGATGCGCGTCCGCTGCCGGGTCAGCACCATGGCGCCGAGCCAGTTGAGCACCTCGCGGTTCAGCCGGTCGCTGGCCGTGATGGACACCGAGGCCGTGCAGAAGCGCGTCACCCACCACGACAGCTTGACGGCCACCCGGTTGAGGAACTCGAACCCGGTCGATGTGAGGCCCATCAGCGAGATCAACCCTATTGCCTTGCTGATGTCGACCTGGAGCCACGTGCGCAGGAACGACGGCAGGAACCCGAGCCCGGGAACCGCCTTCTCCAGGATGTCCTGGAGCGAGATGCCTGAAGGCGACATGCCGCCGACCATGGCGGCCAAGGTATTTGCCATGCTGATATTGGTCTGGATGTAGGACTGCCCGAAGTGATAAATAGAAGAGGGACGTGAGCGTCCTGGGAGCGTCCTGTGAGAAGGGGGTGGTGGTGCGGGTTGGAGCCTCGACCACAGGAGGAGCAGGCAAGAATGGTTAGGTGAAGGATTTGCAGATATAATCCCAAGCCCAGGAAAGAGTGACTCTGTTTGTACCGAGTCGTCTCGTTTGTCTTGAAGGCTTGCGACGGGCGCGTTGTGCGCTGCAGCGTAATGCGCCAGGCGGAAGGTGGGATGGAGATGGACGCGTGCAAGCACAGAAAAGAGGTGTAACGATATAACCAAAGACCAATCTCGGTGCTCCAGCGAAAAATAAAAAAGACAGAGAGAATGTACTATGTACAATAGGAGATATGCGAATAGAAAACGAAAGACCCCAAGGAGTATCAGGACCGTGAACCAGCAGCGTAAGCGCAGCTCTTTGAAAGAAGCTACTATCATGCACCGCGCGGCGGTCAAGTACGACAGCCTGACCGGTCGAGGTGGGTGTCTCCATGATCCTTCAGGGCTGACAGATGCCCACCGCACCTGTCCACGCCCTTACGCCTTTACGCCCTTACGTCCTCCCCGCCGCTGCCTAGCACAAGGCTCAGCAGTCGTTTGTGGCATATGGAGTGTTTGACAGCCCGTCCCCGCACCTGCAACGACCCTTTTGCTGCCGTTTTTCTTCTCTTTTCTTGCTACACCAGAGCCCACGCGACTTCCAAAGAACGTGAAACGCTAGGTGATAGCCCGCCTGATTCCTACGCACCCATGGATCGTGTACGTACGTGGGGCGGCGCATGCTGGTTGGTGAACAAATAAATAGGTAGGTAGAAAAGTGTTGGGTGTTGGATGAGGGTTCCCTTTTTTGCTCTTCCAACACAAGTCCTCTGCAGAACAGGGAAGCAATACAACGGCCCCGACCCGAGGCGGCACCGGCGAAAGCAGCTCGCGGGGCGGCGCTGGATCTCGACACAGCTACCGATCTACCTGGTACCACACAAACCCGCCCGTAGCGGAGAAGTGGTAGATATGCTGCGCCAGCAGACCAACCAGCAGTCTCGCCTTTTCCGAAGACAGAATAGAATGCCGTGGCGCTTATGCAGGACTCGTGCGCGCCAGTCACCGCATCTCTTGGAAGCCAGGAAGGGGTAGGCTGATGCTACCGGGGATGGGGCGGCAGGCACCTAGGCAGAGCAGAGCACACCGGCTACCAAGGTGCGGGCCTGATTGGGCTCTTTGACCCCGCCGACGGCACGTTTTATTTAGGTGCAGTAGGTCCACGTGTCGTAGCGAGGGGCTCGATAATACAGGTGAGTAGGATATTGAACGCTACGACCTGCAGATCCTTCCTAATTAGGCCACGTCCAGTCTACATTTTTTCCCATAGAAAATCCCGCCAAATTAATGTACCGCTACCCGCGCCTCCATCTGCCAGAACCTACTAGAATCGTCCGAAGCTATTAGTTACAATACATCGATTCCTACTACAAATTGTGCGTTGAGATATGTACCCTTACCCCCCTTGCCAATACCCTGGCAGACCCCCCCCTTGTTAGGCCCACAGCTAACCTTTAATAATAGTACCATACCCGAGAAGAGGGCTGTCGAGAAGATTATGTATGTGCCGATCTGTCTCGGGTCGCACAGCATCAGCTCGGCTGCTTAACCGAATGGGGCGGTGTATTTGATGAGAGAACTGGGTGGTGTGGGCAAAGGCTCTGGTGCGGGAGAGAACAGCAATATTAATAAGACTAAGAAAAGCTCCGAGTATCAGTCCCATCGACACGGGTAGCTACAGGGAACTAGATTGGAAAGAGCATTGGGAAGATATCTGATCGTTCTACCCGGGGGTCGATGCCGGGGAACCCTGAGCGGCCAACTGGGGCTTCCCATGATGGGCCGTCTCCTGGCAAGTTCTGCGATAGCCAGCCCTCCCATCGGTTCATGCTGTTCGCGCACAGATGCCCAAGTGACTCACGCCGGTTCAAGTACTGTACTCAGGCTACTGGCCCAAGACACCCAGGTACATCTGACAGTGAGTTGCTGCCTGCCATCCTTGGTGCTATTGTAATACGACGACATGAGACAGCCTCCACAACAGTGGAGCTGGGTGAGCGACAGCTGAGCACAAGCACAAACAACACAGGCCACTTATAACCAACCCCGGTTATAGCCCATGGAGATGGGGTGGGGGATCTCCCCAGTTCGTGTGCATGCACAGAATTTGCCGAGTGGTGACCCAGTCCAGGTCCCATAAGTTGGGATCGTGGAGACCCGTGATGCAGCTCAATCTGAAAAGGGAGAAACAGACAAGAGATCCGATGCGTGTGACACCAGGTGCTTTAGCCGGGGAGGGGCATCAAATATGATCCAAAATAACACTCAAAATACTAGGAGTACGCATTCCTATCTATCATGGTGGTGAAACGAGGGCTGGAATTAAAAAGAACAAATTAAAGAGTAAAAAGATCGCTTCTATGGTATCGCTCATGACCCCGTCCCAACCCACCTACAATGTGACAACAAGGAAACAAACCTGGGATGGGCTCACTTGCCCTTACAAACGTACAAGGAACGACCCAAAAGGAGAGATGCGCGACTCAAGAGGAGGACGCGAAGGATGAACAAGGGCAAGGGGAAAGCGCCGGGTGAGGGGAATTTCGGGACTGGTCGTTGCCTCAGGAGGTTCCGCGGTGACGTCTGGTTTGGCACTGCGCCAAAATGGCAGCAGATGTCCGCAAGCAGGGTAAAGGCACGGCAAAGGCATGCGTCGAGATGGCGCCGACGAGAACCGTCTCGCAACAAACTCAGCGTCTCAGAGCTCGTATGGCCCCAACTCGTCTGATGTACAGTCGCATCGACTGCTCGTCAAGCTTCTTTTTGAGGAGGTCATAGTGGGCAGTGACATCCACCTGTAGGTGGCAGTTGTCTGTTTTGAGGTAGACGAAGCCCGAGATCTCGACGCAGCCGGTAGGGGGCAGGTTGGGAGGCAGCTGCCAGCGGGGGGTGAGCTCCTGCACAAACGACGTCCACGCACGATCTCTCATTTGCTTGTCCACCATCTCAGTTGGTGGCGTCACGCGCTTGAATAGCGGGAGCAGCGATTTTTTGGCCTCGTTGGCGTCATGGTTCTGCCCTTGCTCCTGACTCCGCTGCGCTTGGTCCTCCTGCTGTTTGCCACCGAGTCCAGCAGCACCGGCTTCTGGCAGCGTCCCACCAGCCGGTGCCCTTGTCGCACGGGGCGTGGGGTCTGACCCAGATCCCTGCTTTGGCCCGAGGTTCGGTGGGAGCGGCGTTCTCCTGCCTCCGGGGCCTTTCGAGATGCCGGCATCCTCCTCATCCCCGTCGCCTTCTTGCGGTCTCGGGCGGAGGGTGGAGAGCCGGGGCAGGACGGGTATCCTGATGGGCGCACTCTCCTGGCTCGATGATGGTGGATATCCTAGGGCGCTGCGGCCTTCCGTAATCGTATCCTGGAACAGCGTCTGCAAGAAGGCTGCACTGGCGTGCAAGGTATGCACAGGCCAGAACGTCCTCATCGTGCGGCGCCACGACCTGTAGTCCGTCCGACGCGTCCGCAGCCAAGGTCCGCCATCCGAGGGAAACGGCACCCATCCCAGCTGTAGGATCTTGGGCGGAGGATGGGGAGGCGTGGACAGGAAGAAATGCGATGACGACCACGGGTGAACCTTTCCAAATCTGGAACTGACCCATTTGGTGTTGGCGGCGGACTGGTAGACTAATTGCCTGACATGGTCTAGTTTGGGAGCACATCACAGTTAGTCTGAGCATCAGGGTATGTGCTGGGCTTGAGTCGACATACTGGCCACTTTCTCTCGCTCCATCTTGGCTTCGGCCGATTCCCTGTTGAACTCGACATATCTGGCCCACTCGGGGCTCGATCTTGAATAGGGCGGCTGACGGACGGTCTCGAACATGGGAAGCGGGACAAACCAGTCCTCGTAGTCGGCGTCGTTTTCGTCGTCGATGGGGTCTAGCTTTTCCATCTCATCGAGGATCCGCGACAGCCCGGGCTGCAGGATACCTTCGTCTAGTATCTTCCATGAGATGTACACGGCGACACCACCGAACAGCGCTTTCCTGTTTTCGGCGCAGCACGACCGGTCAGTGGCGGGCAAACATGAGGAGTGGAATCCAGTCGCCGACAGGCGCCTCGAAACACTGGGCAGGTGAGGCTTACCTAAAAGTCTTGCCTCGTGTAACGCGCGCCTGCTGTAGTCGAACGGCCGCGGGCTGAGAAATAGTCGGTGCCGCCCGGACGACAGCGGGCGTCATGGCGCGGAGAAGCCTGAGCATTCTCGCCGAGTGGCGCCGGCTCGCCAGCTGGCGGGGGACCTCGGTGACTTCTGTTTTGGCAAAGGATGATTCCGAGATTCGAGGCGTAGCAGCGTGGGTGGCGGGTTCCGATGACGGCTGGGGTGCGGAGTGGAGTGCGGGATGTCTTGGAAGGTTTTGCGGCTTGCGACGGGTGTTGGGTCGGCGAAATGGAAAGGTCGGGTCGGGAGTGGTGAGGATGATGGGCTGGAGCCGAGGAGTTTGGGATTTCTAGGTTCGTGGCAGAGGTGAAAGGAGCCGGCGATCTAGGATGGTGAGCGGGTAGGTCGAGTTGGGCGGCGATGCTGTCACGGGCTGTTGGCTGTCCCAAAATTATCCCGCGGCGGCGTGAGTTCACGCTGCAGTGACGGGCGTCTGGAGGCGGTCCGCCACCATGAACCAGAACGTTCCAGGTTACGTAAGGTAACGTGCCGTTGCACCTGAGCCCGACAATCACCCGAGGCGCGGGTTAACGACATGGCCCAGGGCCTCCCTGCCCCTGCCGCGTCCACCGCAGAGCGCAGGGCTGGTCTATGCGCATCACCACGCCAAACAGTGAGCAAGTGCTTGATTAACCACCTGCAGCGACCTCGAGCCCGCTTCCAAGCTCAAATCATTGAAGCCACAAATCCCAACACCACAACCCCCTTTCATCGGCAGCCAGCCTCCCATCCAATTCGACGCGGCTGCAATCATGAAGTGGTGCACAATAACCGTCACATCCCTCTCGCTCGCGGGCCTCGCGCTTGCCTCGGCGCAGGCGTCGACCCACGCCGAGGTCTACGCCCTCACGCCCCGAGCGAAGCCGTCGAGCAAGGCCAACCCTCCGCACCTACCGCGCCAGCTCGCCCGACACATCCTACTGCAGCGGACGACCAACGGCGATGACCACTCTAGCGTGTCAGCCGACCTGCCCGACGCCATGGACCGGGACCGCGCCCTGACGCACATCCTCGAGTTTGGCCGCGAGCCCGCGCACCTGTTCAACGTGGGCCGTCGCGACCCATCCCTCGTGCTCATGCTTGAGGGCGCCACCGACGACAATGTTCACGAGCTCAAAAAGGGCCTGGAGAGACGGGGGCAGCAGCTGTCCTTCGTCATCGATGATCCGCCGTCGGCCGAGGCGAATCAGAAGCTTATCGACCGGGATTTCCTCGGCGCTGCATCCAACTGCAACGACGTGGCCGATATTGAGGCCGTGCTGCGGCCCGGCGACAAGAAGTGCTGGCAAGGACAGTCGCTGTTCGCCAAATACGATGTTGAGAGGGTATGCCTTCTTCCCATCAATAAGCGTCTCGGGCGCATGCTTCCAGCATCTCCGAGGCATACCCGACGCAACGAAACATGAGCAACGTCAGCTAACACAATCATATTTCTCTGGATAGCAACCATCGGTCGTTTCGGCAATCGTTTCGAACCTCGGCAGCTTGCTCGACTTGGTCGACGATGACATGCAGGCCATCATTGTCCTCATGCCCGAGAGCAGCCGGACGGCCGGGTCCAAGGAGTGGACCACACAGCAGACCGACGCGTCGGACCTTCGCCGCCGCCAATTCGAGACTGTGCTTGGCGAGAAGCTTCCCAAGAAGTCGGACGGCTTCCATAGCTCGTCCGGCTCCCCCCACCTTGCCGCCGGCGGAGCGGCCCCCAACCGTCGCATTCCCTCCTGCTTCACCAGCCTCTCGGCCTGCAAGAATGCCACGGCCGGCTGCTCTGGCCACGGCGAGTGTCTGAACAAGTTTACGGGGACCAACGCCTCGGTATCCAAGGGCGAGCCTGTCTGCTTCTCGTGCCGCTGCCTCCCCACCAAGGAAGGAAACACGAGGGCGTTCTGGGGCGGCAAGATGTGCCAAAAGAGGGACATCAGCACCCCTTTCTGGCTCATCACGCTCCTCACCGTCGCCCTCATTGGCATGGTTTCTATGGCCATTGGCATGCTGTTCACCGTCGGCGAGGAGAAGCTTCCTGGTGTCATCGGGGCTGGCGTCAGCCGGCCTGGCAAATGATAGGGCCGCTTGTACGTTGTTTCTGATTAGGTATATTTCAAGCCGTTCTCGGTCGTCGGCAGCTGGGAAGTGCCGCAAACAGCTGGGCGGCTCGGGATTTCCGAGGCTGCTACAGACTGCCACGTTGACCTGGTTCATTTCGGCGTCCCGGGGGAAACTTTGTACATGGCGCCTCGTGGGTTGTGCCATGATTATCACTGCCATTTCTCTTTTGCTCTAGTCATCTACTGTATTCTTCAATGCCATTTCTGTGTGATATCGAACCCAGCTGCCACTGCTGGCTCTAACCGGCGTCCTCTGCATCTGGCCGCTTGGTGGGTGTCCCGAAGCTCTCCAACCCCCGCTGGGCTGGAGTGTCGGCACCAAACCCAGTCGGCAACGGCCTCAACGGCGATTGGGTGGCACTGCTAGGGGGCATTGGCAAGTCTGAGGCTCCCGGCGTTGTGTGATACTTGTTTCCTTCCTGGTCCAGCACCGTCTGGACCTCCGCCTCACGCGCTGCGATTTCCGACTTCTCCTTCTCCAGGTCGGCGATGCGCAGCTGCTTGGCCGTCACGTCCCTCTCCATCCCCTGCAGCACCTCCCGCATCCTGGCCAAGCACTCACCCAGGTCGGGCAGGGGCTTGAGCCGGGGGATCTCGGCAACCCCCGTCCCCCGTCCGCCCCCGCCCCTGGACTCCTCCTTGCTCCGCCTCTGCAGGCCATCCATGCCGGCGCGGGTCTGGGCCTCTTCGTAGGCGGCGCGGCGCTCGGCCTCTGAGTCATCCCCGTCGCTCGAACCGCCATCGCCGCCGCCGCCGCCGTCACCCTCGGCCGCGTCGATGAGTTCAGCCATCTCGGCGCGCCGGCGCCGGCGGGCGTCGCGCTCCGCCTTCTTGCCGAGTGAGAGGCCGCCATCCTCGACAAACTCCTCGTAGCCCTCGCCCAGGTCCTCGTCCTCGGCCACGAGCCGCGACTCATCCTTCTTCTTGGACTTGGGCCGGAGGGATATGTAGTCGCCGTCGTCATCCGAGCCATCAAGAGACATGAAGTCCTCCTCCCGGGCGAGCCGCGCGCGCCGTTCCTTGCGCTCGCGGATCTCGGTCTCGGTCAGCACGACGGGTCCTGCGGGATCCGGGTTTGGCCGCTGCTGCTGCAGGCCCGACAGCTCGCCGCTCGGCACGACGAGAGCGCCGTCGAGCTCGGCGAGGTCCAGCTCCATCGCCTCATCGTAGTCGCCGCTAATCTTGAGCGTCGAGATGTCCCGCGGCGTGTTGGGGGTGCTGTTGGCCAGCTCGTCGAGGTACTCTTTGCTGTAGCGCGGTCGAAAGTCATCATCGTCGGCGGCATGGCCGCTGCTAGTTGCTGGCTGTCTGATGCCGATCGGTAGGCGGTTCCTCAGAGCGCTGTTCTCGAGCGCCCTTGATGACAGGCCCGACTTCTTGGGGGTTGTGAAGGGGCCCGCGCCAGCGTCATCATCCCCGCCGGGAGCTGCGTCGCCGCCGAAAGACAGCCTGCTGGACAGCCGTTTCTTTTTCGTCTTTGTTGATCCGGCACGGCTGAGAGATGACTTCACCACGATGGGGTCATCTTCCTCGTCGCCGCCACTTGGTGCTGTGGCTGTCGCGGGAGCCGGTGCCGGCGCGGATTCTGTAGGCTGACCGAGGTTGCTTGCTAGGGCGGCAGCATCTTCGGCGTTGATACTCTTACGGAGCGACGAGTGCTTGAACGGACGTTTCGTGAACTTGACCGGTACCGTGGTCGTTGTGGATAAGCCTATGAGGGCACATAAATCGAGACATGCGTGTTAGTAGACTTCGCTCATGATCAGCAAGAGTTTGCTACTGCGCGCCGGAGCTCAGAGACAGGGGGTAGACATACCTTCTTTGGCGGGTTCGCCGCGCCCCGCATCCTGCGATTGTTGACTTGGCGCGTCTTTTCCATGCTCATCGTCGCCATCGTCGGTCCCAAAGGTCCGGATCGCGCGAGGCTTGCGCTTCGATGTGAACATGGTTATGGGACTTCAGCGGGACAGAGGCTGTCTAATTGCTCGCAGAATATACTCCAGCGAACAATGGTCCCATAGGATTGCATCGCCGCGCTGCAGGTTGTGTCGTTCATGAACGGCTCATCTAGGGGCAAGAACACGCCGACGAGAGGCGCGCGATGCAAGCGGCTTATCTTATCGGCACGTGGAGCAGCGCTCTTATCCTGCGTCAGACCCACTACAGCCAACCCACCACGAAAGTCGGCCCGCGATTTGAAGCTCTGCGGCAGCTCCGTCATTCTGAAAACGCGCCTGGCCTGCACCCGACAACTCTCCCACCGGCGCTTCTCCGACCAAGACCGTCTTCAGCCGTCGTCTTTGCACCTGCAGCTACCCACGATCTCAAGATGGCACCCGCACAGCCCGAATTGAAGAAGGTAAGTCTTTCTGTGCCCTTCCCTACGTTGTCAGAGCACTCTACTAACGGCGCCCTCTCACCGCAGTACCTCGACAAGAAGGTCTTCGTGCAGCTCAACGGCTCCCGCAAGGTTGTCGGCGTGGTGCGCGGCTACGACGTCTTCCTCAACATTGTACTCGACGAGGCATTCGAAGATAAGGATGGCGGCGAGAAGGTCAAGCTCGGCATGGTGGTGCGTAACCAGACCCACGCCCCTACCGTCCTGTTGTGGCCCGGACGGGAGACTATATCATATCGCTAACCCCACGCGATCCCTTCTGGCTTAGGTGATTCGCGGAAATTCGGTTGTGATGCTGGAGGCGATGGAGCGTATAGGAGGCGACGACCGTGGCCACGGAGGTGGCAGGTAGTTGGTTACTCGCAACAAGTTATGCCGCCCAGGCACCAGCAAAAAAAAAACGACATCAGAACGCCATTACACCGCATCGAGTGTGACGCCCCAAACATGAAGCCGAGGCGTTCCTCTTTCTCGGCTCGCCCTTGGAGCTTCATGCGTGGAGGAGCTGACGCGTTCTCCGGCGGTCGATGGATCAGACACGATCCGGCCCCGTCACCTGTCGATGGTCGAGGAACCCATGTACCCTTCCTTACAAGGCGTTGTTTTTCCCGAGATCTTTCTTAGAGGGCTCTTTTTCCGGAAGAGGAGTGATACCCGGCGGTTGAAACAAAAAGTTTTTATAGAAAGAGTCATGGTGCATGCATCCCCAGCATGAAATCTGAGCATCGACGCGGTCCCGCAAGGGGGCGGCGAGACTAGCGCGCCTCTACTTGGACTGTTCCCATGCTGCCGCCTCGTACCACTCCATCTGCCTGCTTTCGTACTGGGCTACCCACGCCTTTATTCCTCCCCCGAGGGTGAATGCCTTGATTTCCTTTTCGCCCACCTCATCGAGCAAGTCCTGCATCCACCCGGCGCATTTCCAGCCCCTGCCACCGTGGGAGCAAGATCCTGGCGCCCCGGTGGTGCCCCCAGGTCAGCGCTCACTTCGGACGGACTTGCTCGACTGGACCGAGCCCAACGGGCTGGTAGCGAGAACCTACCGCAGTAGAAAATGATCCGCTTGATGCCTGCTCTCTTGCAGAGGTCGTAGACGACCCTGCGAGTCTGGTACAGCGTGTGCGCGGGCAGGTTTATCGAGGTTGCGATGGTGCCGCCCTCCCAGTCCGTCCGGCGGACGTCGACGAGCAGGAAGTCCTTTGGCGTGCCGTCCCCGCCCTCCCCTTCCAGCAGCTTGAGCACCTCGGCCGGGTCCAGGCTGGCGCAGTCGGACTTGGGGGCGGGGAACGCCGCCCACCAGGGCTGCTGCGCCTCGGGCTTCTGCTGCTGCTCGCTCGACATGGTGTTCCCAGGGTTTGCTTGAATCTGGTCTAGATGTCACAATGCCTGCCTGATCGTGGGAGCCAACGGTCTGTCGCGGCCCTTGATGGGTGGTCTTTGCTGGATGCGATTGGTTTTCTGCACAGCCCAGTCGAATGATTGACGTGAGACAAACCCCGCAGGCGTGGACCCCTGGCTGCTAGGTAGGGCCAAGGAGAATTACCGGTCCCAGCCCAGGACGGTACTTGAGCCGCAGCATCTGATCACCAGACCAACGTATTCTGCTACGGCACCATTTCAGGGATGCGAGCAGTCGACATCACGCTAGTAAGAGGTCGGGAAGCAAAGTGGCCCGGCTTCGTAGCCTGATCCGTCAACCTGACAAGGAACACACCACGATGACAACCCCTTTTTATCGATTTATACGAAACTTCTAGAAATCAACAATCCATGCTAAAGGCGGGTACCGGTCAAGAGACAGAGAGCGGGCCAAATTGGAATTCAGCTAGGGACTTCTCAGGTGTGTTTTCTTCTAAGCCATGTATCTAAACTTATGGTATTACTATGTTCGGGCTTTGTAAAGTTTATTGTTTCGTAACTGTTTGACGCAACGAGACTTCCTATCCTCAACTCAAACTTGGGTATCACAGGGTCTTTTCGACAAAATTATTGGGCCGCCCACTAGGGGGACTATCGCGCTCGTACTCGACGGTAAATGACAGTTTTTGGCGTATTTGGTTGGGCGCCAGAGCTTCGAGGTCGCTTCTTTGCCTTGCAGTCATGGGCCTTGATACCAAGGTCTGGGACTGCACGGTTCCCTTGGAGGGTTGTCTGGTGGAGTTGATTTTGTCGCGAACCAGCACCCTCATGGCCGGAATAGACGCGGCGATGATACTCAGGCCGATCTCCACGTACGAGTAGATCAACAGCTCGGCCGAGTCGACTGTGTTGGGGGTAATGACATATGTTAGCAAGACTGGCGTTTCGTTGATGTAATGGATGGGAACACAATCCTGTTGGAGACTCACAAGTGAAGTCGCCGGCCGCTAGCCCTGGTATGTAGGCAGCCTTGATACATGCGGCGGCACCAGCACTATAGGCGAGGAATTGCAGAGTTAGCCACAACTTGACAAGGGGGAAGTGAAAACTTCCAGGCAAAATGAGGCAAAAGAGGGTGACTGACAAGATACCCATGCTCATGGCCGAGGCGACGCCGATCTTCTCGGCGCGCTTCATCTGCAGCGACATGACAATCTTCCATGGGACCAGCGACAGCAGGATGTCGATGGCGCCCGAGTAGGCGGCCATGACAAGCGAGATCATGGACTGGACGCCGGGGGTCCAGCAGGTGCCCGGCACGGACGGATTCCAGTACCGCTCCGACGGGTAGCACTGCAGCCACTGCACCATGAAGTTGGCCGTCATGGTGAGGTTGATGGTGACGATGGAGAACCAGACGGCGGCGCGGATCCAGGGGTCGATCGCGATGCGGAGGAGCGTGATGGCGAAGGACGTCTTGCTCAGCTGCGCGGCCAGGATCGATGTCGTGCCGGCGATGTTGGCCATGAGCGTGATGGGGCCTAGGTTGCGGGGGTCGACGGCGAAGATGTGCCGCCCCGAGCCCAGCGCGTACACCATGATGGTGTTGAGGAGGGCCGTCGCGTACGTGAGGACCCAGGATATCAGCAGGATCCAGTCGTCCCACCAGAGGGAGCCCTCGGACCGCGAGACCTTGGCCCAGAAGCGCAGGGCCATGAAGAGGAACGACGCGGCCGTGAAGGACCAGGCGGTCGCCACGATGCTGGGGCCTTTGTTTTCGTCCATTGTGTTCCTGGGCGGCTAGCGCGGAGGACTGGACTGCGGGTCGGTGTTGGGCTGCGATGCGAGCGGCGGCTGGTTCTGCACGCGCGCATAGTGGTGGTCGCCCGTCCCGCGATGTGTGTCTTCTCTCCTTTTTATCCCTCTCCCTACCTCGAGGGGGTGTGGGAAGGGCGCCGCGAGTAAGTATAATGACGGCCAGGGGGGCGGACCGTTGGGGACGCTATACCACAGCCCTGTCAAACTCAATTATAAGCCCCGGGGTGCTAGACGGCTTGGTGCTGTGCCGAGCGAGTGAAGCCAGCAGCGGACGTGCGAGCGGACAATGATACGGGGACCATGGGCATGGCCGACATACTAGGTATGTACATACCTGGTAGGCATGCGAGCGGTCTACAGGAAAGTAGGATATTAAATGTTACGCTGTGGGTCTAGTCAGCAGGGGTATAAGCAAGGGGGGTAGGGGTACACAGCGTGCCCACAATTCGTAGTAGAAATCAATGTACTGTAGGGCGCCCAACGCGTGCGCCGCATCCGGCCGGGCGTGCAATCGAGAAGGCATTGAATTGAAGGTATCGCGGTGCAGATTGGTGCACGCGTTGCCCGATTGCATGCGTTGATATCTGGGTTCTGGCAAATGGAGGTGTGGGTGGTGATACATCGATTTGGCGGGGTTTTCTATGGGGAAAAATGTAGCTTGGACGTGGCCTAATTCGGAAGGATCTGCGGGTCGTAACGTTCAATATCCTACTTTCCTGCACACCACGGTGCTCGCCCAGATCTGCCAATGGAGAACCACGATTGCTCCGTGGCTGGGTCGCGGCGGATCACACGTCAAGGGAGGTTGTGTCGGCGGCCCGATTCGAGGTCACTGACGCGAAAACACCAACGCTCCTCCCCCGGACCCTACCATGATGCCAGCCTCAACTCGAGTCGCTGGCAAGACGCGCCGGGGAAGGGGGTCGCAACCACTGACTCGGGGCCCGCCTTTCCGTTCGTCCCATTGTGAGGGTCTAGGCCCAAGCGCTATCGGCGCGTCTTAAGGCCAGGGCCCCATGCACAGCCCCAACAAGGTTTAACACCGTGCATACGTATAAATTACCTGTACACCGATGTACAAGGTGTGTAATTAAAATAGGAGGTTATCCAAACTCCCGACACCATTTTAGCTAGCATAATTTAACTGTAACGGCTATCGGTGTTGAGTTTAGAAGCCACAATTGGTCTCGGGAGGACGTCTCATCCGTTGTTTAAAATGCGATAAAGCCCTTCCCCCTGGCCTGCCCGTTTCTGCTCGGCAAAGCACGCGGGGCAAGCCCTGCCAGCATTGACGGACCCCTGTGTCGTCGTGCCTGGGCTTTTGTGCCAACCACCCACGCGCGCCTCCTCCAGCTCCCGGACAGGCCGCACTTCTCTTGTGCGACGCGCGCGACCGCCCTCCCGCCCGCCCACCCTCTTGCCCGTTTCCGTGCTTCTCCCGCCTCCCGCCGGCTTCCATTGTTATGGCATGGGTGGCGGTGGCGTCCGCCCCGTCTCGTCCTTCGACAGCCTGGCCCGCCCTTGCCTGCACGTGAGGGTCACCGGGGACACATGAAAAGCAATCTCCCAGAAGTCGCGAGTGGCGCTATACCGGCGCTAGAACGCTAAGAGGGGAAACACGCCCGGACTGAATCCGGGTCGCCAAGCATGGCGTGGCTGCCCCTGGCTTCCGCCTCTTGGCTTTCGTCTGACCTTACGGGCTGGCGCCACTAGTGCGTGAGATTTCAGGAGCTTCTCCCAATAAAGAAGTGCTTGGTAGATACCTGACTTATCTTGTCTACTGCGAACTGCTCTTGTTGGGTTTTTGTTGGCAACATGGCACCCCGCGGTTCGTGTCACTTGGCCTTAACAGCAAGCCCCTGGGCGGTTGTCACGACCGCGGGCTATCGGAAACAAGACGCATCAAATCCCTCAATGCGCTTTTCGGGGAATTTCTGATTGGCTGTCTGCCCCCTCGATTCCGTCCCCATTTCATGGGTGATCCGATTCCCATCGGATGTCGTCTGCGGCCCGTAGCTAGCGAGGCAGCCCTTGCATGAGAGCAGGCGTATTTTTGAGCATTCCACAGCGGCCTTGGTCTTGATAATCTGGACTATTTTCGCCTCTCGCAGGTTTCGGCTGTTCGCCCAGGCGGCAGTCGCATAACCGCGGGAACCGCAAACGTGTCCAAACCCTATCGACAGCCACACAATCCCACCTATTCTTGACCCTTTGGGAGATGTCTACCTGCCTATCTCGGCAGGCCTATGATCTATTACAAATGTGATTTCGTTCACTTCGCTACGGATTCGGTAGCCAAAATATCTTGGTATCAACCAGACCTAGCCGTGGCACAACCGCCTCCCGTCTTCCCTGGACGAAACGACATTGTGACTCCACTACCGCCTGAGTACCACGGCCAAAGAGTCTTTGGTTGTTAACAATATCTAGTTAGTGCTCCAAGGGCCATCTTTAACGCTGTTCCCAGATCTATCCGTTCGGATGAAAAGATTGCCGTGTAGATAAACATCGCGTCTCTCCTCGGTTTCTAGGACTATGGCACAGCCTCACACCCAAGGCCGTTATCCTCGTAACTTTCAGCCTGTATTGAACTACCTTCATCCCATCTTCAATTTAGGGCACCTGCAGTTTTAGATTGCGGCTTTTTACACTATTAACTGTCCGTTACCGGCAACATTGGGGCCTTGTTAGATGCCGTCACAGGACTTAAATCTCGACACACTGTCTCTGGTTTGTGTCACGGCCGCAGATCCTTCTCAGGCTCTTGCGAATCATCCGCCAGCTTCCCTCTATACCTGAGCTATTTTTGGAAATCTTAGGCGTCGCATAGATGAGGATTCGTGCCTATTGCTGGCCAGCTGCGTCGCGGCGCTCGCCAGACTCAGTGGGGACATCCCTGTCACACTCTTTGTTCGTGAATAGAGCGTGCGTGGTGTCCGTTTGGGTTTGATGGCTGATCGGGGTCACCTGTCGGGGCCTCACAGGTTCAAGCCAGTGCCTATGCGACTGCCCCTGTGAGGACCAGGGTGATCCCTGTGACAACCCCGATCCCCCGACTATTGCTCCGAGTCTGATCCGTGCCTGGGGGACGGCCCGCCCGAGTGGTGCGGTCCGTCGACCTACGGCCCCTACAACGGGCCCGATCCGCCGTGGTACTGCCCGGGCGTCATCGAGGACCCGTTCTCTGTCGTTGACGACACCGAAACTGGGTTCCGGTTCACGCAGTACAAGGCCGCCTACTCCCTGGGCTACGAGAGGATCGTTTATCGCGTGGCGCGGCCGCGCCTTGTGTCTGTGAATCAGGGCTATGATGTTGTCATCCAGATTCAAGCGCCCGTCGAGGTCGGATGGGCCGGTCTCGCCTGGGGTGCTACAATGAAGAACAGCCCCTTGACCGTGGTCTGGGCCAATTGCAGCAACACTATCATCTCGTCGCGGTGGGTATCGTACATCAAGGCTGATGTCCAATTTTGCTGGAAGTCGACAAAGATGACGCTAACACGCTGACCAGGTCGCATGCCCTCCCAACCTCTTACGATGGCGCTATATACAGCGTGCTGGGGTCGGCAACGTTTGTCAACAAGACCCATTGCCAGGTTACTGCCAAATGCAGCGGCTGTACCTCCTGGACAGACCCCGACTTGGGCCTCATCACCGTCACGCCCACAGGTTTCAACGAGTTCGCCTGGGCATATGCTATATAGCCGCCAATGAAGCCAGGGGACAACACGTCGACGTTTGGGTTCCACGACGCGCACGGCATTTTTGAGAAGGACCTGGCCGAAGCGGGGAACGAGGACTTCGAAGGATTGGTGTCTCGGAACAGTATCCCTTCAGGCTCTGGGGTTGGCGCCGCCCGGTGGGGAATGCCTCTATACTGAACCACCCGTAGACGACGGGAGAATCACTTTCACAGATGGAAACTACGACTTTTACGGTCACCGAAGCGTCAAGCACTGTTTTCATCGCCGCTATAGAAACGGGCGAAGCAGGCAGACAGACGACGGCTACTGCCTCTGTACCGACCATCACCACCACTGTGGTATTGACAGCCTGCGCAGTTGCTCAGGGGCTATGAGTGAGATGTAGTTGGAAGTCGCAAGGTCGGTAATTTGACTTGGCTATATTCCCGCCAATGAGATCGGCGACAGAGCCTCTCAGGGCGGTTACGTTATACGGGCACAAACCTATGCCTGTGGGGGCGTAAGCTTATGGCTGCGAAAAACGCCGCGCCCAGCTTTGGGAGTTGACGCTAGCGAATTGCTGCGCCCCCTCTCGATGGACTGACGAGGGCATCAATATTTCTACACGCTTGCATCTGCGGCTCTCTTTTCGTCCCAAAACACCAACAGGCATCATCCCGCAGGGTGTGAATCCCTGACGGCGCGGGGGGCCAGAAGGAACCCGGGTGTGGAGATTTGCGATCCGAGCAGCCAGCCAGGGACCTCCGCAACCGAAGCACGTAAGCGGCGGTAGTGGAAGCAAGGCCTCTCGTCGTGGCGATGATGACGCTCTTGGCCCTGATCCTATCGCGGCCCTGGCGCCTTCAGCCCCGCGTTCGGAGCCCCTAGCGGTCGACCGATTCGGGGTGCGGCCCGCCGGCGATTGGCTGCGCCCGCAGACTTGGCTGCAGAGGCATCGAGGAACTATCGATTCTAGACTCCAATCTTGCCCATCCTGCAAGCGTCTGTGTAAGCGGAGGGGCGTCTTGGCGATAGAGCTGCGGTTATGGGACGACGGGCCCCCCTGTCCAGAGGGCGGAATAGCCTCACTCGGCCAAGTATCGTGCCAAGGACCATCAGTTGGTTCTGGTTGGTGAGTATGCGTTTGTCTTGCTCCCTTGCCATTTCCGAATACGGCGCGATGGGCGGCCCCGACTGCTAGGCAGTCATCGCAGCATCTTTGTCGTGAGCTGGATCATACGCAATGTTATAAAAGCGCCGTCTTTCCTCCCGGAGCTCAGTGAAGAGAACTCGTCTCAGCAGGAAGCACCAGTCTCTCAAGCCTCCATCTTCCACCTTCACTCCTCCCCCCAGGGTCCCCACTCTCCCCAAGCCAGCCCGGAAGCAGCAGTCTTTTCCACCATGCAGCTCACGTCCCTGCTCGTCTCGTCCGCGGCGCTCGCCGCCTGCGCGGGCGCCGCCGCCGTGGCCCCGCGCCAGGACCTCGGCGACGTCACCTTCTCGCTGCCCGAGCCCATCGCCGTCGACAACTCCAACGAGCGGATGCTGCTGCCCGAGGACGTGACCTGGTCGGTGCAGGAGGTCCTCGACGGCGGCGGCAACGCGACCGAGGCGGCCCCGTCGGCCGACGCGGGCGCGGCCCTCCTCGGGGCGCGCCAGATCGGCGTCGACGAGCGCGTCCTGCAGACCAGCACCGCCTACCCCTTCCGCGCCATGGGCCGCGTCCGCATCAACACGGCCAGCTCGTCGTCGTGGTGCTCGGGCTCGCTCGTCGGCGCCCGCGTCGTCATGATGGCCCGCCACTGCCTCACGTCAGGCGCCTCGTACAGGTTCCAACCGGCCTACTACAACTCGGAGCGCCTGGGCGGCTTCGACGTCAGCCACACCATCCACGTGCCTGGGGAAAACGCGGACAACGATGGCTGCGGCTGGAAGAACGACTGGGCGATCCTCATCATCAGTACCAAGCCCAACTACGGCTTCCTTGGGTTCCGCTACATGACCGACGCCATGTCCAACGCCGCCCTCAACTGGTGGAACGTAAGCGCCCCCTCCCACTCTCCCCTTGTTCCTCAATGACAACATGCCCCGAGATAAGAGGCTAACATGACATCCCACCACAGTACGGCTACGGCCAGGACAAGCAGGCCAGCGGCCAGCACCCGTACTCGCATAACGGCTTCAGGGTCAAGAAGACGACTGGGTGCGGCAGCAGCGAGGGCGGCGCTCTGGAGCACTACGCCGACACCTTTGGCGGTAACTCGGGCGGCCCCGTCTGGCTGAACGAGGCCGACGGCTCCTACCAGTACGGAGTCCACGTCGGCGCCGTCAGGGGTGTTCGTGCCATTGCTTCGCACGGCGCAACCCTCATCAACGCCATCATCAAGGCCCGCAACGACTTCCCTTGAGTGATTAAACGTTAGGTCAGACACAAGGAGGTGCCTAACTTGTTGATGTAATGATGGGAGTGTCAATGTTTCCCTGTGGGTTCTCATTAGCATATGATCGCATCTGTGATCAACGTATTGTTCATGTATGTAGGAGTTTCTAGTTGGATATAAAAAGCACGCACTGCTTGATTGTGGTGACTCTGCTCTCGTTATTAACACACTTGCTTGAAACATCGCCCTCATGCTGCATGATTGACTGTATTCATTTTGGTGATGGATGAAGAGAACACTGGCTGGTGCCGTGATTCAGAAAGGCGACCAACTCGAAGTAAAGAACGTAATTGGACGAAAACGTTGAATGCGCATACCGTCAGCCAGAGGGTTTAAATCAGACTGATTTCTCCTTAGCAACAGGAATGGTGTAGCGCAATCCCTTCGTCACACTGCCGAACAAAAGCGCGAAAGAATCCGCCCACCAGTTCTGCCCGTTGCGCCAAGGGTCCCTGCCCCCGGACATGGGCATCCTGGCGTTGCCCTCAAGGATGTACGTCGAGTTGTTGGGCATGACGGGGAGTTTGGGCATCTTCTTCCTCTCAGAGGGCTCGATGTAGGGAACGACCGAGGTCGCGCCCAGTTTGCGCTGATGCCTCATGACCTTGAGCGCCGTCTTGATGTGGACGTCGGCGCCGGGTGTCCAAGTCGCCGCGGTGTACCCTATAACAGCACAGGCGTTGGGGATACCGTCCAGCATGCACGAACGCCAGACATAGCTCTCGTTGATTGGGTGCGGGACGCCGTCGATAATGGGCGCGCGGCCGCCGAGAAGCTGCATGTGCAGCCCCGTGGCGGTGACGATGATGTCGGCGTCGATGCGCGCAGGTGGCTTGTAGCTATGATCTCCTTTGGGTTGCTGGCCTGGTTGGAGCTTTATGCCGTATGTATCGCATGTTTCGATGGTGGCGGTCACGACCTCGCAGTTGGGCTTGGACAAGGCCTTGAAAAAGTCGGCATCAGGACAGAAGCACAAGCGCTGTTGGAACGGGTTGTAGCTTGGATTAAAATGGATGTCGACTGGGAAGTCCTTGGGCAGTAGCCGCTTCGCCTCGTCCGTGATCACCTTGCGGCCAGCGTTGGGGAAGCTCAGCAGGAACTTGACAAAGAGGAACTCGAGCGAGATCCGACGCCACCAATCAAGGTATCCACCGATATCCTGGCCAAGCCAGCTCCGGAGCCTTGCTGTCCAGCGGTCACGCGAGGGCAAGGCCATAACGTAGGTCGGGCTGCGCTGGAGCATCGTCACCTGGGACGCCTCCTTGGCCAGGCTGGGCAGGAGGGTGACGGCGGTAGCGCCGGAGCCAACAATGACGACACGCTTGCCACAGTAGTTGACCTTTTCTGGGTCCCAAAACTGCGGGTGGACGACCTGACCGGCGAAATGGTCGAGGCCGGGGATTTCGAATTTGCGAGGGCTGTCGTAGTTGTAATAGCCGCTGCACATGATCATCCACGAGGCCTTGAAGGTGCGCATGGTGTCTTGACCGCCGGGCGCGGGAACCTTGACCGTCAGCGTCCAACGCTGCTCCTCGCTGGACCAGGAGGCGTCCTGCACATCGTGGCGAAAGCGGATGTGCTTGTCGATGCCCTGGCTGGCAGCGGCGTCGGAGATGTATTCATTGATTAGCTCGGCCGAGGCAAAGTCGGTGCCGTGGGGCCAGGGGTGCCATGGCATGCCAAAAAGGGCGAGAGTGCTGTCGGAGCGGACACCCGGGTACTTCCAGAAGTTCCAGGTGCCGCCCATCACCTCGCGCCTCTCGAGGATGGCATAGCGGACGTCGGGAAAGGCCTCCCTGATGCGATATGCGCTGTTGACGCCGGAGAGACCCGCGCCGATGATCAGCACGTCCAGCTCCTCCACACTCGCAGGGCCTCCAGCGCCGTCGGTAGTTGGGGTGGGCATGCTTGTGGGTGGCCCTGGCGAGTCGTACTTTTAGTGGGCTGTGCTGGATGATGTGGGGGACACGAGGTCCTAAGTAGAGTTCTGCGGACGACTGGTGACACTCGGGGAGAGATGTGGGTTAACAAGAATATGTAGGCACAGCAATGAGCGATCCGAAGGGGTTTGAATGGGTGGGGCAAAACCGAGGGGGATTCAAAGGACAATTCGCAAGCAAGGCCCAAAGTGGGTTTATCCTGCGACCATCACGCCTTCGAGCAGTCAGAAATTAGCACCATGCATTGCGAGCGCGACTGCGAGCGGCATCGCACTTCGTTTTTAGCCCGTTCCAGAGGGGAGCGCAGTCCCACTCAAAAAGTTGGGATAAACGTTAAGTGTTGGGGTCAGACAAATTTTGACCGCTAAAAAGACGCCACAAAGCGCGGCTCGACTGGAAGGTCCAGACCCTGGACGTACTTTCCAATTATTGACCAGAAGTGCTCCCTGATCTTCCCGTCCCGACAGCCTGGTTTCGCTTGTGACGGCTGCCAGAGCAGACACCAATCATGCCTCCTTGGCCAGCTCTATCCGCAACGCCATCGGCTCGACGCTCTCAACCTTGCCGTCGGCGTCGAGGTTGAAGGCAAACTGGTCCAATGGTATATCGCCCACCACAACGCTTGTGGCCGACACCCAGGTGCCGCAGTCGGTCGTGAACATGAGGTTGGTCGCCTGCCCGCTCAGGTCCTCGAACACGGCCTTGAACGCCACCTTCCTGCCCCCGCCCGGCCGCGGCGACTCAAGCCCGGAGGGGTACAGCCGGATGCTCGGGTTCGACGGCGCCGCCCCGTTCTGCACAAACAGCGCCGCCGTCTGCATGTTGGTCCCGTTGCTGACCCAGCCATAGACGCCCAGCCCGAGCCGGTCCAACGACGTGCGGATCTCGAGGCTCGAGTTGATGCCGCCTCCCACCGCCGCGTACCGCCCGCCATACGTCGCCTGCGCCTGTTCGCGCGCCGTCCGCTCCAGCGCCGGGATCAGCACCCCGCCCATGGTGTCGGCCCAGTTGAAGGTCGGGTTGCCGACTAGCGAGTTGCCCGCCAGCATTACGCTGAAGCCCGCATCGAAGTCGGGCAGCATGGCCAGCAGCGCCGCGTACGACCCGATCCGCCCGGCCTTGTTGAAGGCGTCCGTCACCCGCTTGTAGTTTGGAGACCGCGACATGTCGATCCGCCGCACCCCCCACGGGTACCCTACCGCCGCGACCAGCTCCGAGGTCATGGATGCCGGCTTCAGCCACCGCGATGTCGTTGCTCGCGACATGAGCTTCGACGATAGGATCGCTCGCCCTGTGCGCGAGAGGTCCGATGGTGACGAGTACATGTTCCCCGTTCTATTCAGTTTGCCGTACCCCCAAGGCTAGGTCAGCACATTCGTTTCACAGGCGCCGGCCCAATGCTCTGCCCAGAGGAAAGAAAACCGGGGTGTACCCACGGCGCCGACTCCCCAATGCTATACGCCCAGTTGGTTGATCCAGCATTGCTTGCGTTGGCTGGTATAATTCCGACGGCGTCGTCCGGCTTGAAGAGGTAGGTTCGATTCAGACCCAGAGGCTGTAGCACAGAGCTCTTCAGCATGTCTTTGTACGGCTTCCCCGTGATTCCCTCGAGCGCGTACGCCAATATCTGGAATGCTGAATCCGAGTACACAGTCGCGGCCGACGGTCCATACTGCGGGGGAAGCTTTCGCATACCCGCAAAGAACTCTGTCGAGAATATCCCTCTCTCTCGGTTAGCCTCGCGGCACCAAGTTTCCATCTGGTGCACCCTTGGGTCTCGCCGCACTCACGCTTTCGACTGCATAGGATGTACGCCCCGCAAGGCGGTATATCCCCCGGCGGAAGGGGCGGGAATCCCAGTGCCTCTCTCGTTCCATTGTTGAACTGCTGCGTGACCTCACCCACCAGTGCATCTAGAACATTTCGATCAGAATCCGTTTGTCTGTACCCGGGCTGAACAGGAGCAAGACCGATCGGCACTCACAGTCGCGAACAAGACCAGCAAGCTGCCCCGCCAGGTCGCCCACAGTGATCTCTTTCCAATTCACCGTCATGACCGGGTCCGTCTCCACCCGATCACCGTTGGAAGCCGCGATCTCGGCGAGCTCCGGTACCAGCTCGATGATAGGCTGACGCCAGTGCCGGTCGCCGGCCTCCACAAGCCATGTGAATATGGTGTATATCTTGGTCAGGCTACCGATCCTGTACACCGTGTCTCCGTCCACTTTCTTGACCCCCGTGGAGTTAATATTGGCCATGTTCCGGGCAGTGTGGTGAAAGGAGAAGGATGCCTTGTCGCTAGGATCATCGGCGGCCCATAGCTCGACCGAGAAGGACGTGTCGGTGCCCCCGGAGCCCGCAGCCTGCTCCGAAAATTTGTCGTTTAGTGTCTGGAAGGCGGCTTGCATGGTCGGCCACTCCGCCAAGCGGCGTGGCTTGGGATAGGCCGGGCCATGGATGGGACAGTTAAGCGGCGCGCCAGAAGCGAGGCCCAGAAGCAGGGCCGCCAGAGGAGTGCCAGCCAAAAAGGCCGTCGTCGCCGTAGACCACACCATGGTCGCCGCTGCCAGTTGCCTTCGAGCGGATGGAGAGAATTGCTGTGCACCCTTGATGGGTGTCCAGCCCATAAATGTATACGTGAAGCATCCTACTTTTGTACCTGTGGCTTGACTGTTATCTGACCTAGATGCGACAGCCTACCTACTTGCCATGCAAGAGCCGGCTACTATGTGGAGGTCCGAGCGAATGGGCAAATATGAACAGATTAACTACCTACTCATCCGATGCACAATATCCTCCGCCGTCCAGGGCATCCGTTCCCTGCTCTCGGCTGCATGCAACCCATCATGCAGGGGAAGATGTCGACGACACCCCGCACCGCTGGCGTCTACGGAGTGACAGGCGGGGGGCATGGTGCGGATCCCGGGTACATAGCAATGCATCTAAGGCGCAGGGGTGAGCTGGCCCATGGTTGGTATGATATATGGCAGGCCTCCACGCCCGGCTATGGAGGATAGATCCGAGATGACGGGGGCGGACAGTCAAGTGCTGTTTTCGGCTCTCGGGTGCAAGCTATTTTTGATGGCGGATGAATCTAGACCACAGCTTCAGGGTATGCAGATTGGGACGAGATGGGTTCTGGCTAATGATGAGTGAATTAATACCGGCTATTTTATCGTCTATGTGCCGCCCCCGATAGCATCGTTCATAGCATGCGGCTGCTCATGGCTTATTTTCTGACTGTTCGGTCTTGTTTTAACGCTGCCCATATCCGATTCCTTTTCTCCCTATACATGAGCAGCCCTCACTACGTCTTTAATAGTAGCTAGGTGGGTGCAGATATTGTATGTGGGAACCATGAGAAGAGCACCTAGTAGGTGAGGAGAGGACACTGGGCTGTGATGCCCAAGTCATTTCCGACAGCGCTGCCTGTTAACCCGTGATTGGTGTACTCCCGTAGCAAACGGAGGACAAAAGAAAATATTGCAAATGGCAACGTCGTGTCTAACGCGAAAGGGTGGGTGGTACTTTCGTGGGAAAGACAGAAAAAGGAAAGCAAAACATGTCTTGTCGGGTGACGCGCGTAAATAAATAAATAAAAAAGAAAGGAATTATCACGATCCAGGCAGGGATCGAACCTGCAATCTCTTGATTCGTAGTCAAGCGCCTTGCCATTTGGCCACTGGACCCTGATGACTAAGTCAGCGTGAGGCTTCCTCATGGGGGGTTGCGATTCCAGTCACCCTGGAATGGGTGGAGATCCCCTCAGCGTTGGGTGGAGAAACGGGGATCCAAAAACCCAGGTGATGGTGATTCCAAAAAGAATCTGGGGACAATCACGCAATGGATTTGTAGGATAAAATATGCAGATTATGTTACGTTGGAATTAAATGGAGTGGAATACTGGTGATATATATCCGTTAGTTTCTGCGCTCTCATCGGCGTCCTCCGTTGTAGCTGATGGGTTTCAAAAAGACTGCGCTAGGTCTCGATGGTTTACACCGAAAAATACCTAGTCACTGTTGGTAATGAACTACCTTCGCTCGACGTCTGATATTTCTCCTGTCTGCCCCTCCCCTACCCTCCAGGGCCCCTGGGCCTCGCTCAATGTAGTCGGTGACGTCTTTCACCCAAGCGGTCTTGCAAGAACCGTCCACGACCGGCTGGCCGATTGGTTTCCCCCATGGCAAAGTCACCATGACACCGTTCCGGGCTTTGGCATCACCCCATAAAGGCGGTGGAGGATCCGACCACATAACAATGCGCTCGGAACCTTCGGGAGGGTCTCCCTGGAAAGGGGGCCAGAGACGAGACCTGCCATCAGCGATTCTAATGATGGAAGCCTTGTTGCTGCGGTGATGGAATACGGTGTTGGGTATGCCACATGGCCATATAGTGCTGGGAAGGACTGGGACGCCAAAATTCCGTAAAGGTGCGCATTTTGAGGGCCGAGAGATTCGCGCCCAGCAGAGTACAGCATTCGTTCTGGTGATGAGTGACTATGGGGTATTGCAGCTGAGGTCGAACAGAGCCATTATCAAGACTAGTGGAGGGTATTGGGCAAGGATTCAGACAACATGGTCGATCTTGCAAGTGAGCGAGAGGGAATCGATCCACCAATTGGGGTGAGCAATGACCTTCGGAAGAATGTCTCGGGCATTGATGTAGAAATTGGCCATATCTTCGTCAGGCATCATCAGCATGGAGCTTGCGTATTAGTGAGGGTTCATCGAGAAGGAGGCTAGAGACGTGGCTGTTACCTTCTTCGAGTCGGTTGGGGCACGGGTCGGAGGAATCAGGGATTAAGGCTTTGGGCTTTAGCAGGGATAAATAACATCCTAAAGCTCCTCTGGGTCCATGTCGCGGAGAGCGTTGGAGGTCATGAGCATCCTCCAGTTGTTGTGGTCGGTTTCTGCCATGGTAAGAGCGCGGATGAAAGTCAGCGCAAACCCTTTGCCGGCTGAGGTTTTGAACGTAGATTTCCTTGGCGCTGGGTTCCTCGTTGCCATCTCCATCGTTGGAGACCTCGACTCTAATTTCCTTGAGGAGAGGGGCGGTCTCACCGGCTATGGCGTCGTGACGCTGGTCGAATTTGGGAGTTTCGTAGTAAATCTGACGCGAGGATCAGGGACTGAGCCAAAAATGTCACCATTGCAAGTATTATCACGTAGTAGCCAGGCACTTGCCAAGCTTTCATCCGGAACATTGCCAAATCGCCATTTCAACTTCTCTATCTCTTTGGGAACGACCGTTGCGGATGCTTTCGACAAGGCTCTGCTATGTCAAACTTAGAACCTGGAGTACAGGACAGGGCAGCACACGTCGTGCTTTATCTCTGGTGCTGGGCGATTTTCCGTGTCCTTTCCACAGCGGGAACTGGGCCATGGGCTCTCTTAGGTAGCCGCACTGCGCTTCATGATCGCAATGAGGGAAAGCACGCGATGGCGGCGTTGAATGTATCTGATACGCATCATTTCCAGGTCCCATATGACTTCTTCAAGCTTCTGAAGATCGTCGATGCCACTCACCATCAGCCACAACTCGTTGTGCCAGTGGAGGCCAGCGCTGCCGATCCGCAGTGTGCCATGACGGCGGGTCACAACGCTGGGAACTCTGGTGATGTTGGCGGTCCATCCACGGCTGTGTATCTGCTGAAACAGAGAATCCTTGTGGCTTGCCCACTGCTGGCCGCCGCTGTGGGCGTCTTGTTGCCGGCTCACCAGCCGGATGTGGATCTTGACGCATTTCAACGACGGGGAGCCTGCGACCCGTGCCTCGATCAGATCTAGGTGCTCGGCGAAATGATTGTTGTCGTGGTTGCCGAGCTCATCTACTCTAGATGGCAGTTCGAACTCGACGGTGCTGATCACGGTGCTGGCCTACAGCAACCGGTCGAGCCTGTCGAGGTTGGAATCCGTCGGGAAGTCGATGCACACTCGCCGGATGCTACCCGCTGCTTGCGTCCCGATGCGTTGCAGGAAGACGGGCACGGAGTCGACACCGCGGTCATAGCTCGGCTCAAGGGGTGCGAACCGGAAGGAATTGCGAGAATACAGAGTCGAGATGGCCTCTACGTGGACCTGCTTGCTGGTGCCGAGGATGGCGGGATGGAGCCTTATCGGGTTTTCGACGAAGAGGATCGGCGGCTCCGACGAATGCCGCAGGGGCCGGTCGACTGCCACGATGGTGATGTGTCCGTTGTGCACGAGAAGGTCATGGTAGATCATCGACCTGATCTCTGGGGGTAAGGCGAAGAAGCTCATGGCTCTGATGGTGTTGAAGGTGGGTGGGAGGCGGATGGTATGCGACCACAGCTGATCGACGAAAACAGAGCAAATGGACTTGATCCGCTTGGTGAGAGGTACCTCAGGACTCGTTGGCTGATAGCAGGCACTTCTTTGAGTGGATTCTGTGGAAAGGGCAGGTCGAGGACTGCGAATCTCGTACCGTAGAGCTGGAAAAGTTGACGTGCTGGAGAAACAAAGCCCAGGGTCAGAAGATTGACAGGTAAGATTTATACGGACGTCAAAGAAAACTCGACGCGTCAAAGTCTTTGTTTATGCTAGAATTCTGCAACCTTCATTTCCAATCCAAACATTACATCATCTGATATCCATCCAGAAAACCCCCCCGCATATTCACACACCGCGCACCATAGCCACCCTATTTACGCGCCTTAGCTCGTGTACTTCCCAATGGTGCTAACGAAGCCGTTCCTCTGGTTCTCAAAGGACGCGACGTCGGTGCCGTCGAGCGTGACCATGTTGGTGACGCCGACCGTGTTGAGGTTGTACATGTACAGCTTGCTCCTCTCGATGGACGTCAGGCGCGACTGGCACTTGATCCCGCTCGCCTCGGCGGCGCACGAGTTGTCGTTGTTGATGAAGAAGGAGTACAGCCCGGCGCCGTACACGAGGACGTCCGTGCTGTCGACGACGCGCAGGCCCCAGCCGCTCTCGCCGGCCGCGAAGACGGGGTCGCGGTAGCGCGCGTCGGCGGGGAAGGGGATGACGGCGTCCGGGTTGGGCTGGTAGTAGGCCGTCTCGGTCTGGAGCTGGCCGCCAAAGATGTTCTTGGTGCCCGCGAGCTGGTACTGATACAGCTGGTGGTGCTCCGAGCCGGAGCCCCAGAGCCAGATGTTTCCGGACGTGCTTTCGACCAGCAGGCCGCGGCCGACGTAGATGGTGATCTGGACGTTGTTGGCGCCGTCCTCGACGTCGTGGTCCGCCACCCAGAGCCAGCAGTTCTCGTTGTAGAGGTTGCCGGCGGACTTGGTGATGTGCATGCTCATGAAGGCGGCGATGCACTTCTGGTTCAGGTTCCCGGGGTTGATGGCGGTCCCGGGCGTCTTGAGGCACTCCGCGGACTGCAGGTTGGAGCCCTTGAAGCCGCCGATGCGCGTGTGGACGTCCCACATGCCCGAGGGCGTCGCCGAGTTCAGGTTCCACTCGATCAGGACGGCGCCCTTTTGCTGGCCGCGGGTGCTGACCACCATGTCGCTCCACTCGACGGCCGCGCCCTTGTCGCCGGGCTTGCCGACCTGCACCACGGGATTGGGGCTCTCCATGCTGTTGAAGAACTCGCCCTCGGACAGGATCACGGGCAGGCCCTCGCCGGTGATGCGGGAGCCGGCGGGGATGCTGACGGTCGAGGTGACGACGTACATGCCGTAGTCAAAGTAGACGACCTTTCCGGACGCGGCGGCCTCGGCGATGACCTTGTTGATGGCGGCGGTGTCGTCCGTCACGCCGTCTCCCTTGGCGCCCGCGGACCGGACGGAGAGGAACTGGGATGCGGGCAGGTTGGAGTACTGGGGACGCGAGCGCTCGTAGAAGTGGGTGCCGGCGGTGAGACCCCCAGGGCGCGGGAACGGGGTGATGCTGCCCTGGAAGGCCGTGGGGCCGCTCTTCTCGGCATAGCTGCTGCCCTGGCCCCAACCGGCGATGGTGGTCGAGCCGGAGGTGCCGGGAAGAAGGGTGGAGCTTCCAGGCCCCTGGATCGCGGTCTGGACGTTGCTCAGGCGAACGTTCTCGACTGCGAGCGTGTTGCCCTGGGAGGGGTTGTTACCCGAGGCCTGGCGGGCGGTGATGATGCCGACGCGCGTGTTGACGATCTCGGAGTCGATGAGGACGACGGAGGCGGTCATGATCTTGCCCCCTTCAACGTTGCTCATGTCGAGACCGACGTCGCAGTCACGAATGGTGAGACCAGAGTAGGTCCAGCCCCAGTCCCAGATCTGGCTGATGGCCGTCTTGGCGCCGACGAACGTCAGGTTGCGCATGGTGAATTGCTGGTTACCAACACGCATGCCATAAAGACCGCCTGTTTGAAGTTGTTAATATTTTATCCAGGGGTAGGTGGAGGAGCTTTACCGGGCAAAATCTTACCTTGGAACACCATGTCGCCAATGTAACCGCCACTTCCCTCCTCGATCAGCATGCCATACTGCTGGGTGTTGCTTGCAGTAGACATCTTGATCAGGATGTTCTGGAGGCTGGTAGCCTGCGATGAGGGCCAGTGGATGCCTACCAGGCCAGTTGAGGGCGACACGCCAGTCAGGTCGATAACCAGGTTGCGGACTTGGCGCCAGAAGACATTGGTCGAGCCCCAGCCCAGGCCGCCACCAGGCTGGTACTGGTTGGCATCGAGAACCCAGGCGCCGTTGAAGTTGCTTGTGGCCTTGATGATGGGCATGCAGTCGGGGTTGCCGTATATCTGCGTGAAGTAGTAGTCGATAATGGGGCTGGACACCATATAGGTGCCGGGCGGGAAGTAGACGACAGCCGGCGAGATGGTGGTTCCATGGCACTTGCCAGGGCCGCAGCGACCTCCCTCGCTGATGGCCCGGTTGATGGCCTCGGTGTCATCCGACTGGCCGTCGCCCTTGGCACCATAGTCCTTGACATTGCGAAAGACCTTGTAGGTGGACGGGCTTGGGACATAAGGGGCAAGGCCCTGATGGTCAACCTTGGCGAGCCAATGATCCGTGCAGGCAGGAGGGCTGACGGCGGTGCTGGAGGAGGTCGATACGGTCGAGCTAGTGCTTGAAGAGGAGGCTGATGTGGTCAAGTTGGTGCTGGTAGACGAGATCGACGTGGTCAAGCTGGTGCCGGTAGACGAGGTCAACACGGTGGAGCTGGTGCTGGTGACGCGCGTGGTGCTGTTGCCCCAGGTGCCCGACGTGGTGAGCGTTGGGCCGGTGCCGGTCCCAGTACCAGGGATCCTGGTGGTCCACGTGGAGGAGGTGTTGTGGCTCCTTCGGGTGGTAATGACCGTGGTGGCCTTCGTGGTGCGAGTGGTGGTCTTGGTCAGGTCAGAGGCCGGCTCCGAAGGCCCAGAGGAGCATGGCGGCGGAGGGGTGGGAGGAATTGGGCAAGTAGTGATGGTGACCCTGGTGACCAGGGTCACGACATCGTCGGCGGTAGCGGTGGCGTTGCCGTTGAAGGCATGGCCCAGGCCGAGGAGTGAGGAGAGGGCAAGGAAAGAGTTGAATGAGAGACTGCGCATCTTGAAGGAGTGAATGGGTGATGCGAGGATAATCCTTTCTCGTTTAAGCGCCGGAACGAATGGACAGGATGGAAAGGCGGTTGGCCAGGATGGCGGCACGCCCTTACACTATCCCAGGAGAGGTCTTCGACGAACGAATATCGGGCAGACGACGACGATCATGGACGTGCCTGGCAGGCAGGCCGGGGAGGAGGGGACCTCGTCATTTTAAAGTAGGGCCTGTGCCTGCACGGCAGCACGCAATAGTACGACGGCTCTGCCAAGGGGGCAGGTGGACGTTGGCCGGGGCGCCGCAGGTGAGGGATCAGCCGAGCTAGTCTGGCTTAGCCCAACCATGCCGTAAAATTAGAAAGGGGATGCTCTTGGCACAGGACATGAAGCGAGGGAGCCTCTCTGGCTGCTCTCGTCCATGCGCAGCGTCGTATCGACAGCTGAACCCATAGCGGGTAAGTTCGGCGCCTCGTCGGTGACAGTAATTCGCGCTTGGCTGCCAGAGTCGCAGCAGGTTGTCAGCTGGCCCTTGCCGACGCCCAACGCTTGGCTCGCCCTATGCTGGCCCATGATGGGGATGGTGCATGTCCTCGCCGCTGACGCAAAACCGCCGACGAGGGGCATCGGATACGATCCCAAGGCCACCACATCCACCAAACTGGGCAACATGCCGCCTAGACCTAAAGCGGCTGTAGGGCAGAGTACCTGCGCAACTGGCTGCCAATCAGAGTTGCAGGACGCTTGGGATTTAATCTACTTTGCGTAAGCTCACCAGGGGTATTGCAGGTGCGGGGAGGCTAGCTCGATGTTGGCGCAGACCCTGGCCAGTGGCCACCCACCAGATGCAATCCCGGCAAAATGGCAAGACGCGAAGGAAACGTGCGACGCGCAAGAACGTGGTGATGGGTCATGTCTGCGCCATGACTTTTGAATGAACTGCCCAGACGACCTATCGAAGGCGCTGGCGTGGGCGTGGTACTTGCTTTCTTGCTCGGCGCCCGCACGACCCACCCTCTCTCGAGTTTCCTTCTTTCCGATCTTCGGGACCTTTCGTTCAGCACAAAACCCCGCACACACCAAACCTCCCGATGGGGCATGTGCTTAGTGCTGTTGGCGCAATGTCTTCATGATGGTCTGATGCGGATAAAATGACAACCGATGCGACGCTTCTGCCTGTCAGCTTTCCCCACACACCTAACTTTTTGTCCTGCCCCCATCGGTTGGAAGGAGTGTGCTCATTTAGAGCTGCATGATATTGGACCCTGGATCCATCGTAGGATTTTCTCTCTTCCCGTCTCGGCGGGGGACTTCCCACATGCTGCCTGACTTCCAAACAAGCACCACAGGTGGTGAATTTGTCTTGGGTGTGACAAACTCTTCAGGATCCATGGATATATGGTAGACACTCGGCCGAAAATCTGGACTGCGAGCGTAGCGTAGTGCATGCGTTTGCGTGTGTGACACCCACGAGGCAAACTCGCCGCCGATTTGGTCACACTCATTTCCTCTCCACATATGTGACGTCCTCCACGTCCAGAGCCTTCTTCTCATCCAAGATAACACCCCCTTTTGAATTCTCCATCGCCGTGAGCTGCGCCATTTTGCTGGTCGATACCCACGATTTGGACCGCCAGGCGGGGACGCCGGCCTCAAACATCTCGTCCACCTCTTCCAAAGATCTGCCGGTCAGATCGTGGTAGCACAGGAACGCCCAGACCAGAAACCCGATGGACGTGGCGGCGTAGATGAAGCCGACTTTGGCACCCAGATTCGCATACGGGGCCTGCAGCAGGTATAGGAGCGTAAAGGTTGCGATGAAGTTGCACACGTCCGACACGATCCAGTACACCATGGATGTCTTGTCGCGCAGGCTGATGTGCGAGATCTCCGAGGGCACGATTTGCATGCTGCGTGCACGTGTTAGTTTTGCAACTCAGGGGTATGTGGCGGGGCACCAAGACGTGCATGGCGCCAAAGGATCCGATATAGCAAAAAGGAAAGACGATTGACATGGCTACGATGGCTTTCTTAAGGCCTGTCGTCTGGGATCCGACGCTGCCCAGAGATCCCATTACAAGCAGTGACACGGCTGAGCCGGTGCCGAGGAACAGAAATGTTGACCGTCGGCCCAACCTATCAATGCAGGCCATGACCGTGATGGGACCAAGAAGGAGAACGGCCCGCTTCGCCATGGTGATCATGAATGGGTCTAAAGAGGTCAGCACATGGATGAAGACTAGGGTATGAAGCGATGGGCCTGGGGCGGCCTTTTCGCGCATTGGCAACTTACCCAGAACATTCACCTGAGCGAGGAAAATGGCACCGTAGTTTGCGGCAAAGCTCATCCCCGTAAGCATGGAAGAAGCAGCGGCGATACATGCCGTGATGGTGCGTTTCTGTTGGAAGACAAGGAGCTCAAGTCAGCAATTAGTGAACGTGGCCAGACAGTTCCAAGCACGAGCAGAGTTCTTACCTTGTTGGTACCCTTGAGCATGTCGCCCCACTTTCCCTGCTCCACGGAGCCGTCCAGAGCCTCACCAAGGAGCTTGATCTGGTCCTCGACCACGAAACCCTCCTTCAGTCCGTTGATATACGACAGCATCTCGGCCGCCTTCTCGTTCTGTCCCTTCCGTAGTAGCCAGCGAGGCGACTCTGGAAGGAAGACCGACATCAACAAGGCCAGGGCCGGGAATATAAAGATGCACACAAGTGGGATCTTCCAAGAGCTGTGGTCTGGTTACTTGCTGGTGAAGTTTGTGATGATGGATGATATGAAGTTGGCAAAAATGTGGGAGAAGGTGAAGCTCCCGACGAAGGCACCGCGAACCGCTGCGGGAGCTAGCTCTCCCATGAAGATGGGAACAAGAGCTGCCTTCATTCCGATGTGGACCTGCAGAACCATGCGGCCGGCCAGGATCTGGCCATAGGTCGTGGATGTGTAGGAAACAGCGGCACCGGTAGCGCAGATGGAGTTCATGAGGAGAAACACGAGCCGTCGGCCGAACCGCTCGCTAAGCCGGCTCGAGAGCACAACGCCAAAGGCGTATGTGATGAGGGGCAGCGAGTTGAGGTACGCCAGACGATCGGGGGAGAGGACGTATTTTCCGGTCTCGGGGCTTAGCTCGCCAAACTGCTCGACAAACTCTGCGTGGGAGAGCCCTGGTTGTTAGCATCGTTGTCGCTCTTTGGCTTCCAGCCCCTATTTCTACGGCAGCCTGTCCATAAGGCAGTGTTTGGGATGACGCATACGTACTCGGCATGGCTTGGATTGTGTTCACAACACCGCCCTCAAACCCCATACGCAAAGACACTGACGCCGAGCGCGAAGGCGGCAATCAGCATGTTGAGGCTTACATGGGTTGTGAGCATCACGTTTCGGTCACGCATGAACCCCAGCATGGCGGGCAACCGATCTGCCAGCGGCACCCGAGTCTTTCCTTGCTTTTAAAAGGCGCTGTGTTGCAGGACGACAAAAGTGCGAACTGCCTTGTCGAGGGGGTGGGCTGGCGAAGGTGCCCAAGACGGGGCAGAACTGGATGATCAAGACGACGACGCGTCCTAAATACCAACGAACCTAACAAGCCTACAACCTCGGTCTCCGAAGCCCGGTTGGAAAAGAAGCCCAACATCCTGGGCAGGGCAACGCGAATCTGCCTCATGGAGAACATGAAGCCCACTAGCACCGCAGTTCCCTACGACTACTCCGTCCTGGGAATCAAGGTGGCCCAAAGCTCAAAGCTGAACAGGACATGACTCGGGTGCACCCACTTATTTCCCACCTCCACATGGCCTCTGCCCCCGACAGCTCGGAAGGTGCGGTTCGTCTCCCCGCGTTTTCATCCTGCAAAGACCCAGCATACCTCCATGTTCCCCGAGTGAGCCTGGGGATCTGCAGTTGACCAGAGCGCCTTGCCGGCACAGACACACAGCCAACGATACATGGAGGCCGGCGACGACGACGCCAGGCCGGCCTCTGAGGAAGCCGGCGATGGGGGCAGCTCTCACGCAGACATCGCCGCGGCGACCGAGACCCCTACTGCCGGCGACGGACCGCCTCCGACAAAGCGCCGCAAGACCCGGCTCGCCTGCCAGGAGTGTCGAGACCGCAAGGTTCGCTGCGACGGGGCGCGGCCTGTGTGCGGCGCCTGCTTCAGGAAGCGCCTGAGCCCGGAGCAGTGCATATTCGTCGACGTCTCGGACCAGCAGACGGCTGAAATCAGCCCGCTATACGTCCGGTCGCTCGAGGAGCGCATCCAAGAACTGGAGCGGGCGGCTCGGGGCCTGGACGGGCCAACGCCGCTGCCGTACCACTTTGGCGGGTCAAACCACCACCCCCCACACCAGGCGTCGCCACGGCAGACATGCACGGTCCGGCATTACGACGGGGCTCCACTGGCCAACAATGCTTCCACGCCTGTTCCTATTGGAGCTGGTGCCGGTCACGTCGTGGTAGCGTCGCCCATTGACCAGCACATGGCGGCTTCGCAGTTGATACATATGCAGCGTCTGGGCCGGCAAGAGCCGACAAGCAATGGCAACGGCCCCGCGCCAGGCCGCGAAGGCCTAGGGTCGCCGGAACCCGGAAGCGCTATGGGAGCAACCGAGAGCACGCCCACCGAGTCTGACCGGGCCGTTTTCTTGGGCCGATCTAGCGCAGCAGCGTTTGTCCGCGAGGTTCGCGAGTCGTCTAGGAGACATGGGGGCATGTCCAGCATTGCGTCAGAAGACGCCAACGGAGCGAGTCCCTCGGAGGGCGGGACTTCAGTACCGTACGGAGCGGCTGCTCCACGAGAGCGCCGTAGGCTAAAGAGAGACCGGGAGGCGCTCGAGGCGCTGATGGACGAGCTGATATTACCGCCACGCTGGGTGGCTGATACGCACCTCAACAAGTACTGGGAGTCGATCCATCCACTATTCCCAGTGCTGCACAAGGGATCTTTCATGGGGTGGTACGAGAGGATCTGGGGTGACCAAGAGTCGTCGGGAGACGATACAGTCCACACAATACGCACCGCTCACGCCCGACTCAACATAATGCTAGCGCTGGGCTGCTCGGCCGGCTCGAAACTGGAGCCAGGGCCTTCGTCCAAAAGAAGTGCCCACATCTTCTACGAGCGCTCCCGGGCCCTCCTCACACAGTCTTCCGTGGACCACGGCTGTTCGATGCAGCTTGTCCAGGCCCACATCCTAACCGCCCAGTACCTGCAGACGACGGATCTAGTCAACGGATGCTGGGTCGCCATCGGCACAGCGATCCGTGCTGCTCAGGGAATAGGCGTCAGCGAGGACCATCCCAGGGAGAGCCAAGTTGCGCGGGAGGAGCGGCGACGGACATGGTGGGGATGCATTATGATGGATAGGGTCGCCAGCATGATCCTGGGCAGGCCGTCCATGGTCGCTTGGAAGACGGTTGTTCCCTTGCCCCTACCAGTGGACGACGAGCTCCTCCAGACAACGCCAGGCAGCGGCTCGATTCAGCCCAACATTTCCCCTGCGCGGAAATCGCGACTGGAGTTTTACGTCTACACGTTGCATCTGACCGAGATACTTATGACGGTTCTAGAGTATGCAAGCGCTCTTCTGTCTCTCCTCGCACCTCCCAAGATGACGGAAATTGCTGACCTTGAAATAGACAGTTTTATGTCCCACACATTGACCTTCGGCGGGCCGGCCCCGAAGGAATCAACATCCAAGATCTTCAGCGCCTCCACGAAATAGACTTCAGCCTGTCTCGCTGGCGCGCGAGTCTGCCCATCCACCTTCGAGTTTATTCTAGTGATAGATATAATGGTGGCGCCTCGGCGGAATCCGGCTCGCCATTTGCAAAACAGGCCGTGACGCTTCATGGAAGGTATCTCCACCTTCGAATTCTTCTCTTCCGGCCGACAACAGTCGACCTTTCATCGGGCGCCTTTCTCCAGGCCGATGCCGCTGGAAAGGCAACCGAGTTCCAACGTGGCGTTGTCAAGGCGTGCGTCAGCTCCTGCGTCTCGGCCGCCCGCGAGCTGATCACCCTGGTCTGGAACGGGATTGATGAGGGGAAGGACGCCAGAGCGACGCTGCCTTGGTGGTACGCCATCTTCTATCTCTACACGGCTGGGACGGTGGTCCTTGCCGTTCTTCTGACGCCGAACCTCAGGCTGGTTTTTTGCCACCTCGAGGCTGCCCCTGGCGCCCCTGGCGCCCACGGAGATCCCGAGGGAAATCCCGAGAGCCTTTTACAGGCGTCCTGGTCTACCTGCGTCAAGGCCCTCTCGCTATACCAGCAGTCCGGCAGTACGTTCGCTAGGCGGTGCCTCTGGATCCTGCGCGCCATCTACGACCAGCGCTCGACCCAGTGCGACGTGGCCGCAGATCGGAGCCCCGAAATCGCGGCTACAGTCCCCGAGACAGACGCCGCCGCGGCAGAAGCGTCGACGCATCCGCTGCCCTCGGCCATGGTCACCCGACCAAGCGCTCGCGCGAACGGGAGCGGCACCATCACGCCGACCACGTGGCAGGCCCTGGCCAACGCCGCCTTCGAAGGCTCTGGTGCCTTGGGACCCGCGGCGGGCCACCATACAGGGACGGCAGCAGACGACTTCCTGCTCGACCTCTGCTGGCCTGCCGGAAACATGGACTGGCTGCACAACCAGCCGGGCGGTTTTGACCAAGGGCCAGCCAGGGTCGATGGCGTCACCGACGGTGACACAGCGATGTTATAATTAGAGACATGTAGTCTGCTCCTCAAAGCCCACATAGCATGTGAATAATCTTTTGGTCTTGCCATGATAATACACAGCATGTAAATAATCCTTTGCATAATAATACACAGCATGTGAATAATCCTTTGGTCTTGCCATGATAATACATAGCATGTGAATAATCCTTTGGTCTTGTTATGATAATATACAGCAGTGATATCCCCAATCCCTACTCCTTTTTGTACATACCCAGCGCCTTGAGCATGGGCAAATCATTCACCGCAAACAGGTAACACCGCACGCCCCCGTCGGCCCGGTGCACCCTCTCGGTCCAGGCCGGGACGGCAAAGGTGTCGCCGGGCCCCCACTTGACAACCTCCTCCGTGCCGTCAGGCAGGCGCAGGGCGCTGCTGCCCGTGCCCTCGTAGACATGGTACACGAACGAGCACGTCTCCCTGACGGGCGCGCTGGCGGCGCCCGCGTCGACCCGCTCGGCCTGCGCGCCCAGCGTCCTCGAGATCTCGACGGGCTCGGCGCCCGCGCCGCCGGGCCTGCGCGTGTAGCGGAACGTGGCCCAGGTGTCCTCCTGGCCGTCTAGGGCGGCCCGCGCGGTCGTCCAGGGGATGCGGATGTCGACCTCGTCGTGGAAGTGCTCGCTCGGGTAGCGCGGCGAGTCGTATATCTCGGCAAAGTTGGTGGGGAAGGACTGGAACAGGGGTAGGTCGAGCCCGTCGAGCCAGATCATGGGGCCGTCGCCGTCGTGGCCGTGGTCGTGCCTTTTTTAAGTTGTTATAAAAAACCGAGGCTTAGCGTTTTGCAGAGTGCGTAGAGGAGGTTCACAAACAATGGCTCCACTCACCACTCCCAGCTCGGCGTCAGGATGACGTCCCCCTTCTCCATGGTGATCTTCCTCCCGCCGACGGCGGTGAAGCCCCGGTCGCCCTGGACGATGAAGCGCAGGGCCGAGGCCGTGTGGCGGTGGGCGCGGGCCGTCTCGCCCGGCAGGATGAGCTGCAGGCCGGCGTAGATGGTGTCGGTGGTGTGCGGGGCGCGCATGGCCGGGTTGACGAGCATGAGCACGCGGCGCTCCGCCTCCTCCGTGTCGACCAGCTCGCCGCTCCGCAGCAGCAGCGGCAGCAGCTCCGGGTACGACCACTTGGCCACGACGGCCTTGGGGTTCGGCCGCGGCGGCACCATGGCCGACATGACGGTCCACAGCGGCGCCACGTTCTGCGACGGCAGCTGGGCCAGGTACTCGGCCTTGGCGCCCTCTGCCGGCGCCGGGGTCTTGTCGTCGTGGTGTGGCGCCATTTTTGGATGTGTGATGGGTACGGAAACTGGTCTACTGTCAAAAGGGAAATGGATGGGCGGCTTTGAGGACAGGAAAATATATGATGCCACGATGCCTAGTAGGCAGATTGTACCTCAAAGAAATAAACTACATCCAGCTAGCCTCTCCGTTCATGTTGATCATGATGCGACTCCATGCCTCGTTCCCCGCGTCGGGTTCAGGGGCAACATGAGTCGACAATGGCAGCTTCCCCGCTGCAACGCCCACTAACAGCCCCCCAAACCGGAGACAACGGTCGGCAACCCAAGCGTCCTTTCGGGGAGCCCATATGGCAGCCCACACCACAGGGTACCTCCCCGAGATGCAGTTCATGCGGTTTTGAAAATCTCCATGGTCGGCTTGAGTTTCTCGTTTGTAAGCCTGTGAGGGGACGGGCGAGTTGAGCGCAGCGTTGTTTTCATTTCAGCCGGTTGCCGAAAAGCACAGTGCAAGTGCATGGACCACATAGGCTTCCAAACAGAACTTACCCGCCATCAAACAGGCTCGTCCGCACGTATTGACCCTTGCCCTTCAGCGCCGCCGGGATCGTCCACAGCGTGCAGCCGCAATTGCCGCAAAACACCTTCTCCTTGGGCAGCCCGCTCGAGCAGCTCTCGCCGGGCACGTTCCATATCTTGATGGAGTTCTGGGGGTCCGACACGGTCATGTTCGCCAAGGAGAATGTGGCCACCTGCACGGTCCGAATGTCAGCTCATGCATACGCACGACAGACGCGCGAGGTGGTGGGTGAGGTGCGGGCAGTTTTAGTGAGGGGTTGTTGTCTGATGGGGGTGGCGCTTGCAATTTGATGGGTCGAGCCCGAATTCTTCTGACATTGCGTGCAGTAGCAGGCGATGTTGCCCTCGGAGGCTCCGCGAGCCTTAAAGGTGACATGGCCGCACAGGCACGAGCCCTTGTACATCTCCGCCTCGGCCATGGCTGCGTTTCTTTTCTTGGCCTCTGATTTACGATGTTTTGGCGTCTGGTGAAAGCTTGCCGAATCTCCCAGGAAGGCGGGACTTGATCCTTCCACGTACAACCCGGCAAGCGCCATGGCCTGGAAGTGGTGAGGGGTCGCTTGCGTTTATATAGCGCCAGTCGACGTCTACCCAGCTCCACGCTTGGCCGAGGGCCTCTCCCAGGTAGGCAAGATACGGCGAGAGAGTAGCTTCTAAGCTGGGAAAGATAAACCGAGATGCAGATACCAGTACCACCAACAAGCACGCTGCAGCAGCCAGCCCCGTGGGCCTCCCTCTGTCTGCCGACAATCGGACGGCGACTCTTGCAAGATGGAGATTGGAAAACCAGCCCCTCCTGGAGGGCTAGCGGCGGTTCGGCTACTTCTCAAATACCATCTTATTCCTCAACCTCCCCAGCTCGGCAATCTCGACCTCAACGACGCTGCCGTCGCGCAGCCACTTGGGCTGCGCCATGCCCATGGCCACGCCGGCCGGGGTGCCGGTCATGATGACGCAGCCGCGCGGCAGGGTGGTGCCCTGGCTGGCAAAGGCCACGACCTCGGCCACCTTGAACAGCAGGTCGCCCGTGTCCGAGTCCTGGCGCAGCTCGCCGTCGACCCACGTCCGGAGCGACAGCCCGTCGGCCGCCCCCACCACGGCGGGCGACACGAGCATGGGCCCCAGCGGGCACCAGCCGTCGAAGCCCTTGGAGAAGCACCACTGCGGCACCCCGCCCGCCAGCGAGGGGTCGCGCTGCCACTTGCGCGCCGACACGTCGTTGCCCACCGCGTACCCCGCAATGTGTGCCAGCGCCTCCTCCTTGGCGATGTCCCTGCCCGCCTTCCCCATCACGATGCACAGCTCCCCCTCGTAGTCGAGCTGGTCGCCGTGCGCGGTCACGACCTTGGGTATCCTGACGTCGGCGCCCCAGTCGTTGATGGTCTCGGAGGGCTTGATGAACACGGACGGGTACGGAGGCGGGGTCCGACCGCCTTCTTGAACTGTATGTGCGGGGAAAAAGAGGATTTGTTTAGTCAAGAGTTCTCCTGGCCCATGGCGAGCTAAAACCGACCGGCCCCCAAGAGAGAGAGAGAGGTTCTCACTATGCTTGATGTAGTTTAGCCCGATGCACCGAACGATCGGCACGTCTGACTGTCTCAGCGGCCCGAGGAAGCTCTTGACCTGGAGCTCCTTTCCCGTCGGCGAGACCTCAAAGGGGCTAGGGCCTGACAGCTCTTTTGCAACCAGCTTTCCCTGGTCGAGCAGCGGGATGAGTTCCGCACCGGAGCTGACGACGGGCTCGCCGTAGTGCTCCTGGCCGTCCTCGCCGATAAACCGGATGATTCTGTTCCACGACATGGTGGTGGTGGTGGTGAGGCGTGATGTGCGCGCAAGATGGGGCAGAAATTGGAGGTAAAGACAGAGAGCCCGCGCGACGGGACCGTCCAAGCGGCAGTTTGGAAATGATCGTCGGCCTCCCTGGCCTCTATCCTTGTCGGCTGCGAGCACCGAATTGAATCCGACTCAGCTCGCTCCCCGATAGCGGGGTTAACTCCCCGAGACGAGGACCCGCTGTCGGGTAAGTCTTTTGTGGGACTTCTCTAGGATCCATGAAGTTTCGACGTCATATCACGGGCGGCGGCCTCACAGTTGGCGCTTCAACATGAGTGGATTCATGGCCTGACAAATCCGCCGCAAAGGGCCCCAAGGGATACCATGGCGGGGAAAATGGAGCTGGCTGGCGACTTCTTGGCGCTGTCCGGCGTGGCTATCTCGTTTTGCCGCTTCACTTCTTCGCTCTTGTTGCTTCCTCTAGAAGTAGGCTGTCAACCAGAGCCCACCGAGCCTCATCCCAGCACGAAGCCTTCCACCAATCCGCGATCATGGCAGAGCCATATCTTGACGTCGAGAACGTTGTCGCCAATCTAACTATCGAGGAGAAGATCAGCCTCCTTTCGGGCAAGGACTTTTGGCAAACGAGGGACATCCCACGCCTCAACATCCCTTCCTTGAGATTCTCCGACGGCCCCAACGGCGTTCGCGGCCAGCGCTTCTTCAACGGCGTCGCTGCAGCGTGTACACCTTGCGGCACCGGACTTGCTGCAACATGGGATGCCGAACTGATAGAGCAGGCTGGGAGGCTACTGGGCCGGGAATGCATCGCCAAGGGGGTCCATGTGCTGCTGGGCCCAACGGTCAACATGCTGCGCTCGCCGCTAGGAGGCCGTGGGTTTGAAAGCTACAGCGAGGATCCTGTGCTATCTGGGAATTTGGCCTCGGCCATTATTAACGGAGTGCAGAGCCAGGGCGTGGCCGCCTGTATTAAGCACTTTGTCTGCAACGATCAGGAGCACGAACGCCAGGCCTACAATGCTGTCATCAGCGAGCGGGCCCTGCGCGAGATCTACCTAATGCCGTTCCAGATCGCGCAGAGAGATTCAAAGCCCATGGCGTTCATGACGGCCTACAACCGGATAAACGGACTGCACGTTAGCGAAGACCCCCGGATTTTGCAGGACATTCTCCGGCAGGAATGGGGGTTTGACGGGCTGGTGATGAGTGATTGGTAAGGGGGCCTGACGTGCCGAGAAGAAGGACTGGCTGATGCTCTCTTATACAACGTTCCACTAACACATCTCAGGTTTGGCACCTACTCGGCCGCCGAGTCTGTCAACGCTGGCCTGGATCTCGAAATGCCTGGGCCTCCTCGCGTGCGCGGCCTCAACGTCCTCATGTCGATCGGCTGCCAAAAGGTGGCAGAACACAAGCTGAACGAGCGTGCTCGCAACATTGTCAACCTGGCAAACCGGCTCTACTCCCCCGACCGCCCCTTTGTCCAAAGCGCGCCCGAGACAACTGTCGACTGTGCCGAAACATCGGCCGAGCTGCGCCGCCTCGCCGCGGATGGCCTTGTGCTGCTAAAGAACGAAAAGAGCATCCTGCCGCTTGACAAGAGCAAGACCGTCGCCGTCATCGGCCCCAACGCAAACCTTGCTTCCTACGCCGGTGGCGGCTCTGCCAGCCTCAAGCCCTACTACACCACCACCCCGCTACAGGGCGTCAAGGAGCATGTCCCCGCGGCACAGTATGCTATCGGGGCAGTCGGGTACAAGCAGCTGCCGCTACTCAGCCTTGTTGCAAAAACATGCGATGGGACGGGCAGGAAGGGTGTGCTGTGCAAATTCTATAACGAGCCTGCCACGGAAGCCAACCGGGTGCTGAGGGATATGGTGCATACCGAGATTTCGGATATGCTCCTCGTGGACTACGCCCACCCCGACGTTAACCCGGAGCTGTTTTACATGGACATCGAGGGTGATTTCACGCCCGAGGTGACGGGTGAGCACGTCTTTGGCTGCTCCGTCCGCGGCACGGCCCGCGTGCTGGTCGACGGCGAGCTGGTCGTCGACAACGCCATGAACCAAACTCTGGGCGGCACCTTCATGGGCGCGGGCACGCGCGAGGAACGCGGGAGCAAGGTCCTGGAGGCGGGCCGCACGTACCAAGTAGTGCTGCAGTTCGGGTCCTCGCAGACGCAGACGGTCAAGAAGAAGGGTGCGACGGCGATGCGCGGCGGCGGCGTCCGCGTCGGCTGCGCGCCCGCCGTCGAGTCCGAGGCCGAGATCGCAAGGGCCGTGCGCCTGGCCGCCTCGGTCGATCAGGTCGTGCTCGCCGTCGGCCTGACGGGTGAGTGGGAGTCGGAAGGGTTCGACCGCGACTCCATGGACCTGCCCGGTCGCAGCGACGACCTTGTGCGCGCCGTCCTCGCTGCAAACCCGAACACGGTGGTGGTGGTCCAATCGGGAACCCCCGTTACTATGCCCTGGGCGGCCGAGGCGCCCGCCATCCTGCAGTCGTGGTTTGGGGGCAACGAGGGCGGTAACGCGATCGGCGATGTCCTATTTGGCGCTGTTAACCCCTCGGGCAAGCTGCCCATCACCATCCCGCATCGGGTCGAGGATAACCCGGCGTACCTGAACTTTGGTTCCGAAAACGGCCGTACGCTGTATGGCGAGGACGTTTACATCGGGTATCGCTTTTACGAAAGGACCAAGAAGGATGCACCGTTCCCCTTTGGCCACGGTCTGTCCTACACCTCATTTGAGCTTGGCGGGTTTGGCATAGAGACCACTTCCTCGGACCCCGGTCTCGATGCAACCGTCAAGGTAGGCGTCGACGTCGAGAACTCGGGCAAAGTCCAAGGAAAGGCGGTGGTGCAGGTCTATGTGCGCGCCCAAGCGCCGCAGGCCGTGAAACGCCCGCTCAAGGAGCTCAAGGGGTTCGCCAAGGTGTCGCTGGAGGCCGGTGCCAAGACGAGGACCAGCATCGAGTTCTCGAGAAAGTACGCCACCAGCTACTGGGACGAGGAGCGCGACATGTGGGCATCCGAGGCCGGGGTCTACGAAGTCCTGGTCGGACAGAGCTCTACAGACGTCACCGTCGCCGGGAGCTTCACGGTCAACAAGCCAACATGGTGGAGGGGGCTTTGAAAAAGAAAAATGCTGTGAGCTTGCAAATGGCTGCGTGGTATATACACCTCGACGCCGGGACAGCGCAGAGCCACAAGGGCCAACCCATATGAGGGACACATCGAGAGCTCTTTGCTGCGGGCGTGGAGGTTGGGGCAAGTAGTAAATATGTACACAAGAAATCAAGACGGACAATTGGGGGAACCTGAACCGGAGGTTCCAGGCCCTAAAACGCCTCCTACTCTATCCTAGCAGCGGCGACAGAACCGCACAGGCCGCGCCGCCGTTGCTCCTTCTTCTTCTTCTTCTTCTTCTTCTTCTTTCGTGGTTGGTAGCGTTGAGGGCTCGGATTTTAAGTATCGCATTCCTCGGCCTCATCGGTTCCGGTGGGAGCGGGCGCCGACGTGGTGGTCGCGGTGGGCTCGGCGTCACACTCATCGTCGGCACCAGACGGAGCAACAGTCGTGGAAGCGGCGGCAGAGGCAGAGGCAGAGGTCGAGGTCGAGACGGGTTCGGCGTCGCACTCGTCATCGTCGCCCGTGGCGGGCGCGCTCGTGGCGGTGGGCGCGGCGGCAGCGGCGGTCGAGGAGGCCTCGGGCTCCGCGTCACACTCCTCCTCCTCGGCATTGTCGACGTCCTTGATGGTGGGGGCGGGCTTGGAGGAGGACGCGGTGGTGGTGGGGGCAGGCGAGGCGCCACCCGAGCCGTTGCCGGGGGCGGGAGCACCGGTGGGCGCGGGGGAGGCGGTGCTCGAGACGGGCTCGGCTTCGCCACCGGCGCCACTGCCGGGAGCGCTGGTGGAAGAGGGGGCAGGGGCGGAGGTCGAGGAGACCCCGGGCTCGGCATCGCACTCCTCGTCGTCTTCGGCACCGCCGGGGAGGCTGGTGGAGGTGGGGGCAGGGGCGGGGGCGGGGACAGTGGAGTTGGCAGGGAGTCCGTCGCAGCTGTCGTCGTCGGGGAGAGCCGTGGAAACGGGGGCGGACGAGGTGGAGGTGGCCGGGGCCCGCGAGGAAGTCCTGGTCAGGAAGGTGGTGGGCACAGAGCCCGGGCCGGACATGGAGGTGGACGAGACGGCCGGGGCGGAGGAGTTGCTGCCGCCGGTGCCGGCGCCGGCCGAGTAGACGGCCGGGCCGGGGATGGTGTAGCTAGTTAGGCCGTTGTGGATGTTGACGAGGATGCCCGGGTCAGCGGCCGAGTAGGCGCCCGGGAAGGGCACGCCGGCCGGGGTGGCGCTGCCGGAGCCAGTGACGCGGATCTGGTAGCACGTCATGTAGAACTGGGCGCCGCCGCGGCTGCCGGCGACGTGCAGGGCGACCGTCTCGGCCCTCAGCAGGTAGTCTCCCGGGGTGATGTCGGCGGGGATGACGACGTTCTGGCGGCCGCAGTTGGCGTTGAGCAGGTCGTTGCCCCACGTCTTGTTGCCGGCGAAGTAGCCCGACTCGAAGATCTTGAAGAAGGGGCTGGACCCGTCGGCCTTGGCGGCGTCGGCCACCTTGCTGAGGTACACCATGACGGGGCCGTAGTGGTTGCCGCCGATGGCCTCCTGCGCGCAGTCGCGGTTGTTGTGCTGGTGCATCTCGACCGCGACCACGTCGCCGGCCCTGACGGCGCAGGAGCCGGCCGCGGCGGCCGGGTTGGCGTTGCAGCGCATGTTGTTGGACGACACGTCCTCGACGGGGCTGTTGCTGGGCGGCAGGCGCGCGCACTTGGAGTCCTGGTCGACGCCGTTTACCCACAGCTGCTGGAACGTGGCGTGGGCCGCGGCGAGGGGCGCGAGGGCCGAGGCGGCGGCCAGGGCGTACGAGAGAGAGTACTTCATCTTGGTGACGGGGTCGTTGTTATGAGGGGGAAAAAAGAACGAACGTGGGAAGAAGACACCTAGAGCAGGGGGCGGCGGAGCAACGAGAAGCGAATGACTTGACGCTCGGCGTCTCCTTGTGAAAGCGGAAGAAAGGAGCGTGGTAGGAACAAAGTCCAAAGGCTGACGAATCAGAAGAAGAAGACGAACTTCTGGACCCCAAAGAGCGGATGGTGGTGAAAGAGGCTCTTCATGGACCCTGGGGGCAGAGGCGCCCACCATGTTATATGCCGCCCCAACATGTCCCCGCCGCCGCCGCCGCCGTCGAGCTCGGGCCAGCCCTCCTTGGCGTCAACGCATGTCATCCATGACCGGACGGCGGCGTCGACGTGTGTGTGGTCGTGCGGCCCGGTGGGCTGGTCCCAGGTTGGCGTGGGCTGGCTTGCAGGGTAGGGTAGGGAGGGGTGGGGGAGATTTGAAGGGATCGACCGGGTTACCACCTTCTCGGGCGGGACCCGGCATTGCAATTGGTGCGATATTCCCAATAAGGGGTCTCCGCTCGCCAGCCCACAGGGCCTTGGGGCAAGGGGGGTGGTTGAATTCCCGTTTCACCAAGGCCAACAGCAAGTTTAGGCGTCGAGCGGCCTGCTTCCTTGGCCGCATAACCTCACGTTGGAATCGGCGCACCCCCAGACGCTCGCTTGCCTCTCTGATGCCCCGCTAGCCGCGGTGAGTCCACCCTCGCGGAAGAGTTTTTGTGCCTGCAGGGATGATTTGAGATGGCAGATGGAGATGCCCGGTCTCGAAGGATCGAGGACAGGCCAAAGCCGGGGGAAATTCTGAAACCACCGCTGGGCCAAATATGCTGATGGGAAATTTTAGAATCCTCCTTGGCCAAGGCAGTATCTATGCAGTCTTGTTTTTCTCTCGTACCGGCCCGTCCGTAGCCAGTGGGGCAGGCCCTCATATACTTCATCGTGCATCAGCTTGCTCGTGTCTGAGAAGAAAAACGATAACATGCACCCCTGCATTACCTCAAGTTCTGCGAGATTGCTCCTCCTCCAACCCCTAACTTCTGCTGTCACTGACAAGAACTTTATCTCTCCTTGCCCCCCAAATCTCCGTCCATTCACCTGATACAGCTCCAGCATAGGACGCGAATCCTTTCAGCAGCTTTGCCCTGTCAGTCCGGCTACGATCAGATGATGATAAATACTCCGTCTCGCTGTCGTATATCCTTTGTTAGGATCGATCGTTGTCGTCGGCAGAGGTCGTGATGCTTTCACATCGGCACTCGGACTGCGAGCTTGGGCTGGCCGCGAAACCACGGCTACCCTAACTCCGAGGTAGCTCTCGTCATATAGTGATATTTATTACTGTTCGTACAATTAAGCATTAACGATTACACGGCTACCCTTGTCCTAAATTCTCTAAAACACTGGCCTCCCGCTCTATCCATGCCTCCACTGGTCGATGCCCGCGAAAAAAGTGGCCATGCCCGAAAATGTGCCACTGGTATTCACTCAGGCTTCTCGCTGACAGCATCGTTCGTCGCCGTGTCCTCATCCTGGGACCGGTCGTCCTTGGCAATCCCTCGAAACAGAATGCGATAGGCAGCCCGGAACAGGCAAAACAGCCAGAAGATGTTGAGAATCTGGAGGGCGGCCAGCAACCCAAATGCGATTACCTGTGAAATGCGGCACTTGTACTGGCCAGCCCTCCGGTCCAGCTGAAACGGGCCAACGGTTTGGAATTCGGTGAGGATGGAGTAAAGAATCCTAATGTTGATGTAATGTCGGAGGTAGATCCAGGTCGCGATGTTGACGGCAAAGCAGGGGATTTGGAGAGGGCTCCCAACGTAGTTGAGTGATTTTGACATCTAATCGAGGGCGGGCGTGTCAGCATTCTCTTCTCGCTGCGATCCCGTCGCCGTCGAGACTGGAAGCGGAATATTGGTAAAACTTACCGCCAGAACCATATCGCTTAGATCGTGCGTCACATAAATAGCGATCCCGGCATGGGTGAAGTGGAACCGGTAACTAAGAGCGATAAGAAAGATGGTGACTATATGGTGAACCACGAGCTCTTTAAAGTCCTTGCGCCGCTTCTCCAGGCCCAGGACCATGACCATGGCCTGCTGGACCCAAAAAGCGGCCTGGAAAAGGTAGTAGAACTTCACCGGGGCCTCGACGGCCGTGTGCGGGTACGATTCGTACATTCCCCGGGTGTTAAAGTACCACGCGGGCGTCCTACGCATGCACCACATGCCAAACGGCCCGGCAAAGGCAATGTACGTGACCGTGTACGCCTGCTCCATGAACCGGGCCTGCTTGGCGGGGGACTTGATGCCGCAGGAGCGGGCCAGCGGCCTCAGCAGCTCCTGCATGCAAAACTCTCGGGTGAAGGTCAGGAGGACAGTGTAGAAGGCGACAAGGGCGAGGTCCCAGGGGCCCTTACCGTAGCGCGGCGGCGACCGTCCACTCGTATCGTCGCCGGGGCCATACGAGAGGAACAGCAGGCGCCCCGCGACGTTGGACTCGGTGGGGTGCGCGGCGTACAGGCTGGCGACCAGCATCACCAGCAGCAGGGGCAGGCTCCAGCGGCGCTTGAGGAGGTTCGGCACCCGGCGCCGTCTGAGGCGCTTGATTCTGGCGGAGCGTCCAAGAGGCTGGGAGCTGTTGCTTATTTTTCTCCGAGTGCGCGCTTTGGCGTCTGGCTCGAGGCTTTCCACCAGGAGGTCATGTGGTGTTGCTTGTGTGTCTGGTCGGCAGCGCAGGCGAGCGCTTACTTCGGGAAGAGCCATTAGGTTTGGGCTAGATGGAGATCTGGGCTTCCGCCGCTGCTGATGAATTTTGTGTGGACGTCTAAAGATCGCGTTTTCTCGAGTCCGTGATATCTATGTATGGCTGCCCAGTAGGTAGCGTAGGTGAAGGCTGGATCATACGATGCTAGACGAGGGAGTTGAAAGTGGGTCCTGTTCATCTTGTTGCGCAGAGATGGGATCATGTCGGCTGTTTGCGATGGGCTCGCTTCTGATAACCCCCAGGACAGCACCACATTGTGTAGCAGTTTATTTCCCATCTCAAAAAAACCGACACTCGCAAGGCGGCCCAATCTGTGTGCCAGTATCAGCCGATGTGCACGGCAGCCCGTGGGCCACCCCGCCTGCGCACCTGAGTGCAGTGTGAGGGCTGAGCGCTGGCTGTCATCTGATGGGATCCTAGCGGCGATCTGATCTGCACCGACTGAGATCTAAACCCCGACCCAACCCAGGCCTTGCGACTCGAACTGCCAAATACCTCCGCATTCTGACGTCGCAATGTCTGTGTGGAGGGGCCTAGCCTCCAGAATGTCACCCCTGAGGTTCGGTCCTCGCGCCAACCAAGGCGAGGGTGACGTGGAAGCCCAAGACTCAACACACACCACCCCAAAGTTTTTCACGCCAGAACCAAATCCGCAGTCTAGCAGCTCGCGCAAGTGCCATCAAGCGCGGCCAACACCGAACGCAACTCGGTACTTGGGCTAGCCGCGAGACGAGGCTGGCTAGGTGATGATTTTGCTAGCTATCACGTTCTAGCCGAAAGTCTCCGCCGCCAGTGGCGTGGCCAGGGCGGAGACACTGCTCCTTGAGCAGACCGATGTTTTGCATGACCAAATGTATATAAATCCGAGTCGCTATCTGAAGCAAGGTGCGTTCGAGCACAGTTGTCTTTGGCAACCTGCTGCCAATCAATACCCGACCATATTTCGACCTGCTTCGTTATTCCATTCTTGATCGCCTTTTGCTCGGTGCCAGTCCCAGATCTACCAGCTCTCCTTGGAAAGAAATGAAATTACTGCTTGTGTTGGCAGCCACTGCGATATCGGGCCTTGCTGCAGCCGAACCGCCAAAGCCGGCTCCGGTCCTAAACCTGGGATTGAGATGTGCGGTATGTACCACGTTTTCTTTCTGTTGACGGGGAATCTCTGATAGATCTGACACCGGTTCGTCACTACGGTGATCCGCCATGCAACAGGATATCTGCACAAACGCACAGCTCTCAAAAACCTCATGTTTGCCCTCGAACCAAACATGTCTCTGCGGTGACAGCGAGTGGTGGTCACGTTTTGTCCAGCCATGCCTTGTTACACGTTGCAACCCCGACAAAGGGCTTTGTAAGTTGCCACACCTGGTGCTTGGGTGCCATCAACCATGCCATCTTTGTCCAAAGGCTAACGGGGGTTTCTTGTACTACCAGCCGCCATCAACGAAACCACCACCAGTTGCAGACGGCCCATTCCAAACGGAGCCGCTATTCTCCTCGGGACCATTGGCTGGCTTGCGGGTATCGCCTCGGTCATTGTCATTGCTCGGCTCGTGACCAAGGTCGCCAGGCTTACAAAATGGGGGTTGATGACACGGCCATCATCATCGTCTGGGTAAGAGAAACTAGATCGGAACGTCATCAGGACCCCCAGCACAGCCATCTCACTGACATTTTGGTCCACCATCTCTGCGATTCTTTCGCAGATCACGTTTACTGCTCTTCTCCCGACGGGAATTCTTGGTGAGGGTTCCGTTTAGAAGAAACAATACTCTCGTTTCCACATGGACTAACATTTCGGCTTTACTTTTGCACCGCTAGCTATCTGAGGCGGGTTTACCTTGGACATGTGGCTTCTCCCCTCTTGTTCCATAACCAGGTTCCTCTTTGTAAGTAATATCGATCATGATGTACAAACCCTTCCAGGTTTAACCACCTACTGACATGTACAAACAACCCCTAAACCGCTCCAGTATTTTTTCTTGTTAAAACCTACCTACATTATTGTTGCAGGCAGAAGGTATAGGCACGGTGTGAGGCTATTCCGGTTAAATTTGCTTTAAGGAGGAAAGGATTTGAAGTGCAGGGCCCCGTAAGGGGCTCTGCCCTTTATATACACGTAACTCCCTTGTCCTCCTTGCTTACTAAGCTTCCTTTTTAATGCCTGGAAGCGTTGGGCCGTGGAACGGTGCGGTGCTGAGCTCCCGCCCTCCGAAGATGTGGAGCCGGCCCGGCCCGCGTGGTGTTTGGGGGGATGTTTTGGGGGATGTTTCGCCCTTTTCAGGAATATGCTCGGGGGATCCTCAAAGAAGAAGGGGTAGATATAGGGGGTAGGTATATCGCTTGGGGGAGCAATGGGGTTTCTATTACACGGCTCTTAGCAGAGGATTTTCTTTCATTCACCTTTCGGCATAATCACTAATTAAACGTACTACAAACTGAGTGTCACGGCGCGCGCTGCGACGATCGCGACAGCAGCCACGTGCATGGGCACGTGAGGCGCGGGGCGCACTCGCCGGGCGCACCCAACAAAGGCAGCGCGCTCTGGCGCCCTGGTCTTTCCTTTTCTTCTTTCCCTAGCTTTAGGATTTCGACCAAATAGTAGGGATTTTGCGAGGGCCGCTCTCGCCGATGCGATTCTACTAGCCGTGTTGGCACGCTTCTGCCTCAACTAGTGCTGTTCCTGTCGGCAGAAGCAGCACTAGTTAAATTTATGAGTTATGCCCGCAAGGGCTCGCCAGCATAGCCTCCCCTTTGTACGCATCTACAGAAAAGGTTTGCGTGTGTGTTGGTGCATGCCTGCACCAAAGGCTATTTGGCTTACAAATAGCTTACGTGGCAAGGTGACGCAAGGCCAGTACATATTCAGTTAAGTGACTCATACATCAGATTGCCCCGCTCCCCAGAGGGCCGATTCGTGCGAGGCGCTTTTAACCCGCACAAGTACTTCGACCTTCGACAGTGGCGTCGCGGGTGGAGATTTTGCAATACCTTTAATTATAAAAACCCCAATCAGCCTAAAACAATCGAAAAGACAACATGAAACTAGCTGTGGTAAACCGCCATCACCAAACGTCTCTACACAAGCCGTGATGAAAGTAATTATTGTTGGCGCCGGCATATCCGGCCTGGCGACGTACTTGTACCTTAAAAAGAACCTCCCAGATCCGCCAGCTCCAGCCACTCCCCACTCTATCCGGATTTATGAATCCCACCGGCCACGCACCGGCCGCGGCCTCGCAGCCGGACAAGACCATGCCTTGGAGTCTTTCGAGGCCCTCTCTGCCTCGACGGCTATCGTGGGTGGCGGGCTGGCGGTGGCCCCGAACGGGATGCGCGTGCTGCGGGACCTCGACCCGGAAATCCACCGGGCCGTGACGGAGCAAGGGTTCCCCTGCGAGAACTTCATCTTCATGGGCCAGAACGGATGGACGCTGGGCACGCAGGCGACGAGCGACAGGGGCGGGTTCGAGGGTCCGCCTCCGTCCGGCCGCGCCGAGGTCTGCGTGAGCTCGACGCGGCATGGACTTTGGGCCTGCCTGATGGCTGCCGTCCCCGAAGACGCGGTGCAGTACAAGAGGGTTTCGCGCGTGGTCAGGAGGCCGGCCGAGGCGGGTGGGACACGGCCGCTGACGGTGGTGTTTGAGGACGGGGACGAAGAGGAGTGCGACTTGGTGATCGGCGCGGATGGCGTCAAGAGCATCGTGAGGAAGACGCTCTTCGGGGAGGATGACGAAGCTAGCGGCATGTACAGCCCAGTTTATACGCAAGTATCCTTTTCCCTTTCCCATCTCCTCTTTATGTGGATTGCAAGTCTAACACCCAAACAGTGGAGCTTCCGGGGTCGGAGGGATCATGAAAACCCCGCTGCCTTCGCGCGTAGCCGATAACAAAGCCATGGTCTTCACCTTCGGCCGTGATGGGTTTTTCGGGTACGCAAGCGGATCGCCCGCTCAGGCCAACTCTCTCATGTGGTGGTCGACGTTCGAGACGGACTCGCTTCCTTCGAGAACTCGACTCGACCTTGACGAGATCAAGGCGCAGCTGAGGCGGCGACATGGGGGATGGAGTGATCCCGTCGTGCGAGACATCGTCTCCAAAGCCGAGGTTGACACCATCTATCCCACTTGGGTTCTTTCGGACCTACCCCACTGGGGTGAGAACGGCATCGTCTTGATTGGCGATGCCGCCCACGCCTTGAGTCCAACCACGGGCCAGGGTGCGTCGCAGGCGTTGGAGGACGCCCAGACGCTTTCTCTCCTCCTTGCCGAGACCCTTAAGAAGGCATACGCGCCAGACCCGGCAGAGGTAGACGACGATCAACCCGCGGGCGCTTCGCGGTCCGACAAGGAGAACGACGCCGCGGCTCTTACGCTGAAGCTGTTTTACAGCATACGCCAACCCCGGGTCGCAACAATTGCCCAGCGGGCGAGGAAATTCGACAAGAATAAGAAGAGCATGAGCATGATCGAGGAATACGCCATGTATTGCTTTCTCTGGGTGATGATGCATCTCCGGTCGATTGGTGAGTCTGGTTGCACCTGGCTTAATGGATTATATTGCCCTGCTGACATTTCTCGCCTCTTTTTAGCAAAGTTGGTAATAGGAGATGTAAACGAACAGGTCTACGGCTGGTCGGCAAAAGTAGAGGTCGAAAAGGCCATGGCAAATTTAGCTTCTTCCCTGTAAATACGTAGGCGCGATTCCTATTAAATCTTGGCGGAAAACCCAGTGCATTGAGATCTTGAGTTTGACGAACTGTCTTTCCGGATAGTACTCCTAACATGTCCATGGGCTCCCGGGGTTCGCGCTGATTAATTCGTCCGGTGAGATGCTCCGGGCGGTGAGGTATCCTTGCTCCCTCCTTCCCCAACTATTTGGATGCGCTCTCCCTCGTTTCCGCTTCTGCCCAGCCGCGGCCCGATCGACGTCTATCAGAAGCAGAAGTGGAGGCGCCGGGCTCGCGGCAGCACCTAGGCCCGGTGCAGCAGGACGCGCTCGTCTCCCAGACGCCGACGCCGTTGCACACCTGGACCAAGCCGCCCCAGCACTTGAAAGCGCCTGGCTGGGAGCACCGGCCGCCGGTTGTCTGTCTGGCCTCGAGGGCGGCGGCCACCTTGGCGGGCTCGTCGCGCTCGACACTGGCGCCGGCTCGGGCACGGCGACGGCGTAAGCGGCCACGGAGGCCGAGAGGATGGCGGCGAGGACAGTTGAGAGATGCACAGCGGTTGCCGAACCCGGGGGCGTGGGGGGTTTGCTTGGCGTTGGCGACAGGAGGTGAGATGATGACGGGAAAGTGCCTGTTGCTGGTGTCTTCGGCCGGGGCTGGATTGCGGGGCATTGTCTCAGGCGGCCGAGGAGCCCACCTGCCCGCCACCGCGGCTGGGGGCCCCGAGGAGGACAAGGAATTAAAGGTCGGCAGCTTCCCCTGCTCTGGCCTAGCGCTAGCCGATTTATGTGCTTAACTAAGCCGGTTATGGCAGGCAACTCACCCTAGTTACGGCCTACAGCGGCGAGAGGTGATGTTATGTCGTCGTCACCCTCGAAGCCGCCGTGGACCCGGGCTTAAGCTTGTCGACTGAAGGGTCGGAGCGGGGCTGGCGTTGCGTCGGCTGGGCCGTCTGGCATTTTGCGATTGTGGCTGTTCTTGGCTGCAACCGGCTGCGCTGCGTCGTTTCCGCCGTCGTCTTCGTCTTGGCGCCCGGGAGCTTGGGAAAGATCCACCAGGTCGCCGCCCTCGCTGCCCGTGCAGCTGGTTTGGGGAGCATCGTCGCCGTTACCGTCGCCGTTGCCGCCGTGGCCATGACCAGGTGCCGGGCCCTGATCATCACTTCCACTGCTGCTTGGTGTCGCCGGGGACGCATCGACCTGGCCGGCGGCCGCTTCTGCAGGAGGCGTGGGGTGTCGTGTTAATTTATAGGGCAGAGGGAAAGCGGCGGCTTGTATGCGGGCCCACTCCTCCCACGTCCTCAGTAGTGGTGCGATGCTTCGAAGGTTGGGCTGTCCATCCTTAACCGAAGCAGCCCTCCACCTTTCTTCATCCGTATCCGCCTCAGCGAGCGGGCAGAGGTATGTGAGCCACACGAGGTCTTTCCGTGTAACGGTCGGGGCGTCGCCTTCTGCGAGGCCCGGGTATTCTTAAACGAGCCGTCGGAGCTGCCGGCCACGGAGCTTTTGGTCAACTCCGACACCGTCATGCTTGGGCGCCCTGGTCTCGGCGGGCCGGGCGGCGGGCTCGGGGGAGCCGCTGGGGCTAGCGGCGGGTTCGGGGGTGCCGCTGGGGGTAGCTTTGGCGGTGGTGGTGGCGGTGGTGGTGGTGCTGGTTTTGCTGGCTACAACGGCGGGTCTGGTCTTGGCCGACGCGGCTGGCTTGGAGACGACGGCGGCGCTGGGCTTGGGCTTGGTGGCATTCGCGGCTATGGCGGCGGCGGCGGACGTGGTGGTCGCGTAGCTAGGGGTCACGAGGCTAGAGGCTTTTATCGGGCTTGTCGTCAAGGGCTTGGGCTTGGGCTTGATTGCGCGTGAAGCTGCGCGTGGCGGGAGCCATGGTTAGTTAATCCGAAGCTCGGCAGGGCGCATGTTGAAACGAAAGGCGCAGGAAAGGCTGGAGAGGAGACGGCCCGTCCTCTTTATGCATTGGGCGCGTCGGTGGCCGGCGAGGCGCGCCATCGTTGGTTGGCTTGGGTTGCGGACAAGGCTGCTGCGATTGAGTTTGGGCTTGGGAATCGACTGACTGGAGCTGGGGTCCACTTTTTGCAAGCTGACAGGCGCTCGGCGAAGCAAAGGGCGGGGCCTCGCCTGTGGAAGGTGAATCAACGGGACGGCACGGGCGGTTCCCCAGGCAGATGCTTTAACCTGAGCGTCCTGCCCGTATCGCACACGGCGATAGGCGTAGCTTTGGATGTGTGGATGATTATAATTCTCGCTCTCGAGGTCCTGGCCTTAAAGCTCAAGCCTAGAGACACCATCGCGGTCATTCTCATGTTTGGCTGTGGCGTCCTGTGAGTACCCCCTTCTCCTTGCGGTTAGACTCTCCCTCGACTGGTGCGCAGTTACTGACCCTCTCAAACACCATTGGCTTCCCATCAGCTTGACTGTCATTAGCTGTTTGCGAATCCCCTATTTACTCACGTATTCTAGGTCCGCCAACCTCACACGTAAGACAAAGCTTGCCCCGAACCTAGACACGCAACAAGTCAAGACAGGGAGGAGCTACAGGCGCTAACTGCCCGTCGCTTTGGCGCGGCGCAAGTCGACTCTCTGCAAACAGGCGTCTGGACCTACTCGGAAATAGCGGTCGGCATCATAGTGGCCTGCATGCCCAATGTGCGCCAGCTGGTGGCCCAGCTGCTGCTGCCCATGATCCGCTCGACGCCCTCTCTGAGGAGGCGCACGCGGCCCGGCCCTCGCTTTGCTCTGCGCACGTGCACGGCCCTGGACGGCGGTGGCTGCTCCGGGGCGGCCAAGCGGGAGTCGCAGGCGGCCATACTATGTCGGGAAAGCACCATCAGCGTCGCCAACAGCGAAAATCTGAAGCCCGACGGCGGGGCCGGGGGCGCGGAGCGGGGAGGTGGGCAGTGCCCCCCTGACGGACGCCGGTTTTGTGCACAAGGGACTGCGAGCGGCCGAGGAGGAGCGGCAGCCGACGCCGCCTTCAAGCGGTGACGACGCTTTTGCTGGCCGCAATGCAAACAGCTACATAGAGCTTTCGACTGTACGGAAGGATCCGGCTTCAGGAAGGCAGAAAGCGGCCTGGCAGACGTGGGACTGATGCCGGTCTTTGCCAGTTCTGATTGTGCATTTATACAAATACATGACATGTAACGAGCCATGTAACCGGGCTTCACCCACGCCTACAGAAACCATCGAAACTCGTCCACCTTTGGCCCATCGCGCAGGCGGTGCGTGGGCACGTCGCGGGCGCTGAGGTTCACGCCCTGGCTCCTGTTCCTCGCGCGGTTGTCCCAGACCATCCAGAGCCCCATGGCGGCCGCGACGGTAGCCCCGGCCGCGCCGAAGCAGGCCGTCGTTATCAGGGCGGGTTCATATTTTGGCGCATCTTCTTTTCTGAATACGTTGCTGGACACCAGGCCCATTAAGTTTGCTAGCGGAACCCCCACGGATGTAAGGACCAGGCGCTGGCCCTCGTGGGCGATGTTGTTGTTGTACCACTGCAGCCAGGCGCGGCGGAAAGTTAGCGTTGAATTTGTTGGATTTTAGGAGGGGGTAGGTTTTGCATGAGATTACGTACCGTGCTGAGCAGGACAGAAGGGGCAGAAGTGCCCCAACACATCATAAAGGTGGCGTAATATCCCAGACGTAGCTGCGTCTCGATATTATCGATGGCGGCGTAGATGGCGAACCCCATGCATGTGAGGATGAAGCCGAGTGCAACAAAGGGCGAGCGAAGGCGGAGCCAATCGGAGGTGAACGCCAGAATGAGCAGCATCACGGCGCCCTAGCATCGAGCCGGAGGATATGTCAGGGAGGCGTCTTGACCTGGCAAGGCACTAGTCTCGGAGGGAGCGCGGCTTTCTTACCGTAATGTTAGGCGCCACGGTGAACAAGTTGGTCTGGATCGTGCCATAGCCCAGGCGCTGGATTATCTGGGGCATGAAAAGATTGACAGCCTGCGACGGGACCCCGACGCATATTTCGATGAGTAAAAAGCCATACGTGGCCGGCTGCCGGAAAATGACCAGAGACTTGCGCAGGTTGAAGCCCTCCTCGACGGTTGATGACGAATCGACCGAGATCCGGTGGAATGCCAGTGCCTTTTCTTCCTCGTTCAGGAAGCTGGCCTGCGAGGCGCTCAGGGGCAGGTACCAGTACGCGAAAACGGCAAAGAGGACGGTGATTGTGCCCTCGATGATAAACAGCCAGCGCCAGCTGAAGTCGACGAGGTGGCTTTCGATGCGGAAGACGGCGAACGCCAAAAGCCCGGAGAAGGCATTCGCGATGTTGGCCGCGGCGTAGAAAATCGCCAGGCGCCTAGCCAGCTCGCCCCGACGGTAAAAGGTCGTCAGGTAGTAGATGACCAGAGGGAAGACGGCGGACTCGGCCATGCCCAGGAACCAGCGCAGGGCGAAAATGCCGCTGAAGCTGCGCGCCGCCGCAGTCAGGAGCGTCATGGAGCCGAAGACCATGGCCAGGCAGGGGAGGACGCGCGCGGGCCCATACTTCTTGCCAATGATGGAGATGGGCGGCGCGAAGATGACAAAGGGCACGAAGAAGATGGCCAGGATCAGGTTGTACTGGCCGGGCGCGAAGCTGAGGTCCTTACTGAACCCGGCCGTCTCGGCATTGCCGATGTTGCCCTTGTCGAGGGCGTTGAGCAGGTCTGGGAAAGGGGCGTGTTAGTTGCTACGAGGGGCTTGTTGGAGGAGCTGTCATAGGAAGGGGCCTGTGGGGGGCGCATACACAGAAACGCAAGGACGGGGAGCAGGCGAAAGTCAAACTTCCTGCAGAGCGCCCGCTCGGCGGCAGGATCGAGGACCCTCGCGGTGCTGATTTGGAGCTCAACGTCCTTGGCCACGTTGCTGGCAAGGGAGTTCTTCCTGTCCTCCGGGCCGGACTTGGCAACGGCCGGCTTAGACGTGCCATCTGGGTGACCGCCCGGCGACATGGTCTACTGGGTGGGCGACTCAAAAGGGGGGCAGGGATGGAGCTTGAAGGCTGGGATTATTGGCTTTTTTAGTTGGGACGGAGCCGGTACTGCGTACAGATAAGGTAGCATCTTGGGACGCCACCCTGGTTTTCCGAGACCGAAGACCCTGGTGCCGGCTCGTCCACGGTTGAATCCTCCTGTCATTTTGGGTTACATCGCTGGGCGCCTTTCAAGCCGGGACTTGATTTCATCAATGATGGGGGCCGCAGATCTGTTGGCCAGAGACTCGGGCCGTTCGATATCCTCGGGCGTGGCGCGCTATCTATCTCGAGCTGATAGAGATCTCCATGGAAATCCGAGCCTGGCTTGATATGACCTCTGCTGCGCGACATGATGCAAAGTCTCGCAGGAGACCAGACACGCATGGCAACCGTTGTCCTATTTCGACCCTCCTCCGAACAGACCCAGCTAATGGCTCTGTGATAGAGGTCCTCTGCTAAGGGGGGGTCGGGGTGGTGCCCGAGGTAACGCACCGACCCCTCCGCATTCCCAAGGTTGCATCGGATAAGCAGACGGGGAAGAATGCCGGACACCGACGTCACTGAGTCGCCAACCAGTTTGAATCCCATCTGACCCCACCCAAAAGGCGCCTAGCGTCTCGTTTTGGTCATCACACGGTGTCGAGGGGATTGGAAGGCTTGCTGGCATTGACCCGGCCGCGCATTCGGGAGAGTTTTGTTGTACCTGTAGCCTGTGGGAAATATCGAGGTAGGACCAGATTCTGGAGGCGATTGGGAAGAACAAGCAGCGTGACTTCCACCAATGCCCTGCTCCTCGCACACAAACGCCCCGCACGGTGCCGCAGGTGGAGGTCCGACGATGGCCGATGATCGGCAGTGCCCGATGGATGGGGCAACAATAACGGCCGAAAGCTAAAGGACCTCTGTCACACATGTACCCCGCCGATATAAGAGTATGGTTCAAGATACCTAGCATGGTCGGGCTGTTGCGGCTGCCTTCAACCACCACACGTCCCACCAAAGCAATCAAGATGGCCTCCAAGACCCCAGTCCTGACCGACAAGGCACCCAAGCCGCTGCCTGGCATTTACAGCCAGGCCATCAAAGCAAATGGCTTTGTCTTTGTGTCCGGCGCCGTGCCTATGGACGCGACCACGATGCAGATAATCGATGGTGATATCCAGGCCCATACGGTAAGGCAGTATCCTGAGGCAGTATCCCATTTTGCACCACAAAGGGCACACTCAGCAAGAGTCCCGTCTAATGAGAAATTACAGCACCAATGCATCAAGAATCTGACCGCCATCCTGGAGGAGGCCGGTTCGAGCATCGACAAGGTCGTCAAGGTCAACGTCTTCCTGTCCAACATGGACGATTTCGCCGCCATGAACGAGATCTACTGCCAATACTGGGGAGACGTCAAGCCCTGCCGAACGTATGTACCGTACCGTCTACTACCCCGCACGCCATTGTAGTGGTTGCTATTAACACGGCGCTATCGCCCGCATAGCTGTGTGGCCGTCAAGACCCTTCCCCTTAACGTCGATGTCGAGATTGAGTGCATCGCCACCTACTAGGTGGCGCTCGGAGTGAGCCTGAAGGAGTTTAACAGGCAAACCTAACCAACCAGGTTTTACAAACGATGGCCAGCCCAATTCGTACATAAAAGCTTGCCTGCCTGTTCAATTTTATTTCAACTTCAATCTTCGTTTGCCTGGGCGGCATGCTCGTTCTTGCCATTTCCGTTTTTTTGCGCGATACAAGCGCTATTTTTCAAGGCAAAACCACTGCCCCCAAATCTGGTTGATAGTGCATCCCACCTAATGCCGTGCTGATAGAGTAATAGCGGGGACGGGGAATGGATTCCCTCACCAAACCTAAACAAGGAAAGGTCGAGGGAAACAAGCAGAGCGGAGCAACTTGCATGTCACTCCCGTAATCCTATCCTCCTCCCAAAGATCTACCCTTCAAGCCCAAGTAGTCCGACCCTGTCCCCTCCCGTGTCCGGATCCATCATCCATTCCATTTCCTTGGGCCTAAAACGTTCCCAAATTGCCCCCAGGTGGCGACGAGAAGATTCAGTCACCCTCCAAGGGCAGAAGATTATCCTACAAAGTACTGTGAAGCGCGGAGTGGAGAGTGGGCTAATCTAACAAAACTGTTGAAACCAGAGTAAGGCAACGCACAAGATCAAGGAAGTGCCGTAGACATCAGCGGCCGCGTCACTGGGCATTCTGGTCTTCCTCGCCAATGGTGCTGGCGGTAGTGGCGCTCATGTAGATGGTGGAGGCATCCTCATCGTCTGGGCTGTTCATATTCATGTGCTGCTGTCCGATGCAGGCAAATTTCGCGGCGTCATAAGGCGATGGGACAATGCACCCGGCCCGGTCATGCGCGTTCTCCGCCATCTTCTTCGCCTCTTCCTTGGCAATCTTCGGAGGCCCCCTGTAGGAGCTGGAGAAGGCAGGGTCGCTCGCGATGCGGGCCCGGACATCCCCGACGAAAGCCCAGACGAACTGCCGGATCCGCTTGAACTCGATCATGAGCTTGGCCTCGCGTATGCCGTTCAGCATGAACCCGAACTCGGCCACTGCGAAGTCCCCGCGAAGGTCCGGGAACATCTTCTGTTTCACGAGGTAGACGGCCCCAGTCAGCAACTCCTGGTTCCTCAAGGGCGGGGGCGGTGGCAAACGTCACACATAATCGACAGGAATTTCGAAAGTAAGTTGGGCGCCAGACTTACCATGAACTGTTCATAGAGCGGGCCAACAGCCTCTGGCGTCAGCTCTCCCGCAGGGCACCTGAAGTGCGCCCCAATGCAACCGTCGAGGTTGATGAAAGCGTCGTTGTTGCTAAGGCTCTGGGCGATCGCGGCAAGCTGGTTGATGATGCAGGCCTTGTTGTTGGCCTTGAGCTCCATCGCCATATCCAGCAGCATCTTGATCGGGTCTTCTCTCGGGACCCCCACGCGCCGATGCATGCCCCTCGTACCTGGCTTGCGCACCCCACCCCAGCCAAGCTGCGGGTTGGCATGGTTGCGGTGACTGCCGCCCGAGTTCACGTGCCTCCACGAGTGGCCGGCGTTCTGGAGAGGGCGCTGGCTCGGGACACGGTGGCTATCCTGCTGCTGAGGGCAGTCTGTCTCGGCCCCGCACTGCACGAGCAGAGAGTTGCACTGAGACGGCGTCTTGTAGTGCTGCATATCGACATCCTCATATCCCGGGGGGAACCCCGTGTCATTGCCCGCGAGCGATTTGTGGAAGCCAGTACTCGTGCCTCCCGCGATCCCGCCGTTGAGATTGTGAGCGCCAGGAGCAGGGAGCCCCGCGACTGCATCCGCGCCAAGGTACTGGTTTGAGTCGGAGCCACCATGATGGAACTCGGCCTGTCCGTACCCTCCGTCGCTAGCCTGCATGATCCTGTGAGCTCCAAAGGCTGGGGGGTGCATCTGGAAGTCCACAATATCTGGTTCATGCACGTTGTTGGCAGCTCTGTTGGCATAGTTGAAGGTATGGTTGTTCGCAAGGTTGTTGTTGGCAAAGTTATTAGCGTAGCTGTTGGTGTAGCTGTTGACGTAGCCGCCGGCGTAGCCGTTCGCGTAGTTGGCGCGGTTGGCGTAGTCGTTTCCATGATTGCTGGCATGGTTGTTGTTGGAAGAGTAGATGTCACTGGCAGCTCCCGAGGGCCAAGGCGGCACCGGGTACAGCACCGTATCCTTTCCATACGCATTGTTGGTAGGCTGCCTGTTTCCAGGAGGGCCCGAGGCCCAGGAAGACGTCGAGTCACTCGCCATGCCCTCTCCGTACGCAGTCTTTGTGGGCTGCATGCTACCAGTGGTTCCGGCGGCCCAAGACGATGCCGGGTTTCTCGCCATATTTTGCTTGTATGCATGGTTGTTGCAAAGGCCCTCTCCTAGAGGAGTCTTCGTGCTGGAAGGCGGATTGGAAGGCGGTCTCTGGCTTGGATGACGGCCGGGCTGATGAGGCCGACAGGGCGTCTCGGCAAAGTCAGGTGCAGATTTTCTGGCTCGCGAGGTATAGCCACTGGTCGGCGAGGCGTCATCGGCAATGATTGTTACGGTGCTGGGGGTTTCCACTGGATGATGAGGAGCATGCTCGAGAGGTGCGTCCAGCCATCCCGGGATATTGTAGTTCTGGGGACGTCTATTCTCGACCATTTCCTGTCGAGCGGGAGCTGTGGGTGGAGCGATGGCACGAGGCTGGGCGCCGTTGACGCTAGACTGCAGAGCAATCGCAGCCTCCTTTCTGGCTGGGGAGCTATTCTTGGGCTGAGCAATTTGAGTGTTCTGATATCCCGATGCCTTGTCTTTAGGTATCTTTCCGGGAGTCTGGTTCTCCTTCTGGACAGTGCTGCTTTGGGAGGAAGCCGGACCGGTCGACTTCTCGACCACATGGCGGGTCGGGGTCTTGGGAGGGTTCGGCTTCGCGCTCGACTTGTCTACCTTCCCGGGCCCGGGAGTCTTGGCGGTTGGGGCTGCGGCCTTTGGCCGCTTGCTCTGCGGTGTCGTTCCTGGGCCAGTGCCATTCGCTCTCTTGTCGATCTCGTCGCTCAAGGCAGTCTTGCGGGCCTTCACTCCTCGAACCTCGGGATCGAGAAACGAAGGGAAGAAGAAGACGTGCTCCTTCGGCAACGTTTCCTTGATGCACAGATTGGTGGAGGCGTCGCGCGTAGTCAGCTTGTAGAACTGCAGGTTCTTGGTCGATTTGTTCACCACCACCCTCAGGGCGTTCGGGTCATTGTCGATGGGAGGTAGAAGCCCGCCACCTCCGGCACCGGGACGTCGGCCTTTCTTGGCACTCGTGCTGGTCGTACCCTCAGCCTTGGCACCAACGGCGGCGTTGTAGTTGGCAAGTATTCCGTGGCTCGGCACCATGCCGACCCATATGTAGCCCTGAGCCGAATTGCCGTCGGGCTTCGGATCGAGCTCCTCTGGGCTTGGGAGGAGACCTGGAAAGCTCGAGTTTCCGCCGCGGGCCCCGAAGAGCTTGGAGCCGGCCTTGAGGACGTTGAGCTCGATGCCGATAGTGTAGTTCAGCGGAATCCCATGGACATAGCTCTGTCCATTGAGATTGGAAGCCAGCTGGCCAGGCTGGATGGCGATTTCGGCGGCCGATGTCTCGCCTTCCATTGCTGAGCCTGTTCCTGTGACAGCTAGTTGACGCGTCAGTGATGTGGGAGTGAAACGCTGAGCGGGGATACCGCGGGTTCGAGATATAAACCCGCAAAGTTTTTGAAGGAAGGGAATCATGATCGGAGAGCATGGGCGAGAGAAGAAAATCATGGATAAGCTAGAAAAAAGATGTGCATACCCTGCAGACACGGTGTTGAGATGTTATCACCAAGGTCGGCGACTTGGCGCGTCTCGGCCATGACCTCGAGGTTTTCCTGGTAGTGCCAGCGAGGTTGCAGGATTGGATCAGGAAGTGAAACTTGAGGTAGACTCCCTACGCCCAGGGTAGCAACTGCCTGATGGTGCTAGTTTTTAATGGGAAAGGATTGTTGCGGGAGAGGGAAAGGACGGAAGCCCGGGACCGAAGAAGATTGGATCAGGTTGGGTTTGGTTGGTTGGAAAGTTGAACCACAAGTTGGCTGGTGCGGAGGGTAGAAATTTCATATGGGAGCGATTTTGATAACGGTTTTGACGGGGCAAGGTGTACCTGGATCTCTTGAGGACCTCAGATAAGCCACCAGGGATTTGCTGTATCTCCGTCAAGCCGCCAAGAGAGACGTCGCCAAAGTCCTCGATTGCTGTAAGGGGAAGGATGCTGCAGTGGTCTAGCGGGTAGGTTATGATGGACCTTAGGAGTTTCCTGGCTGATCGACTGTAGGAAGTAGGAAGGGGGCCAGCATGGTCCATTGGCTGTAGTCGAACCATGTCAACATCATTATGGCTCCGCGACTGGATGCTCTCGACTAAAACCAATGGCGCACCTTCAACAACAGGATTGGAATATTTCATTGGATGAAAGTGTCACAAAGGAGGCTATCACCAAGAGCCGGCACACTGTTCCAGGCCTTGGCACGGAAGATCTGCACGGGCACCCGGTGCTCCGCACCGGTGCTGTGTCAAACAAATGCTCACCGAGCACTCGCCGGCACCAACAGGGGTGAGGTAATGGGTACCGCGCCTACAAGAGAGAGGTACCATTGTATATATGGAGGGCACAAGGCCCACGGCCGCGTGCCCGTCTATCTTTCTCTTTAGAGTTCCAGATAAGCCCACAATAAACCCCATCCTTCACCGTTTGTCCGTTATAAAAAGCACCGTAAATGGCCCTGTAATGGCAAATTTATAAACGAACAGAAAGCCCCTTTCTGCATTTCTACAAATATATCAGCCACCCTACTTTTTTCCCTTATATATCGTTAGCATTAATTCCACAATACTTTTGTAATCCCATCGTTTAATATTTAAATCCCATTAGGAAAATTGTGAATTTCTAAAAAAAAAACAAAGTATTTTAATGGTTTTAAATTCTTTGCCCCCCCCCCCCCTCTTTTTTTTATTTTATAAAAAATTCCCGCAAAGCACAGCCCCGACATAAAAGATCGGAAACTTACTTTACACTCCGGCACAAAGGGATGGTGGATTGTATATGAAGGCAATTCTTAGAAAGCCTGGCAAATCGGTAGCTAATCGATAATGTTGCGGGACCTTAGCCAGTTTAGGGGTTGCCGGTTGCCCGGGACAAACCTCTCGGGTCCCATACGCCCAGCAGATAGTGTACAACTAAAGCAGCATTAGCGAAAGCTGGTGTTGCATGTTAGGGGCGGGATGTTCTTCTGTGCTGTAGGACGAATATTCTTTAGAAATTACAGAATCCCAAGAGCACAGGAATACGGTTTCCATCAACTCGCACTTGTTCACGTCAGCTTCCTCATGAAACGGGCAACGGTACTTTACAAGTCGGAATGGGGAGGGAAAACCTATGGCATCAACAATTCTCATTTGGCTCTTTGGTGCTTCCCACTTTAATTAGGAAACTGTCACAGTTTTTAACCAGACGTTTCTCATTACTGAGGCAGCCAACAATGTTTTATGATACAAGCACTAACAAAAAGTTAAAATCGCCGATATGAAGTAGGCGTTCATGTTGGCGAGGGAGACATCGTTTTTTGCTTGGTAAACATAGCATGATCCCGCCCCTGAAGCAGGCGTTACTGCTAGTCGTAAGCACTAACAGTTGGCTTGAAAATAAGACCCGGGGTCAACTCCATCCTGGAAACCCACTCTTTGAACTCTTGAGAGTTCATCTTCTTCACTGTCTGCCTCGCGTTCTCGCCCACAGCGTCGTTGACGAGGCGGCTAGTTGCCCAAACCTCGCTCTGTATGCTCTCCCACTCCTTTTTGCACTTTTCTCTGTCCTCCTGCTCGCACCATTGGCGGTCCTTGTCCTTGGGGTGCCTCCAGCAGTCCCTCATGGCGCAGCGGTATGGCAGGGTCGGGGTGGGCGGCGTCCACTGAAAGGTGGCCGTGCGATTCGTGGACCTGGTCGTCCCGGTAATGGTGCCGTTGAGCCAGGTCCTGGAGAGGGTCGAGTTGGCGGCGCGGGAGACGGTGACGAGGGTGGTCTGGTGCTTGGTGACCACGCTCGAGTTCCGCCTGGGCCACGAGGTAAAATTCCAGTGCAAGGCCTTGGTGGTGGTCGTCAGAGGTGCGATATCCTTTCGACGCAAGGCAAGAGTCAGCACATCTTTGCCCAGGCATGCCTGATTGCATCTCTCTTGGCCCCCGATCACCTATGGATGGAAGTTGAAGTTACACACCGCCGTGTTGTTAAAATACCCTGATGTTTTTCCCTGCGCGGCAGTGAGACCGGCCGCGAGGGCGCCCAATATGGAGGCCAGATGCATGGTTGCAGGGACGAGACGGCGAGGGAGATGGCGACTTGAGTGCTAGGAACAGAAGCAGGAGAAGGGGTGCTGTCGGAAGATTAGGCTGAATAAGAAGGCAGGGAGTGTGAGGAGGAACGTTTCGAAGGAAGATCGGGTCATGGTTAATTTTCTGAGGTGGCAGTCAATGGCTTCTTTTCTTCGTCCCAGCAGTGAATTGCACCAATCCCTGGCCAGAGACGACTACTTTATACAGCACCCAGACGCCGCACAGAAACCACACCCAGGCAAAATGCCGCCACCGTGCACCTATGAGGACGCAGACGACGTCGTCAGAAAGCCAAAATGCGCGTCCTCAGTGGTCTGCGTAAACGTTGGCGGTAATGTCCTCAAAGATTTCAAGGCGTGATTAAGCCTTTCCCTGACGAGGCTGTACGTCGGGATGACGTCCTTTCCTAGCGGGAGTAAAGTTTCGCCCTCGCGACCCTCGCCGACGCCGGTGCCCGTAACAATTCGGACGACGACGCGGGCGGTCTTTTCTGGGTCGCTATCGAGAACAAACTTGCCTGACTGCACAAGGTCCAACCTCCGCAAACTCCTTTCCCTTGTAGTCGTCCGCCAGGGGCACGGAGCCGATGCGCGCGACGTTGCGCATATTTGTACGGAAACCGAACTCACCGTTAAGCGCCGACTTTGCAGCCGCGTATGCGCCCATGCTCTCCACCCCCTCCAGCCCGGCGCCCGAGCTCATGTTGACGACGACGCCGAAGCGGCGCCTCCGCATGTGCGCGACGGCAGCGCGCGCCAGCCTCGGTAGCCCAAAGAAGATGATCTCGAACTGTGCGTGCACCTCGGTGTTGTGTCAGGTGTTCCACGGCCTGGTGGACCGGACCAGCCAGCGTTGTTGACAAGCATGTCAACGGGCTCATCGCGCGCCTCGAGCTCGTCGTCGACGAGGCGCAGGCAGGCGACCGCGTCGTCCACGTCGAGCGCCAGCCACCGGCCCCCCGCGCCGCTCGACCTTGGCGACTAGATCGGGCGTCCGGCCGGGCTTGCGGCTCGTGGCGCCCTGCACGGCGCGGGCGAGGCAGAGGCCCAGACCGGAGGAGCAGCTCGTGATGAGGAAGGTGAGGGGTCTCACGGGCGTGGTGAACTTTGCCTTGGGGACGGCGGACATGATGTCTGCGGATTTTGCGTGCTTTTGAGGAGGTTGGTCATGGATATGGAGCACTTCTCAAACAGGACTGGAATGTTTTCTCGGTCACCCCCTTATATCCGCCATTTTATCTACGTCTATAACAGCGGCGCACCGCCGGTCGGTGTGTCCGACCTCTGAGACCCTGCTGCCGGACTTTGGCGGACAAGAGGAGTTTTCAAGTTCGTCAGGAGCCGTAATTGGCACAAGCTTCGAGTAGACCGCCCTCGGTCATGCATTTGCCGAGGCAGGTACCTCGAGTGCCGGCAGCGGTGGCGAGCGCTGTCTTCGGAAGAATGATCGCCAGCTCCCGCCATATAATAACCGGAGTTGTGATGCAGGTGCGAAACCAACGGGAACATTGAAGACGGCAGGAGCGACATTGGGCAGGATGGTATGCACGTCGCCAGCCGTCCGTCTCATCTCTGCGCCGGCTAAAGATGTGAAGTGTCAAGCTGCCACCCCCACATTTTCCGGCCGCAAGGAGATCCGTTCTTCACTTTCGGCGGCAGGTCTGTCGAAGATTTGCATGCAGACAAGGATCAAATAATGTCAACATTCTCCTCGATATATCTACGGTAGCTTATTGTCTTTAAGCTGATGGAATCTATCGATTCTATGGTCTATCTAAACTACCTTCCGTCTGTCATCCGGCATTCAAGTGCAAAAGCCAGCGCCAGGCAGAGACATATCCCCGTCCATCCGACCATCCTCACCTGTGCACTGACAACACGTTCCTCGACCCCTGAAATGCGAGATCGCCCCAAAAGCGACTTCGCACCTCGGCGGCCACACGGTATTGTGCGTAAATGACGGGCCTCGGGCAGATCACGTCTCGTCTACGTACGCTGCCTGGCCCCCCTCATCCCCGCACTCATTATCCCGGGCGCGGCTTAAAACCAAGACTTGACTTCAATCTTGGACTGCCGACAAAGGCAACGCTTCATCGGTAGCCGCGACCCGTCGCGATGCCAAGCAAGCGAGGAAGATGCGCCCAAGCGAAGAAGCCGCGAACCCCGGATCTGCGACCCCTTGTCGGATCCATGCCGCGTGAACATTTGGCTCGATCTTTCCCCACACCGGCCGGTCGATGTGCCGATAGAGATTGCAATAGCCTACATGTGTCTGCTGATGTTGGGCAACAGTGGAAATCATGGCTTGCGATGCGCATCTAAGCTAAGGGGCGTCGCCAGCTGAGAACTTAATACCCTGTGCTATCCCGGCTGTCCCGTGTTCGGTCAGTTCTTGGGCAACTTTCTAGGTGATGCTTTCATCTCTCCCGTGCCTGCCTTACACACATGTGTGTTTGTGGCCCGTTGCCAAACGATAGCAGACTCTTTTCTCCTCCGAACAGCTGCCCAGACCTGCACTGACCGCCTGCAGCCTAACAAGATGCAGCTTATGGATCTTCCGACGCCGGTACCTGTCCCTGAGGTGATAATGGGGAGCTCAGGTGACGGGCTGTCGCACGAGTCTCAGCAACTTGGCCTGTATTTCTGCGCAGGGTTCACCTGGCTCATCGGGGGCTGTTTCGTCGCACTCCGCTTCTACACGAGGAGGCAGATTCTGAGGATCCTGGGCGCTGCTGACTGGTGTATACTAGCAGCCTGGGTAGGCTTATAGCGAATCCCTCATAGGCGAAGCACAGTCACTTTGAAGTTTGGCTAACACCTAACTTCTCTACGCAGGTATTCGCCACCGGTGTTATGATCGCTTCCGTTGACCGTTCGTTCTCCTCCCCCAACTACAGCAACATGGCCCATGGTACGAACAGGCAACTAACACTGGATGCCTGGAACTTAGAGATCTATACCGGGCAAGGAAAGCATATTTGGGACACGGATCCTGCTGATTTGGCTCTTGGAATAAGGGTAAGCATGCACAGCACTATCGGTCCTCGACGGCGTGTGACTAATTCTTTGCCAGGCCTCTTGGTACAGCATCCTCTTCTACAGCCTCACGGTCTGCTTTGTCAAGATATCCATCCTGCTGCTCTACTTCACCTTCTTTACCATCGGCTGGGCCTGGTGGGCAGCACGGATAGCCATGGGCTTTGTTGTCATATCCAACGTGTGGACCGTCGGCTCAGTTCTCACGGCATGCATTCCCCTGCAAGCCTACTGGGACTTCACAGCCCGAAGCGACGCGCTGTGCCAGTCGGAACGAATCTGGTGGTTTAACAACGGGCTGCACGTTGCCACTGACTTCTTCATCTTTGCCCTCCCTCTGCCTGTCATCTGGAACCTGCGGATGCCCTGGCGGCAGAAGCTGGCTATCTTGGCCTTGTTTGCCTTGGGTTTCTTGTGAGTCGTGCTCCCTCGTGAGATCAGTGGGCAGACATGCGGTGGCTAACGCTGTGTGAAACCACCTTGTGAACAGCGTCTGCACCATGGCAATCGTCCGGCTTGTCCTTTTGATCGATACGAATCTCACCCCTGGGTCGGATTTGACATGGAACACGGCCTCGAACACGTACTGGACCTCAATCGAAGTCAACATGGCCATCGCTTGCGCATGTGCCGTCACGCTCAAGCCGCTGATCGTCCGCCGCTTCCCTCGTCTCTTTGGCATGGATCGCTCCACCAAATCGGTGGCGCTGGCTCGCGCGGCGGCCGCCAACCATCGCGCATCACTCTCAACCGTGGGTACGCGCGGCGCGCGCAAGCACGGAGACACGCCCCGGATAGACAGCTGGATCGACTTTCCGGGGAAGCTGGACGGGTTTGAATCTTATGGAAAGGGGGTGAAGCTCGGCGACGACGAGTCTCTGTCCAAGGACCTCCATTATCCTGGCCAAGCGCAGGGGATGGGAACGGGGCGTGTTGATGACACGGAGAGCAACATCGGGATCGCGGTGTCGGACGAGTGTGCTGCAGGCCAGCTCGATAACGGACACAATGGGTTAACAGCCTGGAAAGAAGCGCATCCCATAGGGGGAGCTGTCTAAAGGGTTCAGATAGGAGCGAGCCCATTGTCGTCGTGGCCCTGCGCGTGGTCGGTGCGAGATTAGTGTTTAGCGAAGGTATGCCCGTGCGGTGCTTCCGGCGCTAAGTTCCAGGCGAACTGCCCAGCATTTGGCATGAGTTAATAGTGGGACTTTGACTTTCAGTTGCCCAAAGTTGAGGTGGCAGATGTCTGTTTTCATGCTTCATCCATCTTCATCATTCTATCGTCATGTTCAGATCAACACAAAACACTAAGAACCGGAATGGCCCGACGACACGCCTACTTCTCTGCCGGCGCCATCATGATGTCGATATCGTTCTCCCACCCCGAAACCATCTTGAACCCAAACGCCGCCGCCGCCTCCCACCGCTCAGCCTCCTCCTCTCGCCCCAACGCCTGGTGCGCATCCGCCCCATGCTTCAGCGCCCTCAGCACGTGAATCGTCATCAGCCCTGCCGCTTCCGAGGGCTGAGTCTGGAACAAGCCCTGAATTTCGATGCCCTCGACGAGTCCGTCGGCCGTCGCCGCTGCTTGCGACACTGCGCTTGGAGGTAGCAAGAAGCCAAAGTCGCGTATCACCCCCAGCGCCTTCTGAATCACCTTGGCGTAGTTGCGGCGTCCGCGGTAGGCGTCAATCAGCCACATGTGCGGAAACACGAGCATCAGCCGCGGCAGCAGTCTGGAACCGCCCTCGGCGCCTCCCTCGCCGTAGACCTCGCGCTCGTGCGCGTCCTCGAGCTGCTTGGACAGCCTCTCGACGTTCCGGATTATGGCGTCTGGATAGATGCCAGGCGGCGGCTGCCTCCTGTCCGCCGTCAAGCCCATCGAGGACCTCCCGGGCGCCGGCTTGGCCCGGTTCGCGAGCTTCTCGATCTGCGCCAGGAGCGCCTTGCGCCTCGCATGCGCGCCACCCGCGCCGCCCGTGGCCGGGTCGGCCGTCGCCGCGGGCCTCTCGGCCGCGCAGAGCGCGCAGGCGCACTCGAACCCCCACCAGTGGCGGAGCTGCGCCTGGCGCTCGCCCCAGTCGGCCCGGACGGGCACGTACTGCTGCGTGATCTCGTCGCCCGCGGGGATGTCGCGCGACGCCCGCGTGATGAACAGGTCGCCGCAGAAGGCGCGCGTGCTGTTGGCCACGCATGCGTGGTTCATGATGGCCGCGTGCGGCCAGATGCCCCTCGTCTGCGGCGGCTCCGGCACGCCCTCGGGGCGGGGGCGCGTGTTGTCCACCGTCAAGGGGGGGCAGCTGTGGCAGTTTTTGGTGCGGACCAGCTCCGTGTGGAAGACGTCGATGACGGGCGTGCCGTCGACCACGGTGCCCTCTTTTCCCGTCAGACAGCCATACTCTCCGGCCCAGCACCCACCGATCCGGGCTGCAACAGTGGGGCTGTCGTACATCCGGCGGACCATGCCGGCATATAAGCCAGCGGCGGATCCTTCGTCGTCGTACTTGGTCGGCATGACCGTCGCCTTCTCCACAAAGACGAGCTCACCCGCCGGGATAAGCTCGGTAGCGAACAGGCCTCGTCCATGCATGGGTGATTCCTCCACAGTTGTCCGTCTTGTGAAGTCTGCAACGTCCAGGTGGACGCTTGGCTTCGGCCCGGCCGGAGAGACCGATGCGGCGAGTGCCGGGAAGTCGTACTCGCCCGTGTCCTCTTCGTGAATCCGGTCGAGGGTCCGCGCCCTCTCCTTGTTCAGGGTTACCGTTGCTGAATCGCTGGGATGGAGCGCAAGGGCGAGGTCGAGCTGCTCAAGCGCGCCACCGAAGTCTCTCAGCGCGTAGGCTGCTTTTGCCGCGGTCAAATGCCCCCGCCAGTCGGCCGACCCTCCGGTCAGTGACGCCAGCGCATCCGATCTGGCGGCGTCGTGCTTGCCGAGCAAAAGATTGGTTCCTGCCCTTTTGGTATACACGGCTGCCGCCGCCGCTTCACTGTCCATGCTCTCGTTCTCGCCCGGTGCCCCTACAAAGTCAAGGGCCTCGGTATAGCTGCCAAAGTTGGCTGTTATTGGGTGTTCTCGTGTTGACATGAGTCGTTGCGTCAAGCGTCAGAATGACATACCAAAATGCGGCCGTCGCCAGATCCCCTTCGAGAAAAGCAGTGTCACCTGCGGTCTTCCACTCCTCCAGTGAGCTAAGAAGAGGATGTTCTACGCCACCCTTGAGCCCTAGTGGGATTATGGGATCACTGAACCTCAGGAGCAAGATGTCGGAGGGGTGATCGACCGAGATAACCGGCGTCTTGCTCTCCGGATACACATCCTGGCCTGCTGGCGGGCATCGGTAAAATGGCTCTTTGACCGCGACGAAGCACCCCTCGGGGATGTTGGACAAGATTGAAGAATCACTATGGGCAAAGATGACGAGCCTCTCAACATCACCATACTCGTCTTCCACGACTGTCACCGTTCCGATGCCGCTATACGGCAACGCCACGATGCGTAGAACCAGGACTTTGCGGCGGTGGTGCTTGCCTTGCTCCAATGTGCGAAGTGGTATCTATGACAAAGTCAGCTTGAATTATTTCCCAGCCTCTTTCGTGTTAGGCCTACCTTTTCTAGCTCGCTGATCGACTTGACGGATGCTGGATATGGATTATCAAGATCGGGTCGTTTGACGGAACGAGACGCCACTTTGCTGTTCTGCTGCCTCTGCAGCCTTTCGACTTGGGCATTGTGATGTTTTACAAGCTCGTCTTTGGTGCTTCGCACCTTGGCCGCCACGTCTAGCTCGGCCGACAGCGCCATTTTCCGCGTGGTGTTGGGGGTTGATAGGAGAGAGCGCTCGTATGTACGGATTACGGGAGTGGTGGACAACATCCAAGCATCATTCGGTGGGATTGGCCTTGTTTCAAGCGGAAAGCCAGCCCCATGAGATAAAATATGGCCAAAGTCGTCGCTCTCCGCCGCCAGAGGAGATGTGGCCACCTCGGAATCATTAAAGCCGCATCTTGATCCGGAAACCAACTGACCGGAAGCGCCTTGGCGACGGCGGCCACCACATTTAGCCTGCATCTTGAGGGGTTCGTACCCCCAATCACCCCTGATACACGGCCCGATCCTGAGCCTTGGCTACAATTACCACCAATCACACCACAAGGTCAAGGCCGGCTGCTTGGGAGGTTCCGAAAGAACTGGATTGGATTCTCAGATGACAGTCCATCACCAGCCCCTTGTCTTGATGTAGATGTCCACAACCTCGTCCTCCCTGCCTTTGAGATCCGAATCTATAACGAAGTACCACCCAAAATGGCTACTTGTTATACAAGCATGGTTGGGCCAGAGCTGTACTTTCTGGCCGATCTCGAACTCGTCAGGCTTGCCAGAACCTTGGCCGTCAGGCGCGTGCCAGGTCAGAATTCCATGCTCTTGGGAGAACCTGCCTACGATCCAGCCCTCGAAGCTCTCCACGTCGCAGTCCGGCAGCGCAAGCGGCTTGCCGTCGGCGCCCTTCCTGCCCCAGGGGTGGACAACCGCCATCCCCAGGTACGCTTTGCAGAACTCGCGCCCAAGCGCCAGGCCTCCCGCACCGCACAGGGCTTCGGAGGTCTTGCCGTCATGGCCTCGGCCGGGATACGTGCTGCAAATCTCGGAAAGAACTGTCATTGCCACGTCCCTCCACGAGGCCAGGGCCGAGGAGACGGAGTGTACGGCGAGCTGTTGCATGTCGAGCAGCGGGTACACGCCCGCATGGATTTCGGCGACGTGCCCCTTGGACTTGATCTCCTGGAACAGGGCACTGAGGGTGGTCGTAGCGGACACCAAATCACTCGGGAGTCCAGCGGCTTGGGGCGATGATAGGAGGTTCTGCACCGCGAGGGCAGTGGGAGACGCGCCCGCGGACAGAACCAAGGGTGGCAAGTGCCTTCTCTGAGAGCTCAGCCTCGCCATGGCCGCCTGCACCACCGCGTCGGCGCCCTTGACGAGGGCGTCCAGCTCGGCGGTCATCATGGTGACGGCGGTCGTGCGGCTGTCGCCACCGTACGAGTGACCGGCGTGAGAGTACATGCCGGCCAAGACAACAGCGCCGGCGTCGTGCGCCGCCAGCGCCGCGTCGGTGACGGCGCGGAACGACTCGGAACCGACCTCGACACCGGCCCTCCGCCCGCCCATGTCCACCTTGATGTAAACACGGGGAACGGTATGCGCTGCCGTTTCCTGGTTGCCGAAGAAGCGGGCTAGGTGCTCCAGCTGGGCTGGGTGGTCGACCAGCACGCTGATGCTGCCGTGGCCCAGGGCATCACCGATGGCAGCCAGGCGTGCCATCCGCCCGGGGGCTATTGGGAGTCCGTACAAGACATTTACGGCCCGGCCCTGTGCGTGGTACTCCTTGAGGAGCGGGAGGAGGAACTCGGCCTCCTCCAGAGTCGACACGACAATCTGCGCGGGCGTGGCGGGATCGTCGCCGACTTGCAGGCGAGTGATCTCTGCCGTCTAAGAACCCATGCGAAGTTAACCGTCTATACTGCTAGGGCTTCACGGAGAGAGACATCCAGCAGAGAAATGAAAGTGAGACAAGGGTTAACCTTGTGAGTCTTCACATGCGCCCTCCATTGCAGACCGAGGCCACTGCATGCGCTTAGCATGCGCTCGCAGTTCCTCCTTACGGCCGCGAGGTCGAGGATGGCCGACGGTGTGGGAAGGTCCGAGAGGGACTTGCCCAGGTAGAGATCGATGAGGACATCTTTTGGGGAGCTCGGGTAGAGCCGCGCCAGATATGGCTCCTCCTGCTTGGCCATCGTCTTAGGCTGCGGGATGGCAGGCCTTCGAGTGCAGACGTTGTTTCTAGCTGGCTTCGGGCTCTTCTTTACCGTGATGCTTCTTATCTACACAGCAGCAGACAGTGCTTGGATTTGCCGATATCGGGACGGCATCATCGGCCCCACAGTCCAACGTACAGAGCAACGTCACTGGAGCTGCCTCGTTGGTTGCACCAGCTACAGCCCCAAACAAAAGCCCTCACTCAGTGCTGACCAGCTCCCCTCCCTACCCCGCACAGGCTTGACGGTGAGCGGGTGGCCCAACGCCATGTATGCATCGCGTTTTAGGGTCGCCGAGCCGGAACATTCTCAGGAGATCTCATGGGCAAACCGGTGCCACGTTTCGGTAACCTCGATCCACCATTGTACATCACACTAGACACCTAATCTCCGTCTCCCGCCAAATACCCCTGGTCTGGGCCGCAGAACTAGCTCCCACTTTCGGAGCTTGTGACTACTACCTCCGCGCGGCCCCTCTCACTAAGGCATTGGTGACCATCCTGGAACAGTCCGGTGCACAGCAAGCCCGGACAGTACCCGAATCATTCTCCTGACATCTCCCCCCACTGGCATGCATCCACAAACCTGGCACATAGGGGAAACGTGTCATGGGCAGCCGGCATGGCATCCGGCGGGGCCCAGCTGGTGGAACAGGGGGCCGGATGCCGTAGGACCGACCCTCGATCACAACCTAGGCGATGTCAGACTCTAGAAGTCACCCCCTCGAGCCTACTGCGAATACATACTATACTAGCTGCTCCGTCTTTGCTGTTCCATGCGTCACTCGACCTCTCTAAGCCATCACCATCTACATTTCACAGCGACCACAAGACCAGTCACAGCATGTCCACAGAGCCAGAAGCACACAACTACCCTCTCCATGAGAGCGTCCTCGGCCGGATCGACCCCGAATATGCCGCCTTCTACAACAAGCACATCTTCGACAAGCCGCAGGTGCACCTGCAGCCCATCGCCGCGTCGCGGTCGAGCGGCATCCTGATCCCCGGCGCCGGGCCCCTGGTTCCCGTGGCCAAGACGGCCGACTACACGTTCCCGAGGCGCCACAGCGCCGGCCCGGACGTTAGGGTACGGGCCTTCACGCCCGAGGGCGCCAGGCCGGCCGCTGGGTGGCCCGTCTGCGTCTACTTCCATGGCGGCGGCTGGGTGCTGGGGACGATCGACACGGAAAACGTGGTGGCGACGAATCTGGCGTCGCGGGGCGGCGCCGTGGTCGTGACGACCGACTACCGGCTCGCGCCCGAGTACCCGTTCCCGGCCGCCGTCGACGACTGCTGGGAGGCGGTGCAGTGGGTGCTGGGCGAGGGCAAGGACGTGCTAGAGCTCGACACGACCCGGCTCGCTACGGGCGGCTCTTCGGCCGGTGGCAACCTCGCGGCCGTTATGTGCCAGCGCGCGGTGGCGCGGCCCGGGCACCCGCGGTTCAAGCTGCAGCTGCTATCGGTGCCTGTGGCCGATAACACGGCCGACGTGGACAACAACGCGTCCTGGCGCGAGAACAAGCTCACGCCGGCGCTGCCGGCGGAGAAGATGCTGTGGTACCGCAGGCACTACCTCCCAGACCGCGCCGACTGGGCCCACCCCGAGGCCAGCCCGCTGCTCTGGACCGGCGACTGGGCGGCGCTGCCGCCGGCCGTCATTGTGGCCGGCGAGCTGGACGTGCTGCGCGACGAGGGAGTGGCCTTCGGCGAGAGGCTGCGCGCGGCCGGGGTCAGGGCCGACGTGCACGTGCTCAAGGGCCAGCCGCACCCGTTCCTGGCCATGGACGGCGTGCTCGAGGCGGGCAGGCAGGCCATCACGTACTTTTGCGACGCCCTGCGCACGATGGTGTGAGGTTGGCCGGGGTATATTGGCCATCTCATTTAGATGGCGCAGAGCAGCGTGTTACGAGCCCAAGGTGAATTAAATTGGACTTTTACAATAAAATATTCCGCTCTTGTCTCTCTCTCTCTCCATGAATTTATCAAATAATGCGTCCCACCTAATGCCGGACTAATGAACGAATAACCGTTCAGTTCCCAAGCCCGTATTCTTAATACCAAATTCGTCCATCTCGCCGTGTAAGCAGGTGCCCGACTCGACCCCGTCAGGCGGATCACCGACCCACATTAGTCAAAAGGCTTCTGGGCGGTGAGCAGTCAGCCGATTTACTGCCGGCAATAAGAGCGTTTGGCGGGGGAAATTTCCTGACTCTAGGATTATTTGTTGTCGCATTCGGCTGCGAGGGACTCGGGTCGCAACCGCGGCAAAATGTTACACCCGCAGATTAGCTAGCAACGCGCTGCTGCTTGATTCCCTACTCAGCCTCGAACCCATACGAACACAACGCCCCCGAACTGCACCCCTCTCAGCCCCTCCCCCAGATTGCTGCTGACTCGCCCACGCCTCCCGCTGTCGGCGGCCTGACTGACACCAACCCCGAAAGCGCCCCCCGAGACGCCCCTCCGGCCTCGCCAAGATGGCGACCGCGAGGTCGACGCCGTCGATGGCCGAGGACCCGGCCAGGATCCAGGAGCTGAAGGAGGAGCTGTACGAGGCCTGCGTCAACAATGGCTCCATCGGGCGCCTTTACACCCAAAAAGACCTCTTCGCGCTCGACGTGGTCCCCGAGGACAGCCCCATGCTGCTCATGCGCGTGGTGCAGGGCCTGACGGACGACAAGCTGCTCGTGCCCGTCAATGACCAGCGTAAGGGTCTGTGTTGGAAGTACCGCACGCGCGAAGATGCTCAAAAGTAGGGATTCCCCCTTCCCCCTCCCCGACTCTCCTCGCTCAAATCTCGCACGCGCCATTGGTCCCCCCTTATCCTGGGAGAGGCCGGCGCAGGCCATCCGGGAGAGACGACAAGACGCTAACGGACCCTGCCTTTCCCGGCAAACACAAACAGATACATCAACCTCCCCTCAAGCGATGCCGTGCTTGTCTACTCCATCATCGACGAGGCGGGCGCCGACGGGATCTGGTCGCGCGCGGTCCTGCGGCGCCTGGGCATGCACGATGCGACGCTCAAGCAGGCGCTAAAGCAGCTCGAGAGCAAGGGCTTCATCTCGGAGATGAAGAGCGTCGAGCACCCGAACAAGAAGATGTACATCAAGGCTAATCTCAAGCCTTCCGAGAAGGCCACGGGCGGGCCGTGGTACAACGACTCAACCTTGGACGAGGCATTCATCGACGAGCTGGAGCGCGTCGTCTTTGACATCGTCAAGACCCAGAGCACCTACAAGTCGCACGTCAACGGAACGGCCGCCGCGACAGGCGCCCGCGCGCCCAAAAAGGCCATCAAGGGCTCGGCCGATCAGGCCAAGAAGGGGAAGAAGCGCTCGGCCGTCGAGGCGGGCGTGGACGGCGGCGAGAAGCCGAGGGTTAACGGCCACGCCGCTGCGACGGCCGAGGCGGCGGCGGTGGCGGCGGCTAGGAAAAACGTGCTGCGGCCGCTGCCGGCCGGGTACAAGGGGTACCCCACGACAAAGCAGATCGCCGTCCTGATCGGCAAGGCCGGCATCGCCAAGAACCAGACTCTCGCCGAGGACGACATCCAGCAGCTCGTCGACGTGCTCGTCTTTGATGGCCTCATCGAGCCCGTGCATCACGGGTACGAGCCGCGCAAGCCCGGCTACCGCGCCACCGCCATCCCGCGGCTAGACGACGCCGCCACCAGCGACAGCAACCAGCTCGACGTTGTCCGCATGGGCCCGCCCGCCCGCGAGAACGGCCTGACAGAGGCCCCCTGCGGCAACTGCCCCGTCTTTGAGCTGTGTGAAGAGGGAGGGCCCGTCAGTCCGCGCACCTGTATATACTACAACAGGTGGCTCGGCCTAGAAGAAGAAAAAAAGCCCGAAGTGGTTGAACTATGATATTCACATGCTCCAAGCTACGCCACCCGGTGATGTCTTGACCTGTCTCTTGCAATGATTTGAACCTGGTATTCTGGGAGTTCGGCGGGCAAACTAGAGCAGCCTGGAGACTGTGTATAGTGGCCGAGATTAAATGATACCCCCTGCGGCACATGGGCCATTTTTGGAATTTGGATCAGAGCGGCAAGTAACTGGCACAGAGTGGTGAAATTCACTTGACTAGTTTAATTTTGAGTCTAGGTTTCCCACCAAGGATCTTGGTTGTCCTGTGTTTAAAAACGATCTGTCCGCTTTTGCTCCCAAAAAATTCGCCGTGGCGCCAATGGCTGGTCTCTGGTCACGCAGGACCCTTGTCCATCATGCCTATGCGATTCCTGTGATGATCGAGTAATTTACAGAACACCAGCATCGACGATGGTGGGCCTGAAGTTGCCCTTCTTGGGGCCGGGGCCGTCAGGGTTGTAAGCATTGGTCTTGATAGCACCGCTCTGACTGCCCTGGCCCTCGACCGCCTTGACGACGTTCTCGTAGCCCTCAACAACCTCGCCGAAGACGACGTGCTTGCCATCGAGCCACGAGGTGATGGCGGTGGTGACGAAGAACTGCGAGCCGTTGCTGGAGGAGAAGCAAGCAAGAGTTAGCAGCTGCTTTGACAAAGGATCCTGATTGGGGTTCTCAATTGGAGCAGAAGGGCAACATACGTGTTGGGGCCAGCGTTGGCCATCGACAGAAGGCCGACCTTGGTGTGCTTCATCTGGAAGTTCTCATCGGCGAACTTCTCGCCGTAGATGGACTTGCCACCAGTGCCCTATAGCCGATAATGTCAGTCAGAGCTCAGCCTGGACTTGCAGTTGCGCGAGTCCCGCAGGTGCATGACGGGGTGGTGACATACGTTGCCGCGAGTGAAGTCACCGCCTTGGAGCATGAAGTTGGGGATCACGCGGTGGAACGAAGAGCCCTTGTAGCCAATGGTGCTGCCATCGCGGTCCTTGAATCCTGCGCAGAGCTGCTTGAAGTTGTCGACGGTCTTGGGGACAATGTCGTCGTACAGCTCGAAGACAACGCGGCCGGAGTTCGGGGCTACAGTTGGGGAGGTAGGGCATTAGCTTGGGTTCAGCGTGGGCTGAGGCTATTTGATTGGCGCAGAAGAGCTCCAGGCCGGACAGCTTGCGAGTCTCGAGGCTCTAGAACCAACGTCGACAACGTCGACGGAAGCGAAAGAACCGTGTCCTAGGACACAATTGATACAGCGATGGGGAGGATGGATAACTTACGGCCAGACTCGGGGGTGTTGGAGTCCGCCCACTGGATGTCGAAGTAGCTAAAGACCACGCATTGGGTTAGCGCCGAGGTCCCCCCAAAGGAATCATCCCCAATGAACCCGTCTTGGCTGGAGCTATCGAGGGAGAACTTACACTTTGGTGCGCGACATGTTGGATGCGTTCGTGGAGCTGGCTGAGTAGAATCGGACTTTGAAGGTGTGGTGGATGGGAGACGAGGAAGGGCGGTTGTTGCACTTGAAGCTGGGAAGAAAAGAAGAGCGCGGAAGCGAAGAAGCGAAGAGGTTATGGCGGGGAACGAGGGGTCGGAGAAGTGTAGGCCTCATTTTGACTGATTCAGCAGCTGTGCGGGGAGGGAGGCATCAGCAACCAACCAATCACGATCCAGGACCCAGGGCGTGCAGATGACGACTGATGGGTTCACGTGATGAGGGGTAACGCCGCCGCAGCTCCAGCGTTGACGACAGAGGGCACTAAGCCGGTTGGGGAATGGGGCAAGTCCGTGGCAAAATCCCAGCCTGCCATGTTTCCGCAGCCTCAGGGCAGGCGCGAGGCATCTGGTTGCGAGGTGTCTAAGCGGGTGCTAGCAAATCTGCTGGCCCAGCATTCCATTCGCACTTGCATACCCCTCCAAGGATGCTTCGTCCGCGCAGAGGTTGTGCCCGGCAATTGGATGAGTTGTTCCCTCGGCCACCGCGTATCGGACGGCTCTTCTCTTCTCTCTGCCCTCGGGTTAAAACGGCGAGGTAAGGGCGGGGAGAGTGGCTTTGGTAGGCGCCCCGGCCGCCTCCTTGCCACGCTTCTTGGACCAAGTGCATACCTGCATCTAGCCCAATCAAACCACCGCCGAACTGCAGCGTGACGGGGCGCCCTTGGATGGATCAATTGTGTTCTTGGAAGGGGCGCACCTTCCTCGGAACCGGGCCCACTTGGAAAAGCAATGTCTCGCACCAGGACGGAAGGGGGAGATGACAATGGCAAGGGTTTCGGCCAATTTGCCGTCACCATGGAGGCCAAGCAAAAATGTCTGCCTTTTGTGCAAGCGGGCATTCCCAGCCAGCTTTTGGGCATGTGTGCGTAGGCATGTCTTCAGTAGGGGGGATCTGGATTTCGGAGGCTGGCATATATCAAGCAGGGAGAGCTCGGGAGCTCCCCTGTTCGATCAGGGGACACATGGAGACAAAACTATGAGCAACGTTTACTTACTTCGGACTAGTGTATAAGGCGTTCAATTGGGACACAGAGGCGAGGTTCTGTACAGACGATGCAATAGAGGAGAGCCAGGAAACCAGGTGTGAGAAAAAATCGAGGTCAGGTCCCAGTTGACGTTATTAGTCGTGCTCGGCAATCGGCTTGCCCCTGGTGGTCAGAGCTATGACCACCTGAGGGAGCTGGCGGGCGGGTCCAGGGCGGCTCCGTAGGGTTAGCCTCAGGCAAAGATGGATCTCATTTCAGATTCTGAAGAGGAGCCAAACTTGAGGATGAACATGGGAGCCATCTCCTTTTATCACGCCTTTATGGTCCGTACGCTTAATATTTGCAAATACAAACCAGAACTGTTGCATATTTCATATCATGCGCTTTTGTTTGTTCTCAGTTTGTTCGGTGCGCGATCTTTTAATTACCCCTTTTGTACAACTTATAAGGAAAAGGGCTTGCCTCAACGAGCACATACGACCATACCCACTGGAATATACGGGATCCCGTCCGCTCTCCCCTAGCAAACCAGTGAGGGAAGAATTTATTCAAAGTCCTCGACCTCTGGCCAATGGCCGCCCCCATAAGCGCCCCACCTGCGCTCCCTCCATGCTCCACCTAGAGATTTGCCACCTCGTTCATTCCCGTCCTGGCCCGTGCACGGCAGGTGGTTCCCCAACGGGGAGTGCTTGTTACAAACAGGCCTCTGCTCCTAGGGTAGGGCACCTAAGTAGTACTGAGCAGTAACTGTAGGCTGGGTTGACAAGGGGAATCACTAGGAGTCTGGGATGTTGGTCTGAATGCTTGCTCCAAGGCTGTGTAGCAGTCGAGGCGGGCCGCGAAAGCTTCAATGGCCAAGTCGGCTTCTTTTTTTCGGAACAAATCCTATCACAACCGCCCATTCATCCCCTGTTTGCGTTCTCGCCTGATTTTGAGACGTGTTGTGCAAGCATTCCTCTTCCCCGCTTGTCTTTTCGTTAGATGGTTACCCGAAGCCTTAGTTCCACATTCGATTGGCTGCATTATTCTAGATTATTTGCCGTTGGCTTACCAGCTACGGTAAGCGTCCGGCTAAATAAGGCCATAACGAACTATCAAACACCTGCTTCTACAGGTCCTTTCCGCCTTCCAGCCCGCAACCCTCACCTCCCATATGGTTTCCTCCTTGCTCTCCTTCTGGGCAGCAAACACGGTCGCTTCACGTTCACTCAAAGCTCTCCCGGCCGTTATTTTACCATGCGAAAGCACACTTCACTATTTTGGCTTTACCACTTCTCACAGTATTGGCCGACAATGAGAAAGCAGGCCGGCTGTCGCAAAGCAGCGAGTCGGACCGATCATTCAAAGATTTACCGCTTACCCCTGAGTTTTCGGGATATCGATCCTTTCCCCCAGCCATGAACCTGTACAGCAACTTCTCGGGCGTCCTTCAAGCGCTCAAAACCTAGAAACTCTGCGGTGCCACCGAGGACGACTTTCTTTATCTTGTCGAGGTGCATTTCGGCTACACCCCCCGAGGGCCTCTTCAGTTCGGACATGGCTTCTATCTTCGAAACGGGACGAGTATGAAAGTCCCTATCCTCGCGGCCGTGGGTGACGAGTCTCCACTCCCATTTCTTGTCAGCCTATTTGACCCTAAGACGAGCGTCAAGCTGCCGCCGTTGGACCTCGGGAGAAGCCCGCGGGATACGGTCACCGAGATACTGCACGCCTCCACCAGCAAGGAGCACGGCGTTGTGTTCCGGTTTGCAATTGAGGTTGGTGTAAAGAAGAGGCAGAGAGAGGAGTTTGAATGGCGAAAGATGGAAGGAGACAAGGAGTACAGCACGCATGAGGCAAGCAGTCGATATACATTGCACCGTCTCTCGTCAAACCCCACAGCACCATCATCTTCATCCTTTTCCCCGCTGGATAACGCCCAGACAGTGGCTGAGCTCACATTCCGCAACGTTTTAAACCTGAAGCATACGTTTACGCTGGAGCTGAAAGGAGCTGGTATCACAGGAGAGCTGGGCGACCGCTGGACGCTCATGGTGGTTATGACTTCCCTGGGTCTCCGCTGGCTGCGCCGGAATGGCAGGACCAAGAAGGCGACTGTTGGAGCTGCGCAGAAAATCCATTCGAAGTAGGATTGTCATCGCTCAGACTTGCAGTGGAGCGTGGTGGTGCTGGACAGGATGGCATGGGTCCAGTCCCCTGATCAGACTGAGCGGGCTGTAATTTGCGATTTGCGGTGAAGGGGGTCTTCTGTCGGATCCGTTCTTACAATCATTATGGGTTTGTATCGTCATTAGCTTGCCTTATGGCATGTACACAGAGCTTAAACTGACAAACGCCTGACCACCTAAACCACCCACGAGGAGGGCGCAACGCCTGCTCGTTTCCTGGCGGCCTCATGAGGGATGGTTGAAGTGTCGTTGACTTGGAGCTCAGTTAGCCGTCAGATCTTCTGTCTAACCTGGGGACTGGGGCAACCCGATCTTCAGCCAACCACGACGAGCCAGGTTTGCGCTCGCTCTAGCTCCAGCATATCTTTGCACTTGGCCGTGCCGTTAAACAGTAAACTGGCGCGCGCAGCAAGGATACGACTGTGCTACTCTATTTAAACATTACAGAATCATCCATCCCACCCGTCACCTACCTATCACGTATAGACTACCGCAGCCTGCTCAGGAGGTAGGCCTACAGAGATTCGCATTTTCAAAATATGCACCGGATATAACCTGTGTTTTTCCACCCAATGATGCAAGCGGCGTTGGCCTCGAAGCAAAAGCATAAGTGATTAACTATGCGTTTTAAGAGAGAACTTGTGGCCAGGGGAGTAAGTTTAAGCCGTTCGGGTACGTGAAGAGCTGTTTATTTTAACTACCGAGACGGCACAACTCTCAATGCACGCATTCTTTGTCATGTCAACAAGGCTCACTGGGCCGTTGGTAGCAAGCTAGCGCACAAGCTCGCAAATGAGATGGAAAGGGAATAGCCTGTCAGGTGGGAAACCAGGCTCGGACTCGACCGACAGGCACTTCCGGCACTACCTTCACTAGATAGCTATGACATGGTGGCCCAAAGTTGTGCTAGGCACCTCTAGGCTGGCATTGCCGTCCCCTTACGAAGATAGCCTTCCAAGAACCGGGACCGAGGCCCGCGCCGACCGGGCCCATCGCGCAGTGGGTGGCCTGGTCGGCTGGTCCAGCGAAACTCAAATCTGCAGAGGCGGAAGTAGGCCATTGGGGGTGGCTGAGAACTTTCCAAGCCCGAAGCTTGATGGCCCCCCCACGGGCAGCGCCGCTTTTAAAGACACACTAACAAGCGAGCCTCCGTTTATTATGGCCGTCTTACCACTGGGAGCGGCGGCATGACGGCCGGCGGGGAGCTCTGGTGCAAGGGCGAGGCGCCACGACGAAACAAGCGTCCTTGGGCTGACCAGGACACTACCAATAGGGGACGGCGCCGCGGCCCCAGGCGCGGCGAGACAAAAAGGTTCAGCATGATATAACAAACAGCTCCCCCGGAGAAGAGGAGAGTTCTGGAATTCTTTGTAGTTGTTGGTTCTTTCTGCCCTCGGTAGTTACAAGGCAAAAGCAGGCCGTGACGGCTGTGCTTCCTCATTGCTTTTCTCGAGGCGGGCGAACACTTATCAGTCGCTCGAGCGCGGCCCCCTTATCCCTTCTCTTGCCACAATGAAGGCCCACGCTGGAATTATGGTGTTGGTGTTGCATCTCCTTTTCGCCTCGTTCGTGCTGGCCAGCAATCGCAACTTGTGGTCACAGACGTTCCCGCAAATGCCTAGCTGCATTGTGAGTTCTGGGGGACGCGGCTAGGTGCGCAAAGGCGAGCAGCGCGGAGTTTTTGCTGACGGGGAGGATGCTGTCCCGCAATCAACAGCGTGTGTGCTTCCAGGACGTAGCGACAGCCTCTCGATGCCTCATAACAGACGACACGTGCTTTTGCGGTCCGCAAATCACAGAAAGCGCCATGTTGCAGTGCGGCCAGGAGCGCTGCAGCAAGGTGGATCTGATGGCGCTAATCAGACTCACCAGGACCACCTGCGGTCAAAAGCTCAAGGACAGCAAAGCGAAGCTCCGAGCTCAGCAGTGTTCATGGGTCGTCATATCGAGCCTTTGCGTCATCGCGCGACTGGTCCGCAGGCTACTCGACAGAGGGCCGTGCCCAGACTGGGCGGTGCTGAGAGTCGAAGAGGTGTGCGTCTCGCTCACGTACTTGTTCTGCCTTGCGGTCTACACGTTTGCCGCCGCCTTGGCTAGCATGGGCCTGGGGCGCGAGTTCTGGGCCTTGAACACCGAGCAAATCAGCAAAATAACCTTCTTTCTGTACCTGACGCAGATTTTTCATGCGGTAGCCATTGGACTGCTGAGATGCTCATTCCTGGTGTTTTACTGGCGTGTTTTCACGGGCAAGGGGTGTGGTGGAAGCGAGAGGTCCCGTCGCTGGGGACCTGGCGGGCGTTGGAAGTTTCGCCAGATTCTGCTGTGGACAATCGTGGACCAGAGCGGCGTTTCAATTGCCAGTCTCTTGGCTGCCATCTTCCAGTGCTGGCCGATATACAAGACCTGGGAGGGCTGGAGAGGGGGCGCCGCGGCCGGGGTTTGCGTGCAGCCGACGACCCTGATTCTGATCAACGCCAGCATCTGCATCGCTACTGGCCTGTGGATTCTCTGCCTGCCCCTCTCGCAGCTTCGGACGCTTGACCTCACCCGCGAGGCAGTGATTGGAGTCGGCATCATGCTCTGCATGGGAACAATGTGAGTTGCATCTCTCTGCGCCAGAGGTGCAGCAATGAGACCACTGTTGGCTGACAGCAGGCTATGTTCCATTTTGTTTAGAGTCTCTATGTTGAGCATCTTGCGTCTGGCGCCGACCCTCCGCCTCAAGCAAGTTTTTCTGGTCCTGGGAGGGCCGGCCGCGATGGTCAGTTGGACCACGGCCGAGTTGACAGCTGGCATCGTCTGCGTTTGCATGCCCAGCATTCATGTCGTCGGCTTCCGGGTGCTCGCGGCCCTCCTCGCACACACCCCATGGCGCTTGCCAGACCGGGACTTTTCTTCCCTGGCGGCATCCCCGTTCGGCGCTGCCGCCGGGCTAGAAGCGGACAAGATGGTGACCGCATCGACCGATGCTTTGGCGGATCGGGAGGGGAGAGCGAAGCTGTATCCTCTACCGTCGGGGTGCGTTGCACAAACCTATCAACCAACCAACAGCTCGGCGCCCAGCGCGACCCCGGCGTCGCGAAGCGTTGGGGGATGGACGGCACCCAGCAGCTGGGGCGGTCCTGACAGCATCGATAATGCGCCTAGTCGGAGCACCGAAGAGACTCCGTCGTCGTCGAGAAAAGGTAGCGGCGCAGAACCGGTCAGGCGGATCGTAACGCCTGATTATTTTGTGCCTCGTCGGTTTCCTCCGAGCGAAGGCAAGCGGCGGAATTCGCGTTCTGCGCCAGATACAACGGGATCGCGTTTCAATGCCCCGTTTCTGCCTGTCAGAGTCCATCAAGGGCCAATCTCAACGGCTGACTGGAGGACAAGGGGGAGAGGGAGGCCGACAGCGCCGTACAATGTAGATCGAGTCGAAGTCGCCTGCCACTTAGGGGCTGATTGGACTCTGAAAACCATCAATGGGATTGATGCTGACTTGGAGCCAAAACTGGACTAACCAACAATGACCCCACGTTATCACGTGCGCCATGATTCGTTCCCGCTGCGGGGCATGGGTACAGCGGCCAATTAGGCGTGACGTGTTAATCATCCCGCCCTGGATGGAGCCCGAGTCGCCTCGGAGCAACCTGATCTGGCGCTCAAGGATCATACGATGACATGGCGACACGTCGAGCGCAGGTCCATCCAATCAGGGGTACGGAGCTTTAGAGAGGGCCATCGGAAGAGGTGTCGCAGCCCGAAGCAACAAGCGCCTCGGCTGCGCTCTGATATTCGTACTTTGTCGACCTGCAACTTTCAGATACAGCTTTAAAGCTCCCCGCTCTCGCCCGCCCAAGCTCTTTCCATCACCACGGACCGCCTCTCCTCCTCCGCTATGGCAGGCATCCGCGCTCTCCTGATTAGCGCAACAGCCATCTTCCTGGCCGTACTTTTTCGCAGCTCCCCGTACGTCATGACGACAAGCAACCCGTCGGGCTCCAAGCCCTGGGCCGACGGCCCGCTGGCGCTCATCCCCACGCCACTTCACACCACGGAAAAGACAGATCTTTTCACCACGGGCGCCTCGCATATGGCCATGTTGCACAACGCTATCCACAGAGGCTACAACTCCATCTACCACCAGGCCGTCCACGTGCGCGACGTCGATAAGGCGGATTTCGTCGGCTATTGTCTGACCTGGCACAAGTTTGTCGTCTCACACCACGACGACGAAGAGAATGTTCTCTTTTCCCAGATGGAAGAGCTGCTTGGCGACAAAGAGATCTGGGGGAAGACGCATCAGGAGCATGGTGAGCCTGCCCCCATAGCGATTCTGGCCCCTCCGTTCATAGGCTGACCCAAGGCGATTGGTGACACCGCCCCGGCGTTCCAGAGGCTTTTCTCCCCGGGCTCGCCGAGTTTCACAAGTATTTAAGCACACTAGCCTCGCCCGCCGACTTCTCGGGCGCGGATCTGCTCAAGATCATGGCTGGGTTCCAGGCACCTTTCGAGGAGCACTTCCGGTCCGAAATATCTACCATCGCGGACCTCGCCGCACACCCCAACGCGCCCAAGTCCGGCACCCCCGAGGCCGACAAGGCGGCGGCCACCTTCTCGGCCTGGGGCAAGAAGACGGTTATGAAGGCTGGCGTCTCCGATGTCGTACCCTTCTTCCTCGTCAACCTGGATGCCTCGTACGAGGGCGGCCGCTGGGCCAACTGGCCGCCTATCCCGCCGCCTATCAAGTGGTCTCTTGTGAACCTGGTTGGCTCCTGGTATGGCGGCCGCTGGCGTTTTGCCAGCTGCGACGGCGCTGGCAACAGGAGGGAGCTGTCTGCCCTGGAGTAGAAGTCTTGTTTGAGGTGCAGGAAATTTTAGGTATTACGCTCGCCACGTTGAGCTGGGTTTGTACCAAAGTGCTGATATAGACGTTAGGGTCCGCTTTTAGATGTCTGCGACGATTCAAGCTGTTACCCGCTGGGGTGGGGGGCTACAAAGAAACGACTGGAAGGCTGAAATAAAAAAGTGTGAATGCTACAGTAAACTATACTATCAAGCCCTACGTAAGGAGGCTTGACGCCGTCGCGCCAAGCACCCCCGATAGGATTCGAGGCCAGTGAGGGCGCGCCACACAAGGGCTCCGCACGGGCCTCGGAACCACGGGACTTGCGCAGCTTGAGTGAGGCTCTCACGGGGTTGCCTTGAGCGTTGGCTACAGGGGCTTCCAGGCTTGATATACAGTGGTGAGGGTTCAATCACGAAGCGATTGAATCGTTGGCGGCACGTCCCCCTTACACAGGCACATACCTACAGCGACCTTTGTGCTTGCAGGGGGTGATGTTATCGGGACATGGTAGAATGCAGCAAGGCTCTCGGCCGCACGCTTGTAACCGAAAAGAGAAGGGGCACCCAGAAGTGCGTAGTAACCGCGCGCGATTAGGTAACTCCTACCGGAGATGCCCCTGATCAGGTCTGACTGCTTTTCCCGCCCGCTTCAATCCTGACCCTTCAATCCGGCAAACTCCTCGCAGCTAACTACCTACCTAGTCGAGTTTCCACCCAGGAAAATTATCTATAATATCTGCAGTATCGAGGCCTGTATGATCCAAGGCAGCACAGAATGGAGACGCTGCAGCAAGAGGATGGCATGGACTTGGGAAACGGCTCGAGTTCACAGGGGCCAGCATAGAGCTCGACCCCGCCATCCTAAAGGGTGGGTACTGCGCTCTTTTGTGGATTGCATGATTCTAACGCTCTTGCAGAACTCCCCGAAGGATGCAAAGTCGTTTCGGTCGACAGTCATGGCGTCAGTTTCTGGGCAACCACAGGGCGCATTGACGTCACACTTAAAGAGGGCGGCGGCCAGTCCTTCTTCATCAAGGTGATCTCAGGCGAAGTGGGCCGGTGCATGGTCTCGGGCGAGTTCGCGTCCATGACGGCGGCCCACCTGGTCGTTCCCGAATTCCTGCCCAAGCCCCTGGCATGGGGCGCATACGACACGATCCCCAACACGCATTTCTTCCTCTGCGAGTTCCGCGACATGGTCGACGACATGCCCGACCCGCACAAATTCGGCTCGCTCCTGGCCAGGCTGCACCAAAGCAGCACCTCCCCGACGGGCAAATTCGGCTTCCACATGACCACCTACGCCGGCAACCAGCCCCAGTTTGTGGGCTGGGAGGACAGCTGGGAGGTCTTTTTTACCAAAAGCATGAGGTACGCGCTGAGCCTGGAGATTGAAAGGCAGGGAACTACCGAGGAGCTCGACTCTCTTTCCAAGGTTCTGTTCGACAAGGTCATCCCCCGACTGCTGCGACCCCTCGAAAGCAACGGCCGTTCGGTGAAGCCGTCCCTCGTCCACGGCGATCTCTGGTACGCAAACGCGGGAATCGACGCAAAGAGCGGCCAGCCCCTCGTTTTTGATGCCTGCTGCTTCTATGCGCATAACGAATGTAAGTTAAAGCCCCCGAAGTCTTCCTTTGACGGTTGTAATGTGACGGACAACGGGTGTAAGATAGGGTCTATTGTATGTTGAGCTAGATCTCTGAAAGAGAAAGGAGGATGGGCACAGGGCCGAGGGCCCCGTGCCCTCCTTATATACAGTAATCCCTTCTCCTGTAGGCGCGGTACTCGCTACCGCACCCCCGCCTTTGCCGACGAGTGCTCGGCAAGCATCTACCCTGCGCGGCACCGGTGTTTCGCACCGGTGCCCGTGCTGATCGTCCGAACAAAGGCCTGGGACAGTGTGCCGGCCCTTGGTGATAGCCTCCTTTGTGACACTCTTGGGATACCAAATGCTAAACCAGACCTCCAGACGAGTTCGGGCAGTGGCGTCCTGCCTGCAACAGATTCGGGAACGAGTATGTCGCCGCGTACAACTCATTCGTCCAAATCTCCCCGCCAGAGGAGGACTTTGAGGGCCGTTTGGACCTTTACAGACTGTGAGTGTGAGGCCTCATCAAGCCTTCCTCTTTGAAGTAATTAACAGGGACCAAGCCACTAATTAACTTCAGGCGCTTCGACACTCACGTCTCGGCTCTGTTCCTAGGGAGCGACACTCTTCGGCCCCAGTAAGAGCCCATCATGAATGCCCAAGCAAGAGTAACTGCACACAGTTTAGCTTCGCTGACAATACCGATTTACTGATAGGGTGCTCGATGTTATGAGAGGTCTTATCCAGAAGTATGGTGGAGACTGAAGGCTTGTTGAATTCCCGGCAAGCGGGGATTTGAATGTTGAAATATGCTGGGCATAATTCAAAATTCCTTGCATTGCTTGCTTGTTTAGCAGTGTACCTCTTGTCGAAGGTGGGAAAAGTTATAGCCTTACATATTAAATAAGTAGCCTGGTGTAGCTTGTGCTCCTAATTACTAGTGGATATCACGGGCAGCTGAGCTTTAACGGTCACTTTCCGTTGAGGTCCTCCCAATGCTCCTCACGTCCGTTCAAGTCGGGATTTGTTGCATTTTTCTCGCCTATTCACGGGCAATTAAATGCCGTAGCGCCTAGCGCAGCTGACGTTGTTTTCATCTATCTACAAGCGAATGTTGTTGTGCCTGGGAACCTGCCCAGTGGTAACTGTATGCCGGCCTCCCCTCCCTCCCTCTCCCTCCCCCTACCCCCGTACAATAAAGCTAAAAACGTGCCGGATATCTCCTGCAGATCACAACTTTTACATACGAAGATACCCTCTTTCGAACCGCCTCGACTCCCTTTACAAGCCCTCTATACGGCTGAGCGCATCTCGTCACCCTCCCTCACCCGTTGCACTATCAACTTACGATATCGCGGCTCCCCTACCCACCATTTGGCCACCCTTTTTTGGGTTTTAAACGTTTCAACCAACCGTTGCTTGAGGGCCCGTCTACACCCAATTCGTGCTGTTTTTGGTACAAGCTCTCTCGGGCAAACCACCGCCACTCATCCCGAAATCGTAGGGCGGGGGGACAAAAGCCGGCTCGAGGGCCGGGCTAAAGGCCGCCTGGAAAGGAGCCCGGCTGAAGGCCCGGGAGGAGTGCGTGCTCAAGGCCGGGAAAAGAGGCCGGCCGGGAGGCCGGTTGGGAGGGGGAAAGTCCCAGTCAGACTCTCCGGCCCCGGCAAGCGTTTGTGCCGCCTCAAGGAAACAATTACCGACGTGCATCTAGGCTTCCGCTAGCGTAAGTTGGCCAAGCCTTTTAAACTCCCGTCCCGTGCGCACTCGTTTGGCCGGCCGAGGTGGCCGGGAGGACCGGGGGGCCGGCCCTCCCCCTCGTCGCTCCCTTCCGCTAGGCGCGAGGCCGCGGTAGCGACCTGGTCCCCTGTCGCCCAGTTAGGTGAAAAGGCGAGTTCATGAAGGTCAGCCCGGAAAAGAGGGCGTTTCCGGAGCCAACGGGACTTGGGCCGCACTGCAAAGAACGCTTACCAAGCCGCCTCGCTGGCCTGATAAACACCGGTGAGCGGATCAACGGTAACCCCTGACCTCTGCCCAAAGTCTAGCCAGTCCCTATAGGCCTGCTTGAGGCCGTGATACTTGTTTTTGACTTTATCTAACCATCGGATAGAGGGCCAGATCTCAGACAACGCCTCCGCCGCCTCCGTCATGCACTTCTTCTGCCAATTGGCGATCGCGGGATTTATTTACGTAGCAACTTTAGCTACGAACCCGTGAAATTCGCTTAAAACCATATGCTAGGAAAAGGCTACGCTATAATATAATAACCTCAAAGCAACCATGGGGGCATCGCTAGTTTAACAAGTTTACTTTGCCCGCTGGGGGAAACTCGCGGTTGACTGTGAGGTTTACTGTTTTGGGATTTGCTAGCAAAGCTGGGGTTAGGGTCACGGGCTCCGGCTGCGGGGTGTTTTCTGAAATCTGCTAGGCAGCGCGCCCGACCAACCCCGCACTTCCTCGAAAGACAGAGTAAATCCATGTCAGCATCACATCTTGAAGCAACGGCCGAAAGGCGAGAACAATGCGGGTGTCAGGTGGACAAGGCAAGTGCATTATAGCCTGGAGGTCCATCCTCTCAGCCTCAAGTGACAAATTAGGAAATTCGGATGGATTCCCCGCCAACGACAGGGATGCGGCTACGCCAGTGCCCCAGCTTTGCAGCCAATCAGCGTCAGACTTCTCCAAGCTCGTCGAATGGCCTAGAAGATTGTCGCAAACCCCAGCGCGCTGTTAGAAAACACCAGCCAGGCAGTCGACGAACTCACCCGATCTTCCCAGCCCATTTTCTCCTCCATGCCCAGCCTAGATCCGAGACCACCAGAACACTTTTCGTGAACCAGACGCGCCTGCGATCGTTGGAAAGCTGCTTTTACGCCTCTACATATCCTGCGAACCACTGCCCCGAGACGACCGCACGAACCCCGCACCATGTCGACGGCCGACGAGCTCAAGGCTTTGGGCAACAAGGCCATCGCCGCAAAGAATTTTGACGAGGCTATGTAAGCACCTGCCGACTCACAACACACCTGCGTCGCCCGAGTTGCTAATGTCAACAACTTGTCTAGTGAGAAATTCACTGCCGCCATCGAGCTCGCCCCCGATAACCACATCCTCTACAGCAACCGCTCAGCCGCCTACGCCTCCAAGAAGGAGTGGGACAACGCCCTGAAAGATGCCGAGAAGACCACCCAGCTGAAGCCCGACTGGCCCAAGGGTTGGGGTCGGAAAGGTAGCGCCTTGTACGGGAAGAGTGATTTGGCCGCCGCCGCCGAGGCCTATGAGGAGGGTCTGAAGCTGGACCCCAACAATGCCGGCATGAAGAACGATCTTGCCTCGGTCCAACGTGCCATTGACCAGGAGCTTCAAGGTATGTAGTCACGAAGCAATTATGCCGCCCCTATCAAGCACGTTATGGCCGCGACGTTTCCCATGCTTTGGCTGACATTGAGTTTCCCACCACAGGCGGCGGTTTTGGCGGTGGTTTTGGCGGCGGCGATCCCTCCGCCGGCCTAGGCCAGATGTTCAACGACCCCCAACTCATCCAGAAGCTCGCCGCCAACCCCAAGACGAGCGCCTTCCTTGCCGACCCCACCTTTATGGCCAAGCTCCAGGCGATCCGCTCAAATCCCAAGAACACCCAGGACCTCTTCAGTGACCCTCGTATGATCTCCGTCCTGGGCGTCATGATGGGTGTGGACATGGACGTTCGCGCCCCCGAGGACATGCCTGGAGCCAGCGGCTCTGCCAGGGAACAAGAGGAGGATGTCCCGATGCCCGACGCCAGGCCCACACCCGCTGCCGCGAAACCCAAGGCACCGGAGCCCGCGCCCGAGCCTGAACCGGAGGATGAGGAGGCGCTGGAGAAGAAGAAGGCGAAGGAGGCGGCAGACAAAGAGAAGGCTCTGGGAACCGAGCAGTACAAGAAGCGCAACTTTGAGGAGGCCATCAAGCACTACACAGCAGCTTGGGACCTGCACAAGGACATCACCTACCTCAACAATCTGGGTGCCGCGCACTTCGAGAAGGGCGACTACCAGGCTTGCATAGACACATGCACCAAGGCGATCGAGGAGGGCCGCGCCATCTATGCCGACTTCAAGACCATTGCAAAGTCGTACGCGCGCATCGGATCCGCGCATGAGAAGCTGGGCAACATGGATCTCGCAATCGAAAACTTCAAGACCTCGCTGCGCGAGCACCGGACACCCGAGGTGCTCAAGAAGCTCAACGCGGCCGAGAAGCTCAAGAAAGACTCGGAGCGGCTGGCCTACATCGACCCGGCAAAGGCCGAGGAGGCGCGCGAGGATGGCAACAACAAGTTCAAGGCATCGGACTGGCCAGGTGCCGTGGCGGCCTACTCGGAGATGATCCAGCGCGCTCCCGAGGACCCCAGGGGCTACAGCAACCGGGCCGCCGCCTTCATCAAGCTGCTCGAGTTCCCCTCGGCCCTGAACGACTGCGACGCGGCCATCGCCAAAGACGCCAAATTCATCCGCGCTTACATCCGCAAGGCGCAGGCCTACTTTGGCATGCGCGAGTACAGCAAGTGCCTCGATGCATGCACCGAGGCGCAGAACATCGACCGCGAGCACCACGCGTCGGCCAACGCGCGCGAGATCGAGCAGCAGCAGCAGAAGGCCTATACGGCCATGTACTCGGCGCGCGAAAACGAGACCGAGGAGCAGACTCGCGAGAGGCTCTCACGCGACCCCGAGGTAAATTTCACTCCCACGCCTGCCGTATCCACGAGACAAGGGAACTTGGAGATTATCGATGAACCACTGCTAACCACCGATCCTCACACTCGCTAGATCATGGGCATCATGCAAGACCCGGTGATGCAGGCAATTCTGCAGCAGGCCCAGAGCGACCCGGCGGCCCTGCAGGAGCACATGAAGAACCCTCAAGTGAGGTCCAAGATACAGAAGCTCGTCGCCGCGGGCGTCATCAGGATGGGCCGCTGAGTGCCTCCGTCGGCAAAATACGGGCGGGAGATTCTTATTTAATGTATTTTGCATGTCCGGCTGGAACTGATCTGCCTTGGTCATCCAGTTGTGCGCTCACCGCATTAATTATCAACCTTAGGTAGTTCTCTTGACCCTAAGTCACTGATAAGTCCATGAAGTCTAATGACGACTTTGTGCTTGGGCATGTCGCCGCTTGGTGTCCGCGCTTGCCATCTGCATCCTGGCGAGTTGCACGGCTACGAGATATTGTGACTCCTCCCCCTATGCACACAACACAAGATCAAAAATTAGGCCCAATCAATCCAGAGCAAACCAGCAAAAATGAGGTGACCACGATCCCGTTGGGACTCGAACCCAAAATCTTTGCCACCGGAAAGCAACGCCTTACCATTAGGCCACAGGACCGATGTTGTGTGCCCTTTGCGTGTGGCTCTATGATGCACATGGGCGGAGCCATCGTGTTGCCCCTGAATCGCGCAGACAGGTCGGGCGCGTGGGACGTCAGGCGGCTGTCAATTCAGGGGCTGGCTTCATGGATTTGGGTTGGACGATTTGAATTGCAGCTGAACTTACCAGTACAACACCACCCTCATTGAACAACAATTTTTGTTTGACAGGAATGCACTACAACAGCAGTTATTTGGCGGTCAGAAGCCTGCATATCCCAAGCACGGGCACGACAGGATTTATTTTTGTGACTGTAACGCTCCATCCTGCTTACCGCACTCATTTATACATATTCATGTCCCAAGCAGAAGTCTGCCCTTGGGACCGTCCCGTTTTGGAGCTTTAGGCAACCCGGCCGACCGGCGCCGAGCTCCAAGAAATGCAGCTTATAGTGCTTTTGGAATCTTGGATGCGGCAAGTCAGCCCAAGGGGGTATTAATCAGGCAATCGCCGCTGGTGATCACAGGCACCGCACATGGCTGATTGGGCGCCCATCCTGTTTGCCCCCGATATACATTAGCCGGCAGGGGAGGTCGAGATGCCGACTTCGGGCTTGGGGTGTTGCCGCCGCATCCAAGCGGCTGCGCCAGTCCTCGGCAGCGCTGGAGGCAAAATACTTGGCAGGGTAAGCAGAGAGCTGCAAAGTGTTTGGGAGGGGAGGTGTTTCCGAGGTACCGCTACCTGAGTAGGTGGGCGGGGGATATTTAATAGACCCTCTTGAGCGGATGAGACGCATATGGTGCCTCACTTCCCCAGCCGCCCACCGCGCCAGTTAATGTCGATCTTCACACTTCGAGCCTCGTGAAAATCACAGTCGCCATGGTACTGCCGAAAGCCCTCCTATCAGCCCTCGCGGCAGCCGCCGTCGTCTCTGCGGCGGCCGCCTCCAGCCCTCCTGTTGGCTACCTCGGCAAGAGGCACGACGCCTGCGTGCACTCGGAGCTGCTGCAGAACGCGAGCAAGTACACCGGGCTGGAGCCGGGAACGCCGGGCATCCGCGATGGCCTCTCACCGTCCGAAACGTAAGCCCCTTGGAGCTACCTACCTACCTACCTACCTACCTACCTAATCCCCTGCAGCACCAACAAAGACTTTGTCGCAAAGAAACCCACTAAAGTCGACTGACACGAACCTAACCAACAAAACAGAGACTCGCAAAACTTCATCAACTTCTGCAAGGGCCGCACCACAACCGACGGCAAGCAAAACACGGCCGGCTCCTGCAACCCCATCCCGCTGGGCCGCATCCCGTCGACCTCCCAGATGCCGTCGGCCATCATCACGCGGCCGGGCCACGGCGCGCGCCTGGCGGCCGGCGCCTCGGTCCAGGTGACGGTGGCTGTGCGCAAGCTCGACGCCGGCTACCTCGTCAACCCGGCCGTGGCCTACTACACGGCGCCGCAGGACCTGGACGACCGGGGGCGGATCCAGGGCCACCTGCACGTGACGGTGCAGCGGCTCGCCGGCGGCTACGGCGCGGCCGCGCCCCCCGACCCGACCGACTTTGTCTTCTTCAAGGGCCTCGACCGCCCGCTGGACGAGAGGGGCGAGCTGGCCACCGAGGTCCCCGGCGGCCTGCCCGCGGGCGTCTACCGCGTCTGCACCATGATGGCGGCCAGGAACCACCAGCCCGTCGTCATGCCCGTCGCGAACCGCGGGGCCCAGGACGACTGCGTGAGGTTTGAGGTCGTCTGAGGGCGTGGGCCCGAGCTGCATGTGCCAAAAAGGGCTTCAGGGCGGGAGGGTCCTGGTAGAGTCGGGGCGGCGGGCCTCTTCCTGTTTGTTCAAAGTTCATAAATGGTAGCATGGGGCACGAGACAGTGCAGTAATCTTGGTATCCACGACACAACAATTCCTGGTCGGTCCCTCATGCTCCGGCAACCTGAGGGTACATTGTCAGCCCAGGACCGGTCGCGCCATACTGGAATGCGTTTACACGTGCTTGATAACCCCCGTGAACCAAGACGAACAGCATGCTTTTCTCTGAACAAGGCCTAAAGACAAAAACCTAGGAACTCTAAAAAGAGACAACAAAGGAACCATAACAGACGCCTTCTGCACAAAAGACACGGATATATCCAGATACCAAGCCCACGTGCTCTCTTAATGCCCTCATCTGCCAAAGGGGTACCTCCCGACGGCCGCCAGTCTACAAGGAGAAAACCGAGGCCTATACACAACTCCTACCGACCCAGGCCTGTGCACATCAGAATTACCCAAGAAGGTCCGCAAGATCATTGTTCGCGCTACCGCTTTCACCGCCGGCAGGTGGTGCCGGGCGGTTTGCCCCTGCTGCAGGGGCAGCCGTGTTGGCGCCCCAGATGCCGGCCGCACTCTTCTCCTTGGCCAGCTGGCCCATGGCTGGGCCTGCGCTGGGGGCGCTCGCCTTCTTGACACCAACGCTAGCTTGTGACCACAAGGAACCAAAAGCATCGCCACCGCCGCTCTTGGCCGCGGGCTTCGCTGCAGCGGCCCCGGTGCTTGCCGCCGACATAGGGGTCATGCCACCGAAGCTGCTCCCAGCCGCCGAACCTTGGCGGCCATGCAGCGCAGGCGGCTGGGCTCCGCCTGCCTGCACAGACGTAAAGTAGTTGGGCTGAGCAGCCTGATAGCCTGCTGGCTGCGGCGGGCTCGTCATGGGGGTGGTGAGGGATGAGTAGTTGGCTGCTGGTGGGGAGGCCACGGAGGAGCTGGCTGGCGGGGGTGAGATGGACGAAAGCCCAACCATGGTGCCGAGATTGGCCTGTTGGGGGGCTGAAACAGGCTTCGGCGCAGCAAATTGCGCATTCGAGGCGGTAGATGTCACCATGGGCGGGGCCAGTGGTTGCGCCGGGGCGGCAGACTGGAAATCATCGAAGTCGTCGTCGTCGTCGTTGCTCGCTGCGGCCGGCGCGAGGGATGCAAGGCCAGCGCCTGCAGATGGAGCGGCAAGTGGGGCGGCGGTAGCCGAGGACGATGATGCGGGCTCGTCGAATGAGAAGAGGTCGACCTCGGGCTCCTTCTTCTTTGGTGGTTCGGCTGCCTTGGACGGCGACGCTGAGGATCCGCCAGTAGTCCGTTTCACGCCAGACCTTGACGAGCTATGAGAGGCCGCAGGCTTCTTCTCACCCTCATCGAACTCGTCGTACTCCTCGAACTTGTCGCCACCACCACCACCACCGCCACTACCGCTGCCGCGCCACTCGTCCGTCTGTCCCCCAAAGCCACCTCCGTCGCCATAAACACCACCCGAGTATCCGCCGTAGTTGGTGCTGCTCCCGCCGCCGCCACCGCCGCCGCCGCCATAGCCACCAGACTCACTCCCGAACCCTCCGTATCGGCTGCTGCTAGAGAAGCCTCCGCCGCCGCCGCCCTCAACACCAGTATACTTGGCCTTGTTGCTGCGTGCCTTCTTGCGCTCGGCGCGTATGCGGTCGACGTCTCCCAGGAGCTCGGCTAGCTCCTTGGCGCGGTTTCGTACGTTGATCCCCTGATCTTTGCCGTTGGGGTCGATGTAGTGGAACTGGCGCAGCATCTTGAGTAGGGTCAGGTGGGAACGAGCGTCATCGATCACACGTTCCGAGCCGTGCTTGATCAGGAACTCGAGAAGTTGGAGTGCTTTGTAGATTTGGCGCCACTCCTCGGCTGTCTTCTCGGTGAACCGGCGGTATATCATGGGCATGATCTCGTTGAGCGTTTGACTGGCGGGTGGGGCGGACGCGACCATGTCAGTGACAGCTGCAACATGGAATCTGGGCATTCGCTTCTCTGGCGAGGTCGGTTCGGCGGGAGGTGGACATACTAGTTGAAGGTTCCGTTGGCGATCTCCTGCATCAAGGTGGAGGAAGAGCCCCATGGCTCATTGTTGGTTGCTTCCCTCACCTGTAGATGGAAACTCAATGGTCAGTTCGGCGATGGCGGCATGCCGGGGTGGTAGTTGCGCTCCATGCTATTGGCGACGAGGAGGCTTACCTTGGACTCCATCTCGGTATAGTTCATGACAGCTGGGCGAAGGGTCAGCAAAGCCAGCCCGCACATCAAGCCTCGGCAACGCGGTGCGCAGGCGTCAAAGGGCGGGAAAGGGCGGGATCTCGCTCACCATTCTGCACCTTGCGCACACTGGCCTTGACATCGTACAATGTCAGGTTCGACACCGTGTCTTTGAGGTTGTTCCAATCCATAATTGCGGGCGCCCAGGGCGGAGATCTGTTGTCAGACGAGTAGGCGGGCTGTTCTGTTCTTGAGTTGATGTGGTGAAGACGACTCAATACGGAAACGACGGGCGCGACACGACAAAAGAAGCCACCTAGAATGGGCGTCGTTGGTCTGTCGCGGTGCATCCACTCTGGCCGACCGAGAGGCACAAGTGGGCCAGAATTGCTGCAGCCCAACGCTCACGGCTCGTGCTGACGTAAAGTCAGATTGGGTCATGTGACTTTGCCCGTCCATTCCTATGTGGTGTCGATGCCGAATGGAAGGAGAGGAACGCCAAGAATAAAATCACCTCCAGGTCCTGGTGGAAAAAAGACGAGTAGATCTTATGGCGAAGGTCCCGGGGCATGTACTGCTGTGTGATTTCGCCGGCAACTCAATGCTAGTTGTAGTCCATCCCGCTATTTCAATTGCGATAGGGGTTTCATACACACAACGGAACACGAAAGACAAGCTGCAAGTGCACCGGAGGGCACGCCGCACCATAACAGGTAGTCTCATGACGGAAAACAACTTGCTTGCAATGTAAACCGGGGAAGGTCAAATTATCGTACTTGTAAGCTAGCGATGAACATATTTGATATTAATTGACATAAAACGGACGTGAAGCGGGCAGGTTACAAACCGTATGATAAATATCCGATACGAACATTCCTGATGATTTTTTGCATGCTCCCTTCCATGATTCCCACCTCATGCTTCCCGCCCCCATGCTTCCCATTGTTACGGCGGTTGGAAAAAGGGAAATCCCTCCCACCTAAGTCAAAACGCTAGGACAATGACTGCCACCTGATTGCCAAAAGGGTCTCTATACACCCAACGCACGCGAGAGACAGGGCTGCAAATGCACGCAGGGCATGCCACGCCATAACAGGGGGATGGAAATCAGTGGGGGTTATTATGGCATGGCGCTATGGCACAACGCCATGGCAATTACAGCCTTATGCGCCGAGGCGTGCGCACGTAGACCCTTCTCAAGCCTGCCTCCCGAGGCTGCAACAAATCTCCTCGGGCCCAAGGCTTCGACCATTCTAGTCACAAGGTGCTGCTTCAGCGTAATCGAGACCGCCCCTGACGACGGCGAGGTTCCCGCCCCTCGTGAGCACAATGTCCCGCTGCGCCAGCGCCGACACGTAGCTCATCCACCCCCACCCGGCAAACCAGACGTCTGGTATGTAAAAGTGCCTCTGAGTGGGGGCAGGGGCGGAGGGGACGGGGTCGGACTCGCCATCCTCCTCCGCCTGATGCCGCCGGCGCCGACTATCACCCACGCATGCGGAGGCCGCTAGGTCCACGGAGCAGACCCACGAGCAGCGGTCTAGAAACACGAGCCGGTTGGTGTCGCTGATGCCGATGACGTGGGCTATGTCTGCCAGGGGAATTGGGGTGAGTGACAGAACGGTCGTCGCGGGAGCTGCAGCTGGAGGCGCCTTGCTTTTGCCGTCTGTGTCATCGACCGTGGTTTTCATACGCCCAAAGGCATGGTTGGTATCCGGCCCCTTGCCTGACCGGGATAGAGCTTGTCCAACCTCGAAATCCAGGTTGAGAAGCGCAAGCTGGAGGGGGCTGGCTGGTTCATTTTGCATCACAAACTCCAGGAGGATGCGCGCCTCCCGACCAGTTGTGTAGGCTGTGGCGTTTCTCGAATGCGCCGGGGTGACAGGAGCGCCACTATCTCTTTCTGCGGGCCTCATGAGCTGTGCCAGGGAGAACCTGGCGACTTCAGCACACCCGCCAGCCCATGCGTGGACCCGTACGCAGCTCTCCTCGACGCAAAGCACGTGAGTGACAGGTGCGCGAGGGTCCAAGATCCACTTGCGCGTAGCCAATGCCGCCTCGCCGTCTCGAGGAACTAGATCGCACTCCAGCCTGCCGTCCTCAAGGTTAAAAATGTGGTCTGCCACGGCCGTCGACAGGATAAAATTTCCCGCCGCGTCCGCCACAAGCATGCCAGCCACTACCTTGCCCGACGGTAGGCGCGTCTGGAAGAGCACAGTTGGAGTGGTTTGCCCGACCCTATCCCCGGCGTAGTGTTGCAGGATGATGCTGCCCCACGCGTCGACGCTGAGCAGACAGTTCCTGCGTCCGCACCACGCCATGAGCCGGACGGCGGATTTGTGGCCATGTAGCTTTCGTATCTGGGTTGCCGTTCTGCGGTCGTAAAGCACGATGGTGCCGTCGTCCCTGCCGCAAAAGATCAGCCCGGGGCTGTCTAGGGCGGGCATCTCCGTGATGCTGGCTGAGGGCGCCAAGGACGGAAAGCCTCCTTCCAGGGCTAGTCGTTTGATGGATCATGGAGTTTTTAGGGCAAAATGGTGGTATAAGGGAGAATATTGCCGATGGTAGAGCTGTGAGTGCGTTGGCGAACATGGTAGGTAGGCGGGTAAGGTCTGCTGTCCACTGTCGCAACATTTGAATCCGTGGTTCCAAGGGCGAGCGCTCTGCCGCGCACGCCCCGAGGTACTTCCCGAGGCTCTTGGACGTCCGTATCAGTTGGTTCAAATCCCCTAACTCGGCAATTGCTTCGACCCACGTCAGCACGTTCGACTTGAAGAACAGCTCGAGAGTATCTAGTAGATCCGTGGCGCGCGGATCAGCTCTGGCTAGGTGATATGACTAGGCAGTGCATGCGTAAATGGCAAAGTCCAGCTTGGTGGTCGCTTTCTTAGCATGGCCATGGCGCCGGTGCGGCCTCGGTGGCTTCATTTCCATCCCGGAGAGATAGATCAGGCAGATCTGCGCAAGCCTCGTATGTGCCCTTTCCTTCTCAATGGAGAATTCGGAATCATGGTCGGCGCCCATAAGGAACTCTCTGGCCGTCTCGTGCACCATCTGTACCTTTCCAAATTTGTCAACGACAACAAGCTGGCCAGAAAGGGCCGTGATGCTATCCTCCAGGCTTGGGAACGAGTCTTTGATGTCCGGACTCAGTGCGCCATTCAACTCGGCTGTCGTCATGGGTGAATGTCCAGATTGCTAATAGATCATCCAGGCCCTCAAAAGATGCTTGGGGAGACAGATTTCCTCGATCACGGCACGAAGGGTAGGCCTCAATGTTTATATAAGCCATAAGCCTACTTGCGGTACATGGCGAGCCAAACACGGCCTAGGTAGGTAGCCCCTCACACAGGACAATTCCATTTCTGCTTTTTTTTTTTTCATTTCGCATCAACTTCAACCTTCCACCGCGAATTTTCCACCTCACATCGCTAGCACGCCTTCCATATGTTAGATCAGGCACGAATCATCCAGGACTATCCCATCGGAAACGACCTTGATTCCTTCCGTGCTTTTTTCCGTGCGGTCTGCACAGATAAGGGAACTCCATGCACATCCGACGCGTTTGGGCAGCTCGATCTCGAAGGTAGGATCAGCACAACTTCGATGACGCCTCTCATTCTAACTATTTACCATATAGATGCCCAGAGTATCACCCTCAGCCTTCTCGCCGCGCTGCTAGGTCTCAAAGCTCCCCTCAGGCTCCGTTCTCGCGGTAATGACAAGAAGAACCTCCTTGTCAGCGATCTGTCGAGACTCGCCGAAGCCAACAACTTGGGCAACTTCGACACCAACCGCATCAAGCCTCTCCTAAACGCAATCCTCTCCGACCATCCCGGCGATGCCCTCATCTGGGACCGAGTCTACGACGCCGTCCCCGAATCCACCCCGCCCCCCCCAACCGATAGCTTTCTCGCAGCCAAGCAAGCGAGACTGTGGTAGACCCATCTACAAAGCGGGCTCCCCAAAGGTCCTACTCGCTGCGCTGGCCGACTGCATTGAGGAGCATGAGTCGTTGTGGCTGAAGGCCGAGCTCCTTCACCGAAACATCTCCGTCGGCAATCTCATGATTAGCAAGGACAACGGTGGGTTTCTGATCGACTCGGATCTCGCCATCAACAAGGAGCGTCTTGCAGCCTCGGGGGCCAAGGGGAAGACCGGGACAAGAGTCTTTATGGCCAGTGGGGCCCTTTTGGGCGAGCAGCACTCGTTCATGCACGACCTCGAATCATTCTTCTGGGTGCTGTTCTGGATATGCATCCACTATGACAACCATGGCAATGGCAGGGTTGTTGAGCCGTTCGATGGGTGGAACTACCTGGACACGGAGAATCTGGGGTATGCGAAGATGGGCAGGATCTCTAATCACAGATTCACCCGGACAATGGAGGAGGACTTCACGCCGCATTACAAAGAGTTGGCACAATGTGTCAAAAAGTTGCGCAAAGTTGTGTTTCCGAATGGGAGAAACTGGAAAACTGAGAACACCAAACTGTATGCGCAGATGAAGGGAATTCTCCGAGAAGCTAGCATTAGTGTGTAGCATTGCGGGACGCTGGATAGGGTAAGCTGGAAAGGAAGGAAGAGGACCAGACGAGGGGAGGAAGAAGCGGCGATCTTCATGTAAGCGTGAGTTGATACGACAGGGCGCGCATGTCATGCGTAGAAGCAACTACGCCATCTATGTGAGCAACAATGCCTACAACATCAAAACCGAGCAGGAGGTCAGCTGGTAAGTGAGTAGTCACCTCAGCCAAGGTGGGCGAACACCTCAGACAAGGTGGAAGCTTACAAAATTCCCCAATTAGGCTAAACGACACATTTTTTCTCCCACCTTGGCCGAAGTGTTTTTTAATTGCGTATGCAACGCATATGCAGTTAGTAATTTATAAAAAATATAATAAAAATGTATAAAATTTACGTTAAACGTTATTTATTAATTTATTTTAAAAATGGGTATGCGTTGCATATGCAATGCATATGCATTTTTACTGCTGCTGCCACCTTGGCTGAGATTTTGGGTCCACTTTTTCCCACCTTGTCTGAGGTCTCCGCCCGCCTTGGCTGAGCTGTCCCCTCCGCCCCGATTGCGCCGGAATATAAGTCAGGGAGGAAACGCTGAAGCGGGGGAGCGGGATGCCAACCAAAGATAGCTCCACCAAATAAAGAAATGGACGAGCAAGCACGCAAGAAATGCAAAGGGATCGGCACAAAAGGCTGTGGAGAGATGTTGTAGAGAAGAGCACACCGGGAGGGTAAGATAGACTGGCCAGGGCCAAGAAGGGTGGGCACCTACCCAGGCACCTAAGCACCGTTAGCAGGGTAGGAGCCCCCGCGCCTGGTCTACCTCCACCAACCTAGGCTCACTGTAACTGGGTCGGCAGCCTCTCGTCAATGACACTGTCACGTCACTCCTCAACAGCCAAACAAACAACACTTTCTGTCATCGCCGGCCCAGGAGTCAGGCTGATTGCTAGATGTGTCTACGAGCAGAGTCGTTCTCCCAGACAAGACCTTTAGAGATAAAGACGGCGCTCACCGGGTCCTTTCCAGTATGATGGGAAACAGCCTTTCTGCGAGGGCACAGAAAGGCTCCACAGCCCCTTGTTCCCAAACGACAGCTCAGGCGATAACGACGTCTTCAATAATCCCCTGAAAAGGAGAAACGAGTAGCTAGCCGCTGAGGCTCTTGTAAGGCTCGCCATTTAACGCGCAGGACGGAGCCGCCGGGATGTCCACGCCCCCTATCATCATCGTGCAGCCACACGCATCGAGCACCCCTCGAACCGTCGCTGTGTCTGAAATCCCAGTGGAGTTGGGTCTGTCCAACCTTCCAGGCTTGACAACCTCCTTAGACCTCCGTGGCGGCGACCTCGATGATGATTATGACTACACTGTACTTCCGGATCCAAATGATCAAGACGCCCTGGTGGACCTACTCCTTTCTTTCGGCGTCCGGGGTGCGGATAAAAACGTAGACGAAGGCTTTGTGAGTCGCTTTCTTTCCGCGCTTGTTATCTTGCCCCCCC